GAAGGTGCGTACTGCCGCTCGCACGCCTGGTTGGCGATGGGCTTGCCGCCTTTATACCTCTTGCACAGGTCGACGAGCACGCCAGGAACCTGTTGCGGGTAGGCGCGGGCGAGCTTCTGGCCCAGCTGCAGCGCCAAGACGCAGCGCGTGCAGTTGGTGTAGGTCGCGTTGGACGGTGTATCGATGATGGTGGAGATGTCCTGCTGGATCTGCGCCGCGAATGCTTCAGCGCTCACATCGGACGGCGGCTTGGGAGACGCGCTTGCCAGAGGGTAGACCGCCTCACTGGAGGGTGCGCCCGTCGGGAGGAAAGACGGCGCGGCAACCTGGTCTGGGAAGTAGTCACCTGCCGCTTGGTTTCCCGGAATACCATTCGTGATAGCCGGGCGCGGCTGCACGGTCGTACCGCTCGGTGGCTGGTAGTATGACGAAAAGGCCGAGGTCGGAAAGGCAGAAGGCGCAGTGTATTTGGCCAGGTACGAAAAGGAGCTGTGACCGTCGTTCTCTTGTGCTGCCGAGGCGTCCTGGGCAGGTGTGAGCCTTGCGATGGTCTGAAGGGAGAATGTGAGCAGCACGCACAGTGCCAGTATGACCATGGAGCGCATGGCGGAGAACAGCCTTGGGGACCCAGCTGGTTCGAGACGTGGATAGGCCGTTTTCTTCAGCGCGGGTGGAAAGTAGAGGCTCAAGCTCGCTTTCTCGAGGTCGGTGCCAGCCGAAAGTGGTGAACGCGATGCTGCAGCTGAGAAATTGAGACAGGGGGGCAGTGGTGGTAGTAGTGAACGTGTCGTAGGATCGTGCGTAAGAATAGGTGAAGACGATGGCGGTGGGGCAAACCACGAAAGTGGCGCCGACATCACTATTGCACCGGACCTGCTTGTTTGATCAAGGCTCGGCACCTCACGCTTTTCTTGTAGGGCAACGCTTGCGCTTCTCTCCCTCGGCGGCCGACAAGCACGCATCTTGGAAGCCTCTGGAGGCACATCCATCTCTATGTGTTGCGAGCACGCCCATACCTATCATCTGCCGTCTGAGCACCTGTCCACGTGCTGTTTCGTCGTCAGCTTGTGGCAAAGAGGTTACTCCATACTCGGCAGGAGACAGTTGACCACAATCGGTGCAACTGCTCCATGCAGATCCATCAACACCACGCCCCTCTCTCATGCGGGTGCGTGACTGCATAGCGCCTGTTTCGGACGCGCCGAGGACTGTGCAACCAGTGAGGCAGTCTGCTGCGGGCACGCGCCACTGTTGTGACTTTCTTGTTCTTCCTTGCAATTCAGGAACGCAGCGCTACGTAACGTATTGGGCTAAGTTGATTGGTGATCTCTCGGCCGAGTCACGCTTGGTCAGTTGCCGCCAACTTCTCTACTTCCGCATGCGTAAGTACACATCGACGTGCGACGTCCACAACCGTCTACGGATGAGGTGAAAGAGTGTGGAAGAAGGCAAAGAGACATCCAAGCCCAGCCTGCAGCGTTGCAAGTGCATCAAACGTTTTATCTATGAAACATACGAGTATTAACGGTGAACAGCGCGTGGAGACAATCGACTTTCACAATAGCACGCTGGAGCATATCCTATGTTCATGCGAATGCATACTGACGAAGGCGGTAAACAACAGTGCGCGCATAAAGCAAACGGCCAGGGGTTTACTTGTCAAGGTTTAAGGAGAGGATACGCAATATCATGGCAGGTTGCAAATTCGCGAGCTCGTATGTGCTCTTTATGGAGTACGTGTGAAAAGGATCAATCTCCTTGTGCCTTCTGTAACGAAGACGCATGGAACGGCGACTGTGTATACGGCGTACTTCCTCTCATCTTGCTGGTGGCGCAGACGATATGCGTTTGACGCTTGCAGAGAGCGACGCTATTGTACCGCTGCTCTCATTTTGCAAAGGCCTACCTACCGACTGCATGGCGACGCAGGAAACCAGCGCAAGTGCTGCGTGTCCGAGCCATAGTCCTGTCCCCTTGCTGCTAGCTTATCCCTCGGCACCGAGCGGTTGCATTTATAGCGAGAATAACGTGGTGCAAGTAGTGCAGCGGAGCTGATAAAGTCGAGACAGATTGAGCGTGCTACGTGGGAAGCGCACTGCTGCCCTCGGCTGTGTTGCAGAAGCCAGCCATAGTCGATGTCATATGAGCGCGTGGCGCATATTGCTGGCTTGATGCGGATGCCAGAACTGAGTGCCGCTCGTGCAAGAGGAGAGGAGGCAGAGAAGTTGCATCGATAATCGAGCCCTTGGTCAGCTCTTGCACGCTTGGACAGAGCCTGGTCGATTCCTTACGGAGCATGTAGAATAGTCGCAGAAACCGGATTCAGGGTGTTTAGGAGCAGTACCAGTGGCGATGTAGCGGCTTTGCTTTAGCCATGGATGGCTGGCATTTTCGCATGGACCAGGCCGTTTCGCACTATGATATTAATGTTTCCTTGGTCGGTAATATCACTGGTGCCAGGAGTAAGCTTGCTTGTGTTGGCGGTGATGGTGGAGACGGCAGCGAGAGGCACTCGTGTGACGATGATGGCGACAGAGCTGATAAGGCGCAAATGTCTCCCTTTATCCACTGGTTTAAGCCGTCAATGTCTGAATTGAGATCGAAGCTGGGCTTCCTGCCCGAGTTGGAGTCGCTGTCGCTGTTGGAGTCGCTGTTGTCGCCATCACAGACGTCACCGAGTGACCGCCAGTCTCCGACTCCAAGTAAGCCGAGCGTGTTGAAGGCTGACCCCAGTCGCTCCGCATGCATCTTCACTTTTCCGCCTCTTGTTGATTCCCCCTGTCTCTAAGTCGCTGTCGCAACCTTGTATTCGTGCCTCCCTAGTGAGAGGGGTCGACATGAACGGATGGGGTTTCAGCCGAAACACCATCGTGAACAAGCCTGCGTGACAGCTCGGTGCTGCATTTATACCACCCATACTGATAACTCGAGCCATCCCGCAGAGATGGATAAGCGAAAGGCTACGTATGCTTTGTAGCATTGACATCCTCGATTCCACTATTGCAGGAACCAGGGCGCGACCGTCGCGATTGCGAGAAACGGATGGGCCCACGTCGAGTAGCAAATTCCCATGTTGGCTTGGTATGGATGCAAGTTACGTACGCTTAGTACACGAAACCCTTTACGCACCACACACCACAGGGACGGGAGGAGTGGGGGTGGGGGGGGGAGAGTGGGGACTTGACAGGGACAGGCCCGATCTCGAGTTGCGCTGTAAGGCTTGTGTTCGCACGGGGGTCGACAAATTGCCAAGGATCGGGCAATCATAATCATAAATAATCTGGAGGCACAGCTACCAAGGCCCCGCGCAAAATATACAGATTTTGCAAGGACAGGGTCCAGCCCGACGAAGCCGCGCGGCGAATGTATGTACGGGGTTACTTCTATCTCACGAGCTCGTTTCCCACGCATTTGCGACCGTCTTATCAGACGCTCGAGAGTCGAGACATGAATGGAACTTTGGATGGGCCACCGTGCGCGTGTGTACAGTCTTATCACTGCAACCGGATCAATGGACCCTGTAGACTGACAAGCCACGCGCTGGGTCCTCCAGATTTCATCCTATTACATTGAGTGCTCAAAGCTCGAATCCATGGATTACCAACAGGTGCATGGAGCGATATGAGGTGCTTGGTCTCAGCCCAAGCTCACTTTCGCGGGCCAAACTCCCGCTCATATAGTGCGGGATTGTCTGCCTTCTCCTGGATCTCTACATGCTCGACGTGTGCGGTGGGAGGACCTCGATGCAGGTATTCCACTAACTGGTCCAGATTCTCCTTCAGCCCTTGCGCTTGGCCGATAACTGATCCGTCTGCGACATTCATCACCCAGCCGTGCAGCGATAGGCTCTGGGCGGTCGTGATGGTGGTCCGCCTGAAGAAGACGCCCTGCACTTGGCCGGTTCTACATGCCAGAAGACGAGTAGCACGGTGTCAGGGTGAGCACGTGACGGACAAAGTCGTTCCCAAGGTGTCATTTGAGGGTCTGAGCTCACACGTTGAACCCTAACATGGCGAAAAGTGGCGCCATCGGCCTCATAGGCCCGAGTCTGGGGTGGATCAAGTGAGATCGACAGATGCCCTAGCTTGTGCGGAGGACGAGGCCCGAGCAACCATAGCGTGATGAGATGCACGTCGTTAGTATCACAACGTGCAAAGCGCGTCGATACTCGACATAAAAAGGGAAGCGCCGTGCGGTCTCATCAAGCCGTTGCACTATAGCTCTTCGACATTGGCCGCTGCACATACACCGCGCACCTTGAGTGTTGTTCGAGTTGATTCAGGCATGTGATCGGATATTAGCAAACAGGCTGTTGATGCTCCCGTTGGAAGGGGCGGCATGAACCGATGCTGGGCAAGTCAAATGAGACGCATCAGAAATTGCTCTGGCGCGGAAATTGTCTCAAATGTTGAGCATCTGCAGTCTGATTTCCAGAAGGGCGACCCCTCTTCGCGGTCTCTTACATCGCACACCAGTATGATACGATCAGATCACAGATCAGCTCAGCATAATAACAGCATCTTTCCAATGCTGCCTACTGGATAGTGATCGCTGGCAATGGACTGATGCGTACCAATGTGTGGCTGTCGCTGAGCGACACGTCGACTCTACCCAGTCCAGCCGGACCCCTCCCGCGTGCTCCCAATCCCCCCCTCGCGCAATGTCCGTCCTCCTTTCTCCTTTTCGCTTCGCGCTGAACAAGTCCATCCAAGCAGCATTTAACTTGGAAAAGCAACGTGGGGCCCGATCGACACTGCCTCCTCGGCCAGCAGGCAATGGTGCGACCGTGATGGGAGCGTTGACGCCGTCAGACGATGCATTCAATGACCTAAAGTCTTCGACCGGCTTTCATCCGCAGTACACTGTGCGGTTACGACATCCTCGCACATCGCTCGAAGCGCAAAAGCTCTACAACCACATACGAACTATAGCTTGGTATCTTGATGCCATTCCTTTCTTTGGACGGCGGCTGCCATTTGGCATCAACATCGGCGTTGACTCGATCATCGGCATCATCCCAGTAATCGGGGACTACTTCGGGCTCATTCTGGGGCTGTACCAGATCTTTTTGATCTCTCTCTTCGGCGTTCCCCTCAGCCTGTTGGCACTCTTGGTTCTCAACGTCGTGTTTGATACGTTGCTGGGACTGGTTCCCGTGTTCGGTGACGCGTTAGATGTCGCCTTCGAGGTGCGAATCTCTTCACGCCCGCTTGAGCGACTGTGCGATGGACACTGACGCTTGCACTCCTCCCTTTCATGCCAACCACGCAGTCCAATCTTCGGAATCTGAATGCATTTGAAGATCACATGTGCAAGAACAGAGGACAGTGCCGCTACGGCACCTTCTCCCTGTCATTCCCTCCCTCTGGGTCATTCCTACCTGCCCCAGGCGAACCGCGAGTTTCAGAGGCATTCATCGCAAGCTCCAGCGCTAGCAGTCCGAGCATAACGAACCGAGCGACGCAGCGCCATACTGCAGGGGAACGAGCGAGGGAGACCATGCGGGTAGGAGACAGGCTTGGTGATTTCGGGCCATCTATAGATGTTGCGCCGCTCGCGTTACCAGCTTCGCTCACCGCAGAGGTGGGCGTACGAGAAGGAGGGGCGGCGATGCAGGCTTCGGATCAGCCGCTCGGCGAGATCATCACCGACGGTTCAGGATCAAGTGCGGGCGCAGGACTGGAATCGGCGCCAGGAAGGGAGAGAAAGGTGGGAGCAGAAGCGGTAGAGGGCTATCGGATAGGGGATGCAGAGCATGCGGACCACGTCAATGCAGCGCTAGTAGAAAGGGTAGCAAGAACGCAGCGGAGGGCATACTCATCCTCGCAGATGTTATCAGACGACTCAGAGTCGCTCCACTCATCGGATTCCGAAGTGTCAGACAGCACAGCGGACTTGGCGACATACACGCGCGGCACGATCGGCATGGCACCCTCAACTATGACCGGCAGGCCTTTGAGCGTGCTGGACGCGGATTGGATCCTGCAACCCTCGTACCACCGCGATTACTACGGTGGTAGGGGGTCGCATGACTACGGTTTGGCGTATGAGAACGAATCGTCCATCTCAGCGCCACTGCTGGGGCATCCCGCTCTAGCGCACGACCGGGAGGTGACTTTACCGCGGCCACAAGTAGCAAACAGCGCGCATACTCACAGTGACGACGGTCTCTTATCTGCGCCGCCGGATAGCGTTTCACAGGCGCACGAAGACGACATAACGATGTCGTCAGCGAGAATGAGGGACCAAGGCAGAAGCGCGCGTCGCTGGAGTGCAGCGACCGAATCCAGGAGGTCTATGCAGAGTGAAGGGGAGTTTGCTGAGTTTGGACACAGTGTGATGGGCGGCACAGCCGCTGCGAAGAAGCGGAAACGACGAATGTTTTTTGTCGTGTATGCTTCGGTGAGTGGTGGTGAGATGGTTACATGAAGGTGTATGTGCATGTTCACTAAACTCTGCCATACGATATGCAGATCTTCTGCATCTGCTTCTTCACTTCTCTGGAAGCCAACACATCCTATCTCTATTTTAACTTTGGCCTCAGCGAATTCGGCGCCTTGGCGTCTTTCAGCACTGTGGCGATCGCGCAGCAGATGGTCTTTGCGGTCGCCAAGCCGCCTATCGCCAAAATGTCCGACGTATTCGGCCGCGCAGAGGCCTATTCGTTCTCAGTGGCTCTGTATGCGCTCGGATATGTCATCGTTGCGAGTTCCGATGGTATCAAGATGTTCATCGGCGGCATTGTCATCCAGTCAGCAGGCACGACTGGGTTGCAGGTGTGAGTGTAGGCAGAGAGCCTCACAGATGCGGGATCTAGAAGCTGACTTTTTTGGTTCTTGCTCTCTCCTACAGTCTTCAGTCTATTATTATTGCAGATACCACTACACCGCAATACCGAGGCTTGGTTTTGGGCATCATCAATGTGCCGTACCTCATCAATTTTGCGATTGCTGGCCCGCTTGTAGACATTGTCATGCGCAAAGCAAGCTGGCGGTGGGGTTTCTGGCTCTGGACGTTCGTCATTCCGCTTGCGTCTATGCCGCTGCTCGTCACACTCGCGGTTGGTCAACGACGGGCTCGGAAGCATGCAATCGAGCGCGCGCTCGAGAGGGGACGTAGTCTGAACAAGGGCAGGGCAGCAACCTTCCGCTTCAAGTTCCGAAGGCTGTTCGCAGAGCTGGATTTTCTCGGCTTACTGCTTTTTGCAGTCGGTTGGCTTTTGGTCCTGCTACCCCTCACGTTGCGGGATCGCTTCAGCACTGCAGCTGCAGCATACATTGCATTTGGAGGCGCAACGCTGCTCGTCCTCTTCCTCTATTGGGAGACGAATGCCGCCATTCCGATCATTCCATTCCGAGTGCTATCTAATAAGCCGGTCATATACGTCTGCGTGAGCAGCGGACATCTATTACGCGGTCCGAAAAGCGCGAGACTGACACAATGCTTTGATTTTACGTATTCCTGGCAGCTCATCGGCCTGCTTGATTTTGCGTCTTTTACGCTTTCGTGGACATACCTTTCAGCATTCATCCAGATCCTGCGCTCGTGGGAGCAGACTCGCACGGCATACTTTGCCACGACGCAAAACATCACATCGACGCTGATGGGTATCCTGGTTGGCTACCTCATGTCGGCTACGAGACGCTATCGTACCCTCATGGTGGGAGGCGTGTGTGTACGCCTGCTTGGAGTAGCGATGATGGTCCGGTACCGCAATGCGCATGACCCGACGTTCATGCTCATTCTGTGCCAGCTACTGCAAGGCGTCGGAGGCGGTGCAATCGCGATCACCATGCAGGTAGCCTGCCAGATCTGCGTGCGTCACAGCGACGTCGCCCTCGTTACCGCGTTTGAGCTGCTTACGACGGAGATTGGCGCAGCGATGGGCTCTGCCGCAGCGGGCCTGATTGTATCGGGCTACCTGCCACATTTGCTGCAAATTCATCTGCCAAAGATGTCGCCGGCAGAGGTGCACGAAATCTACGGGAGCCTGCAAGTTGCGCTCAGCTATCCGCTTGGTAGCGAGGTTCGCACGGGCATCATCGATGCGTGGGTTGACGTGATGCGCACCATCTGCATCAGTGCCACCGTCATCCTCCTGCCCGCGTTCTTCCTCGCGCTCGCTATGCCCAATGCGATGTTGCCCGATCACTCAGACTCGCACGGGCACGGGTATTCGCACTCGCAATCCCATTCATTCGCGCATGCGCGCGGCGGCACAACCAGCGGCATCAGCAATATCGCCTCTGAGTGCCCTGGCTCACCTTCGACCAAGGGGCCACCACGGCGAGCGACGCGAAGCTTCCCGTCGTTGACGGAGACGTGATATGTCCCATTTGTAGCAAAAATCGCACTGTACTTTGGAGAATCCCCTTGTAGCCTAGCATGACACATGCTCCTGTCGTATACCCGGACACTGTGGCGTAGTTTGGATCTTCGGATGACGTAGTAGGGCTGCCTTTGTACGAATGATTGGGTGGCGAGCGTTGAGTAATTTGTGGTATCTTTGTTCCGCTCGTGCGAGTAATATGGCCTGTGCGAGTCTGTGAAAGTGTCAAGGGCTGGCGGGCTGCTACTGTGCCGTCGCCACATCCTGTCACCAGAGGTTTCCAAAGTTTTGCTTGGCGGCACAAGGTGGGGCTCGTGCTGAGCACCGAGCGAAGGGAGATAGGGTTAGGCTTCCCCAGCGGCAGTATGACGACGACCTTGAAATCATCATCATGGAGAGCTTGACAAACTCATCCTCCACCTGCAGCATCCCGACGTTCATCTCGCACAGCAGCATGCTATCAGTCTTTCTGAAATCCATCGTGACAAACAACGTTTATTCTGAAGCACACCAATCCCAGGAGAAAGGGGAGCACGCGCGCTGTGGCCGCAACGCGCATGCACATGCTCGCAATACATCCCCTCAAGCCGCATTGTCTATGATTTGCAGCGAGTCGGCCGATTGAGCTTGCCCTTACAACTGCATCTCCCAGCTCTCACTTTCACACCCCGCCATCTGCTTCTGGACCTTAAAGCCGGCCTCAGCTTACAATGGCGATTTCGGGGGATCCCCAACAGGGTGGAGGGCCCTCTGATCCACGGTCCTCGTGGTCCCGATCCCAGAACTCTGCCGAGTATGAGCGCACAAGAGGATTAGCTTCTCCCCCCTACGAGCTCGGGCCACCAGGATACCAAAGCAGATTTACAGTCCAGGACCCTTCTAGCGAAAGGCAAGGACAGGGGGTTTATATGCGCAACGCCCAGCCTGACATGTCCAACAGCACTGGTACGCAGGCTGCAGTGCCTGAGCCAAGCCAGGCCGAAGGCACGACTCAACCCACCGCAGGCGCATTCACACAGATTCCTCTTTCTGACGCTGATGCATCTGTCAATGGCTCTGATACGGCTGTGCATGTTTCGCCAACCATCGCTTCACGAGGGATTATGCGGCCTGCAGCTCCGCAGGCACCTCGTATTGCCGTCATGGATCCGCTGGCGGACATGCGCATGCGCAACCTCAGCAAGCCCGATGGTCTCGGGGCCAATTCGGACTGGCCGAGCAAGGAGCAGATCATGGCGTCCGGGTCGCATGGGGCCTTTGCCCACAACCAGGCGCACGCCTCTGCAAAGGGTGATTATGTACCTCGCTCCGAAGGCCTTCCGATCAACAGCAACACAGGCATGCCTTTGCGCCCTGGCCTGTCTCAGCGCGATTCTGAAGTGTCGAGCGATGGCGCGGAAGATTACAGTGATGGCGCCAACTTCAACTGGTCCGACGATGAAGCGGTCGAGGAGAGCGCCAAGTTCGAAGAGGAGATCGCACAACAGCGCAAAGTCAAGATCGGCCGAATCTCGCTGTGGGCAATCATTCGCTTCCTGGGCGTGACGTTCCTCGGAAACTTGATCATCTCATCCTTGCTCATCGTTCCGGTCCTCGTGATTCAATTCGTCTACCGGCCGGCCGGCGGCGTCAGCACGCAGGAGACCGCGCACAAGGACTACGTCGCGGACAACATTCAGGCGTGGTTCATCTGGGCCGCATTCAACCTGCACGTCATGTGGTGGCTGCACTTTTCCGTCGGCCTCATCCCACGCGTGGGTATCCTGTTGGTGCAAATCGTCTGGGGAACGGCAAACCAAAGGGTCAAGACGTACGCAGAGGTCTACAATGCGATCAAGGCGTATATCTCGCCCATCACATATGCAGCCATGAGCTGGGCGAGCTGGGCGACCCTCTTCAACCCGATCTTTGGCCTGTACAACCAGACCGACCCTTCGCACAGTCGCGGCGCATATCTTTACCGAATCTACCAAGTTGTCGAGTTTTTCGTGAGTGAGAGAAGAGTTGGACAAGCGCGTGACCAAGGGTGGCGAGACTGATTGGCTTATTCTCGCTCCACTGCGCTCGTAGTTCTTCGTTATACTCACAATATGTGTCGAAAAGATCATCATCAAGTGCATCGCCATGTCCTTTCACAAGTCGGCATATGCGGAACGTATCGAGACGGTGACCAATGCGCTGCGCACCTTTGACAGGCTCAAGGACTACCGACCCAAGTGGAAGGATCGGAACCACAGCCGCTCGGGCCGCGCGACGCCCTTGGCCTTCAGCGCGAATGGACCAGGCAGCGGGGTGCACTCTCCTATTGCGCCTCCGTCGGCGAGCTTGGGAAAAAGGACACATGCCAAGAAGCGCCCGGCTATGCCACACTCGTCCGTCGACCTGGATGCTGCTGCTGCAATCACAGCAAGCATGAGCAATGGGAGCGGGCAGACCTCTGGCGGTACTTCGCCAACTGTGACAGCGAGAGGGGGCAAAGGCGCCGCGAAGATCGCTCGCATGCCGGTGCAGGCGATCCGCTCTGGCGCCTCGACGGTCAGAACTGGCGCGGGTAAAGCGAGTAGGATCGCGCGTGTTGCGCTGACGGATCCGTTCAGTCTACTCTCGAGCAAGACGACCGGCGTCGGTGCGGATGTTAATTCGCCGCAGGCGGCCAAGCGGCTCGCCAAGACGATCTTCCGCTCGTTCCGTGGCCACCATCGCCGGTCGTATCTGATCCCGTCGGACTTTGAGCCGGCGTTCGCGACGGTGCAGGAGGCGCGCGCCGCATTCGCCGTGTTTGATCGCGATGGCAACGGCGACATTTCGCAGTCGGAGATTAAGAACACCGTGCTGGCGACGTACAAAGAGCGCCGGTTCCTGAGCAAGTCGATGCAGGATGTCAACCACGCGGTGGGCCAGCTGGAGCGCATATTCTACTTTGTCGTCTTTGTCATCCTCATGTTTGAGGCGTTCGCCATCTTTGACGTCGACATTTCCAAGACACTGACGACGTTCTACACGCTGGGGATCGCATTTGCGTTCATCTTCAAAGAATCGGCGCAGAACGTGTTCGACAGCATCATCTTCCTGTTTGTCACGCATCCGTTTGACACGGGCGACCGGATCGCGATCACTAAGGAGAGCACGACGGTGGTGATGGCGGTGAAGCGCATGTCACTGCTCTCATCCGAATTTACGCTGGCGGACAACACGGACATGTACGTGGCGAACAGTGTGCTGGCGTCGATCATGATCACCAACTACAGGCGCAGCGGGTACCAGTGGGAGTCGGTCGCGATCCAGGTCGCGTTCGACACGCCACTGCAGAAGCTTGACGCGGTCGAGGCGGACATGATCCACTGGCTGTCGACCGAGCCGGAGCGCATGTTTGAGCCGACGACGGCGATCGTACCGCAGAAGATCAACTACATGCGCAGCATCGAATGCACAGTCGGCATGACGCACCGCCGCACGTGGCAGGACTGGGGCATGCGCTGGTACTGCCGCAACGCCTTCGTCGCCGCACTGTGCTACTACATGAAGAAGCACGGCATCCGCTACGCGCAGCCAAACCAGCCGATCATCTACTGGTGCGATGACGCAGCACAGCTCCCGCCGTCGTACGACAACTCGTCTTCGACGCCAGCGTCTGCGCCAGGCGCAGACGCACTGCCCGCGCGCCGCGGCTCGGACGTCAGCCAGGCGGACGGCGAAGGCGGCTACCATGCGATGTACGACGACAGCTTCGACCAGTCACCACCACCCAGCCCGGGCACGGGTGCGGGCAATGGCGGCGGCGTCCCGAATCTCCCTGGAGGTGCGCACGGTGCGGCTGCGGCGACGAGCGGAGTGCCGCCGGCGAAGGTCAAGTCGTTCATGGGCTTTGCGTTGCCGGCGGACGAGCTGGACGGGACGGGCTTGCGCAAGCGGCGGGCCAAGTCGAAGAGCAAGGGCGTGGCGATCCAGGGCGGCGACGGTTGAGGGCGCCAGGTGCGCCGGCATGCGGGTCATATCGGCGCTTACAGTCTACGTTCCGCGTCTTGTTTTCTCTCTCGCGCTCGTGTCCATCATTCATCAGCATTTGCCTCGCCGAGGTGGGTAGCTAGCGCGGAAAAAGCGCAGCGACCCATGCGCATGGCGTGACTAGCATTCGGGTCCCCCCTCCCCCTCTGGCATCGAGGTTCCGACTCTCACCGCTTGTGACTCGCTGATCAGCATAACAGCAGTGATTCCGCAGCAGAGCATTCGAACATCATTATCGACCTAATATCTTTTGGACTCGACTTTTCTTCCCTGCCCTTTCATCATGATCGCCACAAGCAAGCTCACAGAGAGGCAACTGCCTGCGTGTGCTTCGTGTGAACCGGCACAGTTCCCAGCAGAGAGAAGCCAGGGGTCGAATCACAATAAGACGGAAGATTGCCTCATCTTTTTGTTCCCACCGTGTGTTTTATGTATGGAGTGTGCGCATGCACACCACGCTAGCACTTGATCGCCTGGTATGTGTGTATGTATCCACTCGAAAGCAATAGAGTCTGGGGCTGAGCGGGAGAGAGAGTGCGTGTGTGTAGTGGCCATTGTCTCGGCCGAGAGTATATAGATACATGTGGCTGGCTTGGCTGAAAAGGCACTGATGCACGCAACCTCCTTTGGCCCCCCCTGTACAATTATGTTGGGCGCTGCGCGTGTGTGTAAACCTGTATGTTCGAGCTGCAAGGGTAAGCCCCCCGACTCATCCTCTGCTGATAAAAGGTTCTATTCGCCTTTTCACTCCTTGATTACTGCAGCCAGCCAGCAGCACGAGTACGAGCGCCAGCGCGAACACCAGCAGCACTTGCTCTTTCCCATCTGCCACACCAGACGGTGCGTGGCTCGGCTCACATCGACTCTGCTCTTCGCTGGCAGCAAACAGTGCACAGCACCAACCAACACCGCCCGACACCCCCCGTCGCTGTTGCCTCTGTTGGTGTCGTTCTCCAGTCGGCGCATCGCCCACCCCTGTTCCCAGCCCCGCCGCATCATGGCACCATCACCATCGCGTATTGCATTGCCCCCTCTCCGCGACCGTTGTCGGCCTGCACGCTGCTCGTATAACAACAACAACAACAACCACCCCATCTGACCAACCGTCTATCACTGCCTCCTCATCCTCCTCCTCCTCCTGCCCTTTCATCACAGCAAGACGCCTTGTCGCATACACACAGCCCGCGGTCCCCCCTTTGCTGCGGCGTGCCACCCAGTGCATCCGCATGCGCAGCGTGTGTAGAGCGAACAAGCGTCCCCACCGCCACGCCTCCTCCATCCCCTGACGCGTGACTGCACCTTTGCCACTTGTCGCCATGACGTCGTCTCCAGAGAGCAAGAGCAGCAGCGGCGGCGCTGCGACGCAGGTAGAGCTGGAGCGCACGCCCCGCGCGCGCTCCAGCGCTTCGTTCTCCAGCATGGCCTCTGCTGGCTCAGCTTTAGCCGCATCGGCAGCCCTGTCGTCCGTCGCCCGGCAGCAGCCAATTACACCACAAGAATCGTGGTACGGCCGTCCGCGTGCTAGCACCGCCACCGTCGCGCACGGCCTTGATGCCGCCGCGGCCACCAGCAGCGCCTCGCAGCGCCAGCAGCAGCAGCACACCGCGCGCAGCGGGAGCTTTTGCGTCGCTCTGCCCAACGCGGTGTCTATGCCTGCGTCCCTCGCGTTGTTCGGGTGTCCGCCTGATGCCAAAACAGCAGCAACCACAGCGCTAACGCCGCCAGTAGCGCAGACGCGCAAGCGCCGCAGCAAGACGCTCTCTGACGCGCTTGTCGCATCGCGCCATGCACGCCGGACATCGCTTGCGCGCCTGCCACTGTCTTTATCTCTGTCCTCGTCCCCGCCCCCATCCGTCGTGCAGTCGCCGCCGCCGCCGCCGCCCGTGTCGCCGCTGCCCGCTGCGCCGCTGCCGTCCAAGCAGCCGGACTCTGCGGCGGCAACCGCGACTGTGAAGGCAGACGCGAATGCCACAGAGTTCCTCTCGCACGCCTCGCTGCACATTGCGCTGCTTGCGCGCACCCTCGGCGCCGAGACGGACGCGCAGGCACGTGACGACTGGTCCAGCTTCATCTCGAACGGCTACAGTTTCTTTTCCCCTTCTGCTCCAGTGATGTTCGCGGCCGGCGGAGGGAGACGGAGACGGCAGCGCGCCAGCTCGACGAGCAGCGCCGCTGCTGCCTCGCTGTCATCGTCATCATCGAGTAGCAGTAATAGCAGCAGCGACACAGCGACAAGCTGCGGCACGGCCAAGCTGCACAGCGGCGGCGGCATGGGTCTGCGTGGCTTTGCGGCGCTCACGAACCCGTCATCGCTTGCGGGCTTTTCAGCAGCAGCATCGCCCGGCCCCGAGGACGCACACGACTGTGTGCCTGACAGCTGCTCCCCGCCGCCACCATCGCAGCAGCATGGCGTCTTCTCGCTCTACGACGCCCGAAAGAGCCTCGCATGGCTCAGCGGCGAGCTGGAGAGCGACGGCGACGATGCTGATGCCGACGCCACGTACCCGTCCAGCGACGATCATGACGATGACGTCGACGCGTTCTTTGCGCCGCGCCATGCGCGCGTCCGCCGCACCGTGCCCAGGGCTACGCAGCTGCGCCGCACGACACTGGCGCGCGTCCGCACCGAGGATGTGCCGGCTCCGGCCCCAGCTTCTTCGCCCGCCGATGTGGAATTTGCAGCTGCAGCAACAGCAAGCACCAGTAGGCGCACATCGAGCGCGACGTGCACGTCTTGCACGCACTCGTCTGCAGCGTCGACGCGTCCGTCGCTGCACTCGCGTTCCTCGCGCCCTTCCACCGCCGGCTCGGCGCGCAGCCTGCAGACCGAGCTCACGGAGCAGGAGGCTGAGGCCGAGGCTTCCGGTGGCACCGGCAGCGAGGAGGGCGAGATGTACTGCGATACTCGGACGTACTACTCGCCGGCCCTTGTTTCGCAGGCGCGCTTGCTTGCGTCGACAGCGAAGAACACGTTGGCGGGTGTACCAGAGCGTCAGCGACTGCACCGAGTCTCGATGGACTCCGACTGCAACCTCGATGGTGCAGCGCTACAGTGCGCGCACGCAGCGACGAGTGCCGACGTGTGTGCAAGCGTAGCAAACCACGGTTCCTCCAGCCTCCTTGCCGTACCCGCCGACGCAGCGCCCTTTGGGCCGTCGACACCGACGATCCGCAGGCGCGCCAGCTCACTCGCTATTCAGGCGCAGCTGGACGAGGACACTGCAGCACCTGCCAGCACGGGCGCGCGCACGAGCACCGTCAGCACTTTTAGCAGCGGCAGCAGCAGCAGCAGTCGCGCGCATTTACCGTCAGGGCTGCTCGGCTCGTGGCTCGCTTCGAGCAGCACGCCGCGCAGCGCCGGCTCACCCATCATTGCGCCCGCACCTGCGCATGGGCGTCCACGTTCGAGCAGCGCGCGCAGCGCTGCTGAGCAAGGCGCTGCCGCTGCGCGACCTTTTACTGCGTCTACGGCGAAAATGAACAAGTTTGCTGCCGGCGCTATCCCGATTGCCCCGAGCGTCGTGGATGAGCTTGGCGCTGCTAGTGATCAAGAGCGCGGGGATAGCGGATTTCACGACGTGCAGGGAGAAGCGCAGGGTCAAGGCCTCTTTGGCTCCGATGGACTTGCGGACATTGACACCGACAGCGACAGCGACGAGGAGCGGGACGTTGTATATGCGCATGATCAGGATGAAGAAGAAGAGGAGGAGGAGGATGGTCTTCCACCGCGTCCCAATAGCCGTAGGCAACATGGGCGCACTGGCAGCCTCGGCTTGAGCTCTGCCGCGCTGCGCCGCCTCGGCATCTGTGAAGAAGCCCTGTACGAGCTACAACAGCAGCCGGCATTGTCGTCATTTCTCCCTGACACCACCAACAAGGCGACTCTGGAGACGACGCTAAGGCGCCAGGGTCGTCAGTCCAATCCGCCGCTATCGGTCAGCAGCACCACCTCGCGCGCCATGGCCGTGAGCGGTTCCATGCAGGACTTGCGCATGCTCCGACAGGCCGCCAGCAAGTTGCACGGCAGCAGCGATGGTGGCGGCAAGGCGCTCGGGATGGGTGATGCCACTGACGCAAATGCCAGTCTCCGCGTGCAAGGCAGCATCTCCCGCGCTACACAGTCTTTCATCGATCTGGACGCCGGCAAGCGCGCTCGGTCTCGCCACTCGCAGTACGATAACAGCCTGCTGCGATTGCCTGCGCATCTGCTCGCGAGCGGGGGCGAGCAGGGCAGCAGCAACAGCAGCCTGTCTCGCTCCAACAGCCAGCGGAAGGACTGTGCGACGTCGTCGAGCACCACGAGCACCGTCCGTCCCAACTTTTGGCGCAAGCTCTCCAACTCCAGCCGCAAGGAGCTGTCGGTCAGCGCGGCCTCGGCCGAGGACGGCGCTGCGCCCAAGGCGAACGTGGGCCCCTCATCGACAGCTGGCCTTTTGCAAGTGCCCGCGGGAATGGCGGACAAAGGGGGGTCGTGGAGCTTCAAGAAGATGCGCAAGGTCACGCTTGCCAGCACCGTTTTCGCATAAGCAGCCAGTCAGCCGGTCAGGCAGGCAGCCCTCTCTTAGTCAGCACTCGGTACACGTGTCACCGGCTTTCGCAGTATATCCGGATCTGCAATGGGCATATTTGTATTTCATTCGTATCGTACGGGATTTGTCACAACATTTGAGGAGACGGACAGGTAGTTTGAAAAATAGAATTGGGTGTAGGAGGAGGACTACTGCTTCTCTTTCACCTGCCAGAAGAGCTTCGAGTTGTCGAATGTCACGTCACCATTTGCGAGCTCCGACGTCGTGTGCCCTTGCTGACGAGTCATTTGCTGCTGCTGCTGCTTGCGAAGCGTCAAAGGACTCTGCCACGTACCGTTGACGCGGCTCTGCGCGAGATCCTGCGAACGCGTTTGCGCCTCCTTCAACGCGTTGAGGCCCATCGTGCAAAGTACCGTCGCTTGAACTTTGGACTGGCCTCCCTGCGAGGTGCGCACCTGGATTGCGCCAGGGAGCGTCGGATAGATGGACGAGATGGAAGAGTTGGCCATGCTCGCATTTGCTTGGCTGGTTGTGGCGACGTCGCCGACTCTGCCGCTGATGCTAGCCCGATTCCGCCTCAGGAAGCCCAGGATGCCAGCCGACACTGGGTCGCCTGGCTGCAAGCTGCGCGGACGCTCAACTCCATTCATTGCAGTCTTGAGTTCGTTGACGACACACCATGTCGAAGCTTCAGCCAGTTCGTCTGCACGTTCCTTGCCCCCAATGGCATCGTTGGTCTTCATGAGACCGGCTTTGACTTGTGCTAGATCGAGGGCAGAGCAGGGTGGCTTTGACGAGCTGATTCCTCCCGCTTTGGGCTTTGTAAGGTCCTTCCGGGGTACCGCAGCGCCTTCACAACTCTCCTGCAGCCCGGGCAAGCGGGTCGCCTTTGCTGCGATCGGCGTGCTATGAGACCCCCTTGCGAAGGCAGCCCCCAGGGAAATACGAGCTGCGGCTTTTGCGACTGTGGAGACGGATGATAGCGCCGCCATATTATCAGGGCGCATTGACAGGCCTGAATCGTCAGGTACCGCGCTGCTCATGCGTGAGCGATCAGAGCCAACCTCGGATGGAGGCCCTGCCCGTCTTGAGCGCCGCAGATCCTCCTGCAGCGTCCCTGGAGAGATGTCCTCCGCATATCGACAAAGCATCCTCTGCAGCGAGTCGACTTTATTCCTAATTGCCTTTTCGGACCAGTCACCAGCAATAGACAGCCGCGAACGCTGAATTCCTAGGCTTAGGAGGAACGCTGTGACAACCTCATCCGAGTCGATTGCTCTGATTGCCGCAGCTTTGGACGGATTGTCGCGACTCGCGACCCAGGCTTCATTGCTTTCGATGTGTTTCACGAGCATCTTCTCGAGCACAGACCAGTCGCTCTTTCGCCAAGACAGCGAGGACACAGGCGCGATGGCGACGCTCGCATGCTTATGGGCTGAGGCTACCACGAGCGGCGACACTGGGAACGCGCCGGGGGGCTTCGGCGTATTGATGGATGCCAACGCTCCGCAGGCCGGCGTCGCAGAGGGAGCATGCGGTGTGCCATGTTGCGCGCCCGCCAGGAGTCGCTGCTCTTCCCTGCGAAGCATGTGTGGCAGCGATTGATTTTCGCTTGCTGACGCAACTTCAGTTTCCACCAGGCAGCCCTCTTCGATGTAGCGATGATAGTGTTTCAATATGGCGGCAGCTCGCGCAGCAGCGTCGGCATCGACACTTGAAACTTCAACGATCGGCGTAGGTGTCAGGCGCGAGAGCATTTGGGACCGCTCTGCTGACATGTTGTCCAGGTTGCTTCCCACAGTGCTGAATGCGGACATGTCGCTGACAGAAAGGGGAGCATTTGGCTTTCTTAGATGTTCCGAGTCACAGCCATCATGGGACCCTGTGGACGGCTCTGCATCCTCTTCTTCGTCTTCGTCTCCTTCATCCTCGATAACGACTGTAGAGGGAGCGCGGTTGACCACGGACGGGACAGCAGCAATGCTCTTGTCAACGATCGCGGACTCCATGCTGGTGTCGACTTCTTCGTACATCGCCTCCGACTGAGCGTGGTCCTCGCTGTGTTGCTGTGAGTCATCACGAGGTTCTTGTCCTTCGCTCCCTTGCTGCACCGCCTGATCGTCGTCATGATAGATGATGCCTTCACCCTCCCCGTCGTCAAGCCAATGCGTTTCTTCCTCCGGCACGAGTTCTGAGGGGTCGGTCTGCAAGTGCTCAGGTGCTTGACGAGTTTTGCTGCGTGCCCGGTACCTACTTGCGCTGTTGCCGATCAATTCGATGCTGTCCTCACTTTCGGCATCAGAGTCTTCCATGAAGGTGTCCAACGCGTCGGAATTGTGTTGTGACTGTGGCGAGTCCTGTTCCGAGACATGTTAGTACATTGAGAATCGCATGGCAACTGAATTGCTCTCACCTCAGCACCAATGGCTTCTTGAGTGCGGATGTGGGATCGACTTCCGCTGTCTTCCTCACCCAGCACAGAAGCAGACTGGCTTTCCCGAAACTGAGAATCCTGACTTGCAAGGGGCGTAGGGTCGATCAGCCCGTTCGAGACTTCTTGGGATGACTCTTGGTGGCCTTCCTCCACGATCGCGCTCGCGTCGGCTGCCTGTGCCCAAGCCTGGAGCTCATCATTTATCAGAGGAGGGAGCACATTGTAATTTTGGTCTTCCAGCGCATTCTCATCTGAATCTGAACCATCTTCCATATCCGCTGAGGGCATCATTCCCTGGGGGTCAACAATACGAAGATGAGCCCTCAAAAGTGCGACAGCTCACCTCTCCAATTGTAGGTCTTCGCTGCAGTGCTGTCCACCGCAGTGCTGAAAGGAGCGCTGGTCACGGAGAGATGGACTGATTGACTTCTTGCACGTTGCCTTTCAATAGTCTCTTGGGTGAAACTTGATTCGCCCAACTCTCCTTCCTCCTCCTGCTCCTCTCCTACTGATAGCCCATTAGCCGTATGCAAAGCTGCAAACTTCTCTAGTTGTGCTCCTTTCAGCAGGAGCGGATCATCACCAGGGCTGTCTGGCTGCTTCGCTTCCGATAGCATCTGTTCCGTCTTTCCCGGAGGCGGAAGTGTGGAGGAGCGCTCCTTGCGAGAGTATCGCACACTCTGATTAAACACTTGAGACGAGGCAATACTGAGCGATTGATCGACCTCGTCTTCAGTCCTTGATGGCGCTGTAGTTCGAGCAGGAGCACTCTTTCGCCCCTTTGAGACAAACTTTTCTTCTGATTTGCTTTCCTTTTTGATACTTGTAGAAGCCCGTGGTTTGAGCGGTGGCCCATAGACGTAGCGCACCCGCACCGGACTGCCCAGTTCCATGTTGTCCCATCCATTTTCCTTGACTTCGCGGAGGAAGGAACTGTCCGCGCGCAAGCTGCATTTTTTGCCGCCGTCGACTTTCACCGTGCGTAGGTCACTTTCATTGATATTTGAGCTCAGATCTTCGCCTGCAAACTGGCTAAGCTTCCAGGCAGCGTCTACAGACTTGAACTTGCGAGCTTGCCTCTTCCCGGGATTGGACGATGTTTGCGATGATTCAACGAGCGAGCTTGCGATTTGATTTGACGCAAATCGTTCATATTTCGAGCCGCAGCCCTGAGAATGCTCCTCCACTCGACCAGTCTTCTTTGCTCTCGGATTCGGACTGGTGGACGAGTCCAACGCTGGTTCCTGCTGCTGCAAAATGCGTGCAATGAAAGGTGACCTCGGTGCCCTTGGTCGTTTTCCCAAGGGAAGACCTCCCTGGTCTTTCGAGAAGCTCTTATGCAAGGTGGAAAGGGCTGCTCGTTGGACTGTGTGTCCGATGCTGCTGGTAGTTGCATTTGTCACTTCTCCCAGGGCTGAGCGGGTTCGCCGATCGCCAGCTGTCATGGAAGACATCTGCGCCTGCTTTTTGACCGGGCTCTTGTGCAAAACATCATCCTGCACAGTGAATGCTTGATGTGATCGTGAGGAGGCAGAGCCCTGCTCTCCCGCGTGCTCGAGCCTCGACCTCAACGCCGCGAGCTTCTCGGTTATTGATGGGGTCGATGGGGCGGCGGAGCCGGCAGCCGGCAGTGGAGCTGCTGTTGGAGTCATCGCCATCGCTCCCTGCTTCACTCGCCGACACTCAAACTTGATTCTGGCATGCGCAATGTCACCAAGACGCTGCCATCAGGCCATCGACCAAAAGAAATGGATCAACAGTATGGCACCTTGTGAGATTGCGTACGAACGTGCCCATTCACGACGTTACGTGCTTCGCTGGTTGAACAATCTCACACTGGCACAGTGCCTGTGATCTCCGACGTGGCACACATGTTGCGTGTGTTTGGAGTGTGGATCGACCAAGGGCACATTGACGCGTCATGCACGTGACTTGGACCCAAACGTAGAAGAAGCATGAGCCCGAAAGTGTCCCATGAGTGTGGAGGTTTTTTATCGACACCTGGGAAGGGTGCTGCGGCAGGGGAGACGACCACCCGCCCATTCACCCCCGCCCAACGCCCAACGCATGGGCTGCAGCCATTCCGCCGCAGTTGCTCACCCGCGCAGCCGCCTCCTGCTAACGGCGAGGACCTTTAGTCATTTGAATCTTAATGACCACCTTCCTCCTTCTAGTCTGTCGTGTCACACCAATTGCCCAAGAGTGAGTATAGACACATAGCAGCAGCTGAAGGGCAGCATCAATTCGGATAGCAGAGGCTGATGCAGCGGGGACAATGAAGGGTATCGAGTCGCCTGTGGCTAGGCGCGCAACATCGAGTGGTATGAGCTGGGGAAACACTGGTGCGATGATCTGGCATGGCGGAGGAAAGGCGGCAAGGACGCAGGTATAACCGCTGTCGTGGTGGGCTGCAGCTCTACAGCCTTATGATCCAAGCCTGCTTTGGTCAAGGGTAGAAAGATTGCTCTCATCCCTGAGCAATGGATGTTCAAGGCTTGCCATGCGTGTGCAAGGTGCACCTCGCAGACATTCTCATGCCGACAAACGCTGCTGACCCCGCGCGACGGCTGCGCGATGTTGGCAGGCGTCAAAACAGCATGGAGCAAACGATTGAAGGAGACTACATCCACTCGGAGATGTGCATTGCTGCCCCCAATGCTGCTAGTTTCTGCGCATCCATCACTGGAAGCTAATCAATTCTTCTTCTACGCTTCAGTGACGAAGAAGAGAAGAAATGGCGGCCGTAACAAGCACGGACGTGGCCACGTGGCCTTCGTCCGTTGCTCCAACTGTGCCCGGGCGACTCCTAAGGACAAGGCCATCAAGCGATTCACTGTCAGGAACATCGTCGAGGCCGCTGCTGTCAGGGACATGAGCGAGGCTTCGGTTTACGCTGGTGAGTAAGCACATTGGTTGCCAGTGTGACATTATGGAGCTTGGTTCCAGCCATGCATAAAATGCCATGGGTATGAGCGTGAGCCAGACTGTCGAGTTCTGCCACGTGCTGCGCAGATCAGTTAGTCGGCGCTCCAGTAGCACAGTCCACTTTTCTGCTTGCATTGCACACCTCCAGGGTGCGCGATCTTTCGCCGTTGTAACCGAGGGCGTGGAGCTGGGATATAAAGTCTTGCACGAGCATGTTCTGATCAACGGCTTTTGCTGCATTGCCAACAGAGTACGCCCTGCCCAAGCTCTACATCAAGCTGCACTACTGCGTCTCGTGCGCCATCCACGCCCACGTCGTTCGTGTTCGCTCGCGTGTTGGTCGCAAGAACCGTGCACCTCCCGTGCGCGTTCGCTTCAACCGTGATGGCAAAAAGATCAACCCGTGAGTTGTGCTCGTCAGAGTTGGGCGGTACACAATGTGTTGCGCCTGTTATTTAACCTCCAAATTTCTTTTTTGTGCCTGTGTGACAGTGCCGTCGCTGGTGCCCAGAACACCGCTGGTGCTCAGGCAGGTGGTGCTGCGGCGCCAACTGCCCGTGTCTAAGCAGCTGTGAGCTTGGGACATTCGCTCGCTCGCTCCAAGCTTTTCAAGACACATAGTGGGGCCACATCGCATGTAGAACAAAACGCTTATGCACATGGCAATGTAACAACACAGCTTCCCGTCCCTTGACGCCGGTGCTTGTTTTGGCTATCGATGCTGTACACTTCACAGGCGTGCCTGTCCTTTCTGTAGCGCGCGCGAACACCAGCGTCATCCCGCACCACGTTTGATTAGCTCCCCAGCCTGTTTGACTTCGGTCAGTTCCTTCGCACGTACGAATAGTTATAGTAGGAATTTGTGGAGACTTGAAAATCCATAACATTTGCTGCATGAACAGTGGTCCGTGGTCTGTGCACAGGAGAAAGTCGAGCGGCGAAGAACCGATACAGCGATGATAGGCCATCGAGCGGTGGAGTCGGGAAAGCATTAGGGTTAGGGTGAATCGCGTAGCGCCGCCATCGTTGTGCAAAAAAACCATGATGCGACGCGACGCGATTCTCGTGTGCCACCACTAGCAGGCGTCTGTCTCCCTTGCCCAATCAAGACTGTGACTACCTGACTACCGACTGCGGCCCAAGTGAACAAGGTTCATAGCCATTTCGCATAGGTATGCATCATTTACCCTACATCAAGAGTTGCCGGCCATCATCGTCCCTGCCCCTGCTGTCTGATCGCCATTGCATTGGCTGCGAGAATTCTCGGCTGCATGTCCGATGCTGGCAGTGGCAATAATGGAGTCATCCGAGCTCAGCTCATTGCCGGATCCGATGATCAGTAACGCGCCAAAAACGCGACGTACCTATGGCCGCCAGCGGCCTTCCGTGGAGCCTCAGGACGAAGAAGACACGTCCTTGGACGAGGAAAAGGGTCAGGAAGGTGCTGAAACTAACGCTGCAGAGCGGCGAACGCGATTCATTCCACCATCCTCGAGCGCAATCACCGTTATCGCTTCGGACAAGGTTGGCCAGAATGCGCGCTCGTCTCAGTCTACCGCGACCACTGAACCAAATGCCTCAGCCGACCTTACGGCCTCCAGCCCTTCGCCACGCAAGCGCCAGCGGCAAAGCTCAGGCAATCACACTGAGGAAACTACAGCGACTACTTTGCCCGGTGACGACGACGAAAGTCAAAGTTCCGAGCGCGCCGTGAATGGCAAGTCAATGCGTCCGCTCCAGGGCGAACTGGGCGAAGACGCGTCTGTGACTGCAAACGCCATGACTTCGCGTCACCATCGAAGTGTCGGTTCTTCACAGTTGAGCTCCCTGCCGACGTCCTTCCTCGAAGGTCATCGCCCCACGCAACCGTCCTCCGAACACATTCCTCCAAGCATTAAACCCAAGCCGTCGGGATCCAGAAGCCAGCTTCAAAACAGGAGTAGCTACGCGGAGAGTGCTGGTGATGTTGCGAGCGGTCAAGAAGGAGAGCACGATAGCGCTCATGAAGTAGCTGCTGTAGAGCCGATCAGGCTCAAGAGCAACACGTTCGCTGGGAAGATGAAGGCGCGTAATGTCAATGCGAATCCATCACATCGCCTCGAACGTGTGGGCCGTCCGCAAGCCGTAGATGAACGCGACAGCATCCAAAATGACTCGGATTCGAGCGGTGATGATTCTCGTGGTGCGCGTCTTGCGGCCGGGCCTTCCAAGGCGGACAAGCTCAAAGCCCTTGCCGAGCGCCGCCGCGTTGCTACAGTGTTAGAAGAAGTGGAAGAAGGGATGCCTGCGGCCAAAGCTGGTCCATCAACTGCTTTCAAGCCCATCCCGGCATCTGTTGCCATACAGCACACACTTTCCGGCAAACATCATGAATCGGAAGGTGACGAACTTGATGAGCTGGACGACCAGGATGATGATGACATCATGAACAGTGACGGTAGCGACATCGACAACGACCTTCCCGATCTTGGCAAGACGCTGCAAACTGTCGCGCGCCAGAAGAAGACGGAGCAAGCACTCGAACGCAAGGAAATGCTGGAACGATTCAAGCAGAACCGACGAGATGGCAGGGCAAACAAGGGGGACAAGCCGCAGACGAAACTGGTGGAGGATGAAGAATCTAGCAGTGAAATAAGCAGTGGTGACGGCAGTTGTACCGGCTACGAGAAAAGTCTGTGGACGAAGCCGAAGACGAAGAAGACCAAGGGAAGCAGGAGAACTGAGGCTGCGAAACCTCTAAAGATCAAAGTATGTCACTTCCTGCCTCAAGCAGCAGACGCAATCTTATGTGCAGTACTAACGCCACTTCGTGTTTCACCGCTGCACAGCCGCTCAGCGCGCGCGAGAAGGAGGAAATGATCAAAGAGTCCGAGCGGCTGGAGCGTGTCAACAAGACGCGCAAAGCACGCGAAGCGTACGAGAGTCGGGTGGAGAAGGCGCCGCCGCAGCTCTTCGGCCTGTCTGAAATGCGGCAACGAATCCAAGCCAAAGAAGAACAGCGCAAGCGCGATGAACAGCTCAGACGCTCCGGGAATGTGCTGGGGCGCCGCGTGTTTGGCACACATCCTTCTGATCCCATCGAGGACTTTGGACCCAGCACGCAAGCTTCCAGCTCCGCCCAACCGCGCAGGATCTCTCCCCGGACCACCCCGCCACGGGCACAGCATCCGACTGAACGTGCCGCTGATTCGATGTCCACGGGCGTCAAGCGGGAGCTCTTTCTGGAACAGTCAGACGATGAAGATCCACGTCTACAGACCACTGTGGAAAACATGCTCAAAAGTCACCTTGAGGATCTCGAGCGCAAGGCCGCCAAGCAAGCTTGGCAAGAACGGAAGTTGATAATGTTCGCCAGGCACGAGGCCAAAAAGAAGGCAATCGCGCCCAGCCATGATCGGGCTGGCAGTGCAGAAGGCAACGGCGCCGGAGACCGTGCGATGGATAGCAAGCCGCTTGCCGTTCTGCAAGACATGGAGGTGAAGCATGTGCGATCACTCGTGACGATGGGCTCAACCCCACAGGCTCCAGGTTGTGCGAAAGATGAATACAGCATTGTCAAAGGCGGTCGTGCCGTCCTTTTCGCTGAGGACATTGCGACCTTCGCAAAGGAGGCAACCCCAGAACCAGCGTCTCACGCTCACGCTCCAGTGCACAGTAGCAAGCATGCGCCCGGATTTGACCATGTCACCAATGGGTCGCTCAACTTGAGTCTTAGAGAGCGCATGCGCTTGCAGAACCGTCAGAAGCGGTCCTTGCAAGCCGATCTGGCGGCTAAGAAAGGCATCAAGGCTCTCAAAGCTTATGATCCCACGGAGCGCACCGTGCATGCGACTGCGGAAGAGATCGAGGAGGCGCTCAAGGCTGTCGGGGAGGGCGGTGAAGGGAACGACGACGACAATGCCGATGATTCGGACTTTGACGCCGGGAGCGCATTCAGCGGCGACATCGAGCAGGAAGAAGCCAGCCGTGCACAATTTGACATTGCCTCAGGCAGCGAGGAGAATGACGAGGATAGTGAGAAGGAAAACGACCCCCCGCCACGCAGTCTTCCAAGCAGCCAACACAGTTTCAGATCCGCAGCAACCGCTGAAGTGCACGGCCAACAGGACAACGACGAGGATGAAGATGCAGGTCCAACCCACCAGACCGCCCGTGCACATCGCCGCCATGCTGTTGCGTCAGATGAGGACGACGAAGAAACTGTTCGTCCCAGTCCGCAATGCAGGTCGATCTCGCAGGGCAGCGGATCACGCTCCGTCCTTGGGCCGCTCGTGCAGCAGCAGGAGCAATCACCGGCGATGGAAGTCGGGGAGCTGGAAGAACCGAATCCAGCGCAAGGCACTTCGTGCTCATCTCAGCTGATGCCGCCGCCGCCAATAATCGAGACGCAGCGACCGTTCGGATTTACAGCGTCTGGTTCGGATCTCAAACTGGGAGACGAGCCGGGCCTTTCGAACGATGTCTTTGGGCAATTCTTCACAAATACACAAACTCAAGCCAAGTCCTTCGGCCTCCCGAGTGCGCCAATCGGCCGACAGCCTTCCTCCGTCCTCGGTACTGAGGGCATTGGCGGGTTCAGCCAATTCTTCCAAGAGACGCAAGCGGGGGCCAGTACGCAGAATGAAGACAACCAAGCTTCTGCGGCGAATGACGCGTTTGCAGCGCTGCGCAAGGAACAGGCCTCCAAAGCCGTCCTTGACTCTGACGATATGCTTCCATCCATCGACACCGAGGATGCTGACCGATATGAAGCAGAGGCTGATGAGGCTGAGCAGCGGCATCTGTTGCAGCAACGGAGGGCGATGTTGGACACGCCGAAGCAATATCTCAACAAGTACGGGCTGTACACGCAGACGAAGCCATCAATGCAGAGTCAAGCGATCGAGAGTCAGAGCCAAGACTGGCTTGGGGCAACTCCACAACACAGCTTCTTTGAGAGTGTCGAGGATGAGCACGAATCACCGCCGCTAGAAAGCCCAAGCAAGGAGCCGCAGCAGCGTATCAAGCGCCGCTTCAGACTGGGCAACCGCCAATCGTCGCCTGCAGCGGAGTCTAACAAAGGGCTTGCAATGAGAGAGGATGAGCAGAAGTCCGCACAGCATCTGAGGGGGTCAAGTAAGCAAACCGTGTCACAGTCCGAGTTCAGGGATGAGGAAAGTGCGGACGAGGCCGAGGAGCTGCAAGAGGCGCAATCATCGCTTCCAACGCAATCTCAGAATGCATTCCAAGCACTCATGGCCGGGGCCGCAGCTGCTGAGCAACCGCAACAACAGCCCGAATCGCGCAAGCGCAAGTCTGCATTCATTGAGGGTGAGGCTGCGGAAGACTCAGAGGAGGAGCTCGGCGGTTTCTTCTCGAGGCAGCGCAAGGGCGGTGCAATGGCGGGCGTCTTCAGCGATGACGAGAAGGACGATGGCGGAGATGAGGAGGACTCTGAGGACGATGGAGATGCTAAAGACATCGAGGGCCTCGTCGATGATGTCAAGGAAAAAGATGAGGCGATGAAAGATGAGATGATGAGACAGAAAGTCAAAGAGCATCAAGCTGAAGATGACGCGGCATTGGAGAAGCGGGTTACACGTCTCGTCGACGGTAAATGGCGCTTGTCGAAGAAGGGTAGCAGCGCGATGGAGGACGCACTCGACGAGGATGCAGACGATGCAGACGACTTGCGACGTATCCAGATGCCGGCTGCATACCGCGCGCACAAGCGCACGGTCGATGGCGAGGATGGCTTGGAGGCTCTGAGTGAGTCTTCCGTTATCTGGTACATGCTTAAGCCCATTACTGACGTTTTTGTTTACGGCATCTGCGCTAAGAAAACAACCCTGAATGTGCAGCCTTCCTCCGAAGCTACCACGGCGCCGCCGAGAAAGCTGAAAGCGGCATGAACTTTTTGGCAGAGGTGGATGGTGGAGATTCATCTGGCGATGATTCTGATCATTCAGAGGGAGGCTCTGCAGACGATGATCCGACGCGGGAGAAGATTGACATGGCAGAGCTTCGCAAGCATTTGCGTGAACAGAAGAGGCTTGCGCGAGAGGAGCTAAGGCGTAAGGCTCAGCGGATCGAGGATGATGAATCGGAGGATGAGCGCGAGGCTGCTGAGCATGAGAAGCAGGAGGCCGAGCAGCTAAAGCGCAAACGGGAACTAAATAGCGACGACGAGGGTCAGATTGAGGTGCATGACCGGTTGAGGAGCAGGGAAGCGGCAATAGCGCTAGCGCCTTCAACTCTCCATGGAGCGTCGGCAGGGCAGGCCGAAGAAGATGTGCGTCTGCAAGTTCTCAGGCTGCTTTGCATCATGTTGACAAATCATTTGCCCGCACGTTACCAGGACTACCACCTCCGTCTCTTCAAAGCCCGCACTGCCCCTAACAAAGAGAGGCTGGAAGAGTTCGCCCAGGAGAACGACTTCTCGAATCGCGCACAGACCTTCCAGATGGGAGGTGAAGGTGGCGGCGGCCGGTCAGGCGCAGGACATGGTTCGTCTGTGACGAGCTTCCTGACGAACGGTCGCGCCGCTCGCACAGCCGACGCGTCGCAGCAAAAGAAAGCAGGCAGCAAATCGACGTGGACGACGAACACAAGCGGAGCAGGCGCTGCGATGAAGAACCCTACGCAGGCGCCGACAAAGGCGAAAGTCTTAACTGCCCTGTCGAGCAGAAGTCAGAAGTTCAAATGAGCCAGCGACGAATAATCCCAAGGACCTAATTATCACATATCACATGCCTCAATGTAGCATAGCAATCAAACATGATCATCGATAAAGATTGTCATTTGACCAGGCTCCTTACTCCGCTGCCGGCATCTTTAAGCGATTTCATCTCGGCTCTCCGCACTTCTTGAAGGTACCTTTCCTCCTTCGCGTCCCGAGCTTGCTTGACTTGTGCTTCCATTTCGTCTCCTGTGTTCTCAGCTTTGCGCTTCCCTCGATTCCGCTGTGCACGACCAGGGTTGAAAGCGGGAAGGTGCGTCCATCAGATGTTACTGTACAGCAGGAGCACCATCGCTGAAACACTCACAATTCGCTCTTCCATTGCTTTTCGTCTACAAAAGACGAAGATTCCATTCTGGTTTAGCATACCCCCCGAGCACGAGTCGATGCGAAGCGTTTGGAGGTTGCTCACCGTTCCACCGCGTCCATTTTCCCATCTGCTTTCTTTCCAGATGTCAACGGTGATGACGCCAACAGTGGTGAGCCTTGAGAGGGTGTGGATGATGCTGCAGGCTGTAGTGTCGGGCTTGCGTTTGCGCTCGCCACAGGTGGAAAGGCTCCTGCAGCTTTGAGCTTTTCCGCTTGGATTCTCTTGAATTGTTCCATGAATGATCCGTCATTTGCAAAAGCGCCTGGAAATGGCAAGGATGTGATGTATCAAACTCGGTGTAACGGCCAAAGAAATACACACGAGGATTGTGAAGCAGCGCTCCATTTCACAAGGTACTATGTATCACAAGGACATTGATGATTGCACTCACTGTTGTTGGGCGCAGCCTCGCCGCTCGTCCCCTTCGTCTCAGACATCGCTGCGCTTGCAATAATTCAAATCGGGCAGGAGTCCAGGTGGAAGCGACCTAAAAGGAATGAATGGGCACTAGCGACAAAAATACATATGCCGCTGTGCGTTCAGAAACAGCATGTGCGGATTGCAATCCAGACCATCATTTCGACGCTGGAGACTTCAACCTCCTTTCGGTCATTCTCATGATCTCATCGACATCCGCATCTCGATCGTACCCCAACAGCAACCCTAATCTGGGTCGACCTTGACCTTGCACCGAAAGGCGTACAGAACAGGCAGTCGTTGCGTGACGCGTGGCGCGTTCGCGTTTGCCCAACTTGTTCTCACCGATGTTACGTTGCAACGCACACGCAAGAGGCCTGGAGAAAGATCATGTGCATACATTGTAGCTGAGGTTCCATTCAAATAGCAGAGAATAACACCACTTCCACGCTCAATCCAGTGTGTATGAGGGCGACATTTTACGTCAAGCAACCGGCGAACAACCTACGCCTGTCGCCAGAACCACTGCGAGCATGCCCGCTTTGCCCACCATATTGATCGGCCGGCCGCGGGATCCGAAAGCGCCGTCTGCCCCTAATTCGTTGGACTGCAACGGACGGCGTCATGACCAGCCATCATCTGTACAACCACACCTGATGCCTTTTACGATTTCATATAGTGGTCCAGCGCCCGTTGGTCCATTCATGGTCATGACACCGGCTCCTGTGGAACAGCCAGTAACATCGGCTGCTATAGCGAATGAAGCGGCCTTGAAGGCAGAGCAAGGGCCCAATTCCGAGAGCTTGTGCAAGGGGGGTGGTCACTTATCGATATCTGGAGAAGAGTGCTACGAATCAGCTTTCAGAGGCCGGGGGATTCATGGCACACCGCTGAGTCTGCCGCCCGGATGGACAGGCGTCGTGCTCGATGTACCCGTAGCGATGCAACAGCTACTTCCAACGCTCCCGCGAGATAATCCAGCACAGCACGGGCTCCATTCCAAGCGTATCGGCTCTGGGAAACCTAGGAATACGGACAGCCTGGTAGAGAAATGGACATCGCCGCGCAAGGAAGTAAGGAAGAAGGGGCCCACCGTACCGACACGATTCGCAATAGACTCGGACTCAGACTCGGACACGTCGGACAGGGAACATCAGCAGCAATTCGCACCGTCACCATCAGCACCGAAGTCACCGCCTATACAGGTTTTGGCGGAAGATATCGACCTGGAAGCGGATTGGCCACAAACAAGTCAACGCAGCGAAGGGGAAGGGGTAGACGGAGGACCCGTTGGCCATGCAGAGTCTGCTGCGATGCGCGGGCCATCGGAGGGCAAGGTGATGAGCATCGTAGGGACATTTGATCGCTTGCTCGTATGGTCTCCAGATGGTCTGGTGGATAAGGGGGATGACGTCTATTTTCGGACGCTGACAGAGTGGCAAAATGTGGTTGTCAACACTGTGAGTGAATGAACAGGTGGGCGAGGAATGGACACCCGAGTCTCGAGGAACCTCATTCGAGGCTCTGACATTCATGCCTTTCATGTACCAGGTGCACCAACATTGAGATCCTGCACAAAGCCTCCAGTTGACGATTCACTATCTAATGTATCTCCTCGTCACATATGCTACATTTGTCGTGGTTGAGCTGTCAATTTATACCAGGAGGGTCTTTGTCAGAACGCAAAAACCTTTTGTATCATTGCTTGCACACGGTGCACTGGCGACCCTTCAGTTTTTCAGCACTTCAGCGATCAAACACATTAAACGTCCTTCTCCAGAAAGGCTGCTCCCTGCGCCTTGAGTTTGCGCTCGAATTGTTCAAGCCACTTTTGAAGCAGAGGCGCTGTCTGCGGCGCCGAATCGGGTGCGAAGGAAGATAGGTACGAAAATGCATTTTTGGCTGTGTTGCATTGGCAGAGAAGGAGGTAAGGTGACGTGCAGCAGTCAGTAGGTGAGATACAAGCTTAAGATCTGAACACTGAATTGCCAGACATGAGCCGTACCTATTCGCGGTGCCACAGCCAATGCAGCTTCGATCAACAAAGTCGCGTCTCTCTCTCCCGCCTTGACGAGCGCACCAGCATTCGCGCTGGCAGCACTAGCATCTGCGGGTCCAGCTCCCGCAGCGCCAGCCGCGCCACCCGTGGCATGTGCTAGAGCAGCCATTTGAGCATCTACGACCTCATCCAGCTCAATGCTGATCCCGAGTTGAGCGGTGACACCTTCGGATGTACTTTGCCCCACTCCGCCCGAAGCGAACAGGCTGTCGCTGCCGCCGGGCGTGGCCCCTGCAGATGAAGAAGAAGAAGGAATAGCAGTCCCTCTCAATTTGAAGATAGCCGAAGGCTTCGCATTCCGAAGGCTGATGGGACGTAGGATCCACATGTTGTCAGGCATATAAAGAGGGAGAGAGGAAGAACACATGTAACACGCACCATCCTAAAAGCATCCACTCCTTCCCCTCGCCTGGCCACAGGAAATGCACAATTGCGCTGTAGCCAGGAGGGAAAGCCTGTGAGCCATCCATGAAGACTGTAACATGGTTGATGCTGTTCGCTTCTTCCAGCGGAAAGACAATATGAGTTGGATCGATTTGCTGCGGCGTGGTCAGCGGAAGCCGGCCAGCGACTACGACGGCAAACATGGCTGCAAGAAGGCTTTCAGGCCGTCAAGAGATGTGTCAGAATGACCAAGCTGCGAGCGCAACAGCGAGTGGGGCTTGAGTGCCGCGCATGCCTGAAGTGCAAGATGTAACGACAGGCTACGAAACGATTTGCCTTTCACCTGACCTCCCTCTCGTTTGTGATCGGTGATCCACTGTTCATATTCAGACGTTGAATCGAAAAAATATCTGGGATTTTTGAGGAAGGTGATACCTGATTTCCGACAATATTTTCCTTCCCCTTCCATTTTCCTTAGCTTTGAACCCAACCCTGGCTCTCATTCAGCAATCTCAGACTGAGATTAACTCCCGGAACCCCACAGGATTACGATTCGTTTCACTGAAATCGCTCACGTGACGCAGGCTGAATGGTAGTCAAGCATGCAATTGATGCTCTGATAACCAGGCCAAGAATCCAATGCAAGAGCTTTTTAGATCCCACTCCCAACCCTCGCTCTCCTCTCGATGGCGCGACTCACCAACCTTCCAGGTCTGACTGCCCCGAAATTCCGCAGGTAATGATTGCAAAGTTGGAGCCCGCATCTTTCTACCGTGAAGGACTTGTATGAAGCGTCTCAATCGACGCACAGGATGAAGCCTAGTTATGAGTCTCACGCCTTCCAGGCGACAAGGTTCCATGATTCGACTGCTGACCACGGCGCCTCGCATGCAGCACGCGACACATCAGATAGCCTTCAGGACCCCGGGAGGAAGGGGGTAGAGCCAGCTGTGCAAACCGCACCAGCTGTGCACGACCGAAGCGCAAATATGGATGAACGCTCTGTGGACGAAGAAACACTCGTCGATGTCTTCATCGTCACCGCAGTTGGCTACCCGGGAGGAAGTCATGAGGGGTCTGAGACTGATAGCTGGCACCACTAAGGATCCCGCTTAGCGAACATAGATGCCATCTTTGCAGGAAACCAGCAGGACGAGTCAGAAAAAGGCAAGAGTGATAGCCTGTTCGAACGGGTGTAAGTGATCAAGCTCGGAGGGGCGACAGCATAATACAAACCAACTGATTGTTGTGTTCCTGCGACCAGATCTTCCCGAAGGCGTTCAGCATTCCCCGAAAGGCACGGTGAAGAACCACTCTTGAAGAGGCTCGCTCGCAGTCATCAGCGCTTCCCGTCTGACCAGCACCATGCATTGGTCGCTGCGAGCGGGAAGCGTGTGACTTTCGATCTCTTCAAGAGGAATCTTTGTTTCTTCCTTCCATAAAATGCGTGCAGACAAGGCGTAGATTGCTCTTATGCGCATAGGATATTCGCGCTGCGGACACCTTAGGGTGCACACATACCGTTTGAACGTCTCAAGATTCCGCCAGAAGTGCTCAGATGGCATTTTGAGCACAATCGACAGCTTAAACTCCAACGAGGTGAAAAAGTTCGAAAACAGGCGAATCGTGGCGATGAAACAGAGACTGCTCGACAGCGCGACAAAAGGTATGCGGATTGGGACACTTCCGTCAATGTCCATGACGAAGTTCAACTTCAAGTGAAACGAAACAGCGAAACGTGGAGCATGCCTAGTGCTACCTTGGGGCGAAGCAGCAAAACAAGACAGAGGGAGGTCAGCCTTGAAGAGCAATTGCAAAATTCTATCGCATCCTTTTCACCTTACTCCCGCTGAACGAAGGCAACTGGGAAATGTTCAATCCTCGGCTGCAGCATGCACTCCGCTGCATCCCGCGGTCGTGGGATCACCTCACGGTCGAATCGAAGAATCTTCACAACTCAAAAGTCTTTGATAAGGATCTGGACGAAAGTCTACAGTGTCTTGATACTCTCTCTACAGCGATGGGCTTCTTTGGACCATCCAATACAACATATACAACCTCGACGCGAGAAGCTACAAGCTATATACAATGGCAAAAGTGACTTTGGGCCATTTCACAAACGGGCGAGGCGACCGGGAGCGTTCACATATCGCATCTGCGCTGCCTGCAACCCTGAGCCGAAAGTCAAAAGCGGAGGATGATGAGATTGACAACAAACTGCGAGCAACAATCGAGTTGCGCCAGTCAGCATCATTCTCGGGGTCGACAATTGGACGGAGGCGACACTTTGCCTCGGAGAAACTCCTCGCAAGACCCTTCCGAAAGCATGGACTGTCCTGATTGGCGACAAGAGCGGCCCTGACCTCGATATGATATGAAAGGGCTTTTTGATGAGTGTTACCAGCGATGCCATCGTCATCGCTCTCAGAACGGCCCTCGAAGTCCAAGCATCGGGAGGCTCAAATTTCTGATAAACGATCGGCGACTTTCTGGGCTGCAGGATCAAGGACAACAAGATTCAGCTAATTTTGCCAAGCTTTGATCAGCGAAAGAATTTTTCGTCGCCTACAGCATTGCGATAGTCTGAACATGCCTAGCAACGCGCCACCCCCCCAGTGCCTTCAGGACCCAATTCGGCTATGTTCCCTCACACTCCCCCGCGAGGGTGGAAAGCGGAGCAGGACACGCCAATGAAGTCCTGCCGTACCGCTACAGTTCAACACAGGGACAGAACCACGGAATGTACACGAAGCGGGACCTGCGGCTCTGAGGTTTGTAGCACCTCACAAATCGACAATTCTAATATCGCATTCGAAGTACTCTGTAAATAATGTACTCTCTGGTGTTGCAACTCGCAAAGGTTCTGTCGTCTCTTGCGATTGGCAAAAACGAAGATTGCGCGAAGAGAGGCGAGTCCGCATACCACAGAACGGAAGTGCATACGTTTTTTGTGTGATGTCAGTTTTCACGTCGCGCAGGAAGTCACGCGTCGCACGCACAGACCCGAGGTTCGCCCGCCCGGCTCCCGCCTGAGTGTGAGCGCTAACAGGCGATAAGCGCCGACCAGCGAGCACGCTGTTGGCTGGGGAAGCTTTTGGAAACAGCCTGCTTCGCCGATGCGTATATCCATCATCGCATCATAGGTCCCTTCTTTACATAGGAAACGGCAGTGAATCAGTCCAACAAGGCAAATGGAAGGTCTCATCCTCGAGGGTTTTCGTACGATTAAAAGGTCTCCCAAGAGGCATACGCTCGAGCCACCAGACCAAGCATCCAGCACCCACCCTTGGTTGCACCGAACCTCGCACTTACTTTCAGCTTGCGGAAGGCAAGTCCAACGATCTTCGATGGTCAACAGCCGACCCCTGACATGGTGGTGCTACTTAGTGCTGGTTCGCGCCTTTTCCGTTGGCAGCCTCCACGCTCACTCATATGCATCGACCAAGAGCAGCGGAAAATCTTGGCGTGGGTAGGGTTGTGCTCGTCCTGCACCTCTTACCAAGTGACGTTGATGTTCCCTGTCAGGCGTGCTTCGAGGCTGACTGATGCGAGTGTGGCGTCAGCGATCAGCGGCACCGCTCCACGCCAAGCGATACCGCGAAGCAGCGCATATGGTGATCTGACTAGCGCTGCAATGCCTGTGCCTACTGGGACAATGTACTTGGCTCCAGTCTCTGCTGCGTGAAGTAGGATGCCCCAGCCCGAAAATAGCTCGAAGCTGGCTTCGTTCGCACCGTGCGAGGACGATTTATACGTCAGAAACGACGCACCCTCCAGCTCACGGTATTTGCTTCAACCTCCTGTTCCGTCCACAATTTTGATACAGGTATAGAGTCATGGCTTCTCTGCCTTCTTATGACGCCACAGCCCGCTTGGAACATACACATGCTCTGCCTGCCTCTACTGCGACCCCGGGACCGGGAGGTGTGTTCGATTGGGGAAACCACGGTCCTGCTCATCGATCAGACCTGCCTTCGACTGATCTGAACGATCGGTCTGTCACTTCTGCACCTCAACAAAGCCCACGCAGACGGCACACAGCATTATGGTCCGCTGTATGCAGTACCGTAGCTGCTACTGCTCATCTGCAGCTTCCGACCCCATTGCGCCCTGATTATACTTCGTCATCTTCAACTGCCAAAAAGGACAGAGATCAGGACGACTACATGCGCCTAGATGATGATGGGCTCAGTCCCGTGTTGGACGCGCACGATGCGCAAAATGATTTGGAGGAAGACGAACAGGCCGAGGAGCAGCGACTCGTTCGTGAGCAGCGAGAGATTCGAAGGCGGCAGCGATGTAGATTGAGCACTGCTCTGACATCGGACATGGGAGGAAGCGTCCACAACCATGCTCAGGATAGCAACAGCCTTGCCGCTCGTGCAAACTTTCCGCCGCAGCTGCACTCTTCGACTGCATCTGCTTCATCGTTTCGCGCAGAACCGGTTATCGAGGGCTCAGCCTCGTGGCCCACGGGTGCGACGGCTTCGTCCTCTCTCCCAGTTCTCTCTTCGACTCCAAATGCTTCTTTTTCCTCCAGTACCCGTCCGTCTTTAGCCACGGCGCTCTCCAAGTCTGCGTCGATCGGCCAATGTCGCGCTTCCAAGCGGTCGGGGGGGACGGCGCGGCACGCAGACCAGTGGCAAAGCATTGCGCACCTGCTGGAACAAGGCGACCAAAGCGCCCAAGTCGAAGTCGAAGAGGAACGCTCTGAAGCCCGTAGCCTCGAGCAGAAAAAATCGATTTCATGGCATCACGCTCCTCTGGCTGGTCGCGGGTATCCCTTCACATCTGAGGAGCCGGCAAGAGGCAGCAATGGCCAGAGCAGCCCCGGAACCTCGAACCGGACTCCCCTGCTTAAAGGCGCTTTCAAGAGGCTGTTATCGCCTCCAAAGCGGAAGGGCGCTGCAATTGGTAGCATCAGCGCTTCTGAAGCTACTTCTACCGATGCAGACAATGACAGCGGAATGGATCCAGAAAGAGAGATCGAAGAAGCAGCGCAGTTGGTCACATCCGAACCGGTCTCCTACCTCGACATCCTGACACCATCGGCGATCCCAGCCTGTGAAGATCCGCTTGCCTACGTCCCAGAAGCAAAGACACTGCTCGAAGCGGATGCAGAGGAAGAGCTGCTACAGCGACAAGATCAGCGTCGTAAGCTCGCCGAGCAAGAGAGCTTGCGCGGCGTCCTTTACCGAGCGCGTGCGTGGGTGCAACATCACTTGACTGTGGGCGGAGGAATCAGGCTCACAAATCTCCAACGCGGACTGCTCAAATGCTTTATCGCATACTTTCTCGCTTCGCTGTGTACCTTTTCCCCCGTGCTGTCTAGGCGGCTCGCTATGCTGCTTCCAAATCACGACCCGGACAAAAAGGTGCCAATCTCCAATCTGCACATGATCGCTACTGTTTCAGTCTATTTCCACCCCGCCAAGACGCTCGGCGCCATGCTCGAGGCAGACATGTATGCCCTGGTCGGATTTGTCTACTCTCTACTGTTGACCACGCTGTCGATGCTCACCGCTGTCTTCTTGCACAACCTCGATCTTGCGCTGCTGTCAAACTTCCTCATCGTCTCCATCTTCCTCGGCGGGGGAATGGGGTTTATGGCGTGGGCAAAAGTGCGCATGGCAAGCCCGTCATTCAACACGGCCTGCAGCATGATCGGCATTGTCGTCTTCACCGTCATGATCAAGGAAGGCGCCGCGCACCTCGGCCGCTTTTCGAGCGACAAGAGCCTGCAAGTGACCATCTGTGTCATCAGCGGCGTGTTCATCTCCAACCTCATTTGCTTTGCCATCGGCCCGCAGAGCGCCACAAAGGCACTGCAAGCAGATATTAGGCGCAACTTGACCGGCTTCGCGACCTTGCTCAAGGTGCTCACCAAGACCTTCTTGTTGGACGACCCGCGGAACTTCAGCCTTGACAGCGAGCGCATCAAGCAGGCAATCGACGACCACCACACCAGTTTCACTTCGCTCAAGAAAAACCTACGCGAGGCGCAGATGGAACGCATGCTCGACGCACGCATGCGAGGCCAGGCGCCCGCCCGCTATGCCGACGTCGTCGGCAGCATGAACCGCCTCGCGCAGCATCTCGGCGGTCTCAGGAGTAGCTGTGGCTTGCAACAGAGGATCATCTCCAAGCAGAAGGAGGCAACGGCAGCGGCGGCGAAGCAAGCTGCAATGGAAAGTGAAGCTGCTGCGCGCCGACCAGAGGCGGGAGGAGAAGATCCGTTCGCTGCTGGAGAGGCAGAGGTTGACGCTGACAATGATGGACAGTGGAAAGCTAGGACAGACGCTTTCGGCGACTTTGTGCAGTTCATTGGTCCACATATGCGCAGCTTGGTTGTGAGTGGTGCTGCGTAGTCTCGCCACGCTGTAGCCCTTTGCGCATGCTGATATGTTTGGCCGATTGTCGCTTTTGATTTGTCCTCCATCTGCAGTTCACAAGCAGTCGCACACTTCGCAATCTGCGCTCCGCTTTCTTGACGGCAGGCGACGTGGCACTACCAGAGGTTCGCGGGAACGAACAACACAATGTTGCCCGGGAGGCTTCTTTTGCCAGTACCGCCACGCAGCCGCCACAACACAACCACTACATTCCAGGCAGTAGCTTCACGTTGCTATCTGAGGACGTTCGTCTTGCTCTTGAGCGTTTTCGTCACGAGCAGAGCATTTCGATCAAACGGATTTACGAGAACACTATGTATGACGAATGCAGGTCCGTCGATCAGCTGGAGGCTGTCGCAAGAGCGACGAAAAGCTTGGCCGACGAAGAGATCATGCCGGATGAGCAGGTCTTCCTTGTCTTTTTCTTTGTCTTCAACTTGGAGGAGTTCGCAAAAGAATTGCAGTATCTCACTGCTGCACTGGAACAGATCCGTCAGCAAGAGGAGCGCATAGTCCGGCGCAGGGCAATGCCTATGCAACAATGGCTGAAATCTTTATGTACTTGCGACAGCATGCCCTCCTTCAGTCTGCGTGGCAGGAGGCACAGCTGCAGACAGGGAAGGCGAAAAATGAAGGAGCCTCAGGTCACCTTCCCAGACTACCGGCCACACCAAGTGAACACCGGCCAAACGCCTGCGGCAGATACATTGAATATGCGCATGTCGCGCGTCATTTGGTCTCTTGGCAACTTTCTGCGGAGGCCCGATATCAAGTTTTCCATCAAGACGGGTGTTGGCGCTGCGCTCATGGCAGCGCCCGCGTTTATCCATGCCACACGTCCCATCTTCAAGGACTACCAGGGCCAATGGGCGCTTGTGAGCTACATGATCGTCATGTCACCCACCGTGGGCCAGAGCAACCAGATGAGTTTCCAGCGCATTGCTGGGACAGTGATCGGAGCCGGCGCAGCCTACACCGCCTATACGCTCTTCCCGGATAACAACGTCGCGCTGCCAATCTTTGGCGCGCTTTTCTCCGTCCCGTGCTTTTGGGCGATCGTGGCCAAACCCCAGCACGCATCGGCAGGCCGCTTCGTCCTGCTGACGTACAATTTGACGGCACTGTACAGCTACAACCTGCGCAAGCTCGGGATCGAAGTGGAGCAAATCGCGATCAAGCGCATGATCTCCGTCATCATTGGCGTCACGTGGGCTTCGCTGCTCACACATCTCGTCTGGCCCATGGAGGCACGAAGGCAACTTGCGGAGGGTATGGCGGACCTCATGTTCAAACTCTCCTACCTTTATCAGCGTCTTGTGCTTAGCTACTCGGCAGAACCACCGGACCGGCCAGCGACGATGCCGCAGCACGATTGGGAAGGGGATGAGGAGAGCCGGCCGCTGCTGGCCCCGGATGAAGGCTCTAGGCAGCGAGACCAATTCCAGCCTTTGTGAGTCTTCTGTCGCCTTTCATATTCTGACGGATGGAAATCACTTCGCTAATTCGCCTCTTTCGCTCTGCAGGGAGCTGCAGTTGCAAGTAGCAATTATTCGACTGGAAGGGCTGCTTGTGCAGACCAAGCATGAGCCGCGTCTGAAAGGTGAGTAGCATCGCCTGCTGGAAAAACAAGAAACTTCTTGTTACATTAAGCTGACGTGCTCGTCCAATCTTTCTCCTTTCTGCAGGGCCATTCCCCATCGCCAAGTACAAAGCGATGATCAACAGCTGCCAGAGCATATTAGACAAGCTGCACAGCATGCGCTGCGTCACGGGTCGGGATGCGTGGCATCACCTGGTACGGCGCGACTTTGTCATTCCGGTCAACCCGTACCGGCGAGAGATGGTCGGCAACGTGCTGTTGTATTTCTACATCCTCGGCAGCGCGTTCCACCTCAAGAGCCCGCTGCCGCCGTACTTGCCCGCGGCAAATGCGGCGCGCAAGGCACTGCTGGAGCGTATCCGCGCGCTGCCGGTCGTGCGCAAGCGGCAGGTGCGCGGAGGGACGGAGTACCTGTTGTTCTACTCGTACGCGCTCGCAATGAAGGAGGTCATTGAGCAGCTCGAGCACTTAGGCCGCATCGCACAGGACAACTTTGGCGTCCTCGGCGGCGGCGTCGAGTCGTTTGAGCAGCAGTTCAGACACGCACCGGCGTCCACTGCCGCCACGCCACGCCTCTCGACGATCGGGATATCCGCGAGCGAACAGCAGCGCTGATGTATGCGTGCGCGGGCTTGCGAGGCCTCCCTGTTTCGCCACTGTAATATGAAGAACGTTGCACTAAACAGCATGAACATGCAATAGGTAAAGAATGACAGTACAGCAAGCATGACAGGGGAATGAGTAACAACGGAAGATGTAAGACTGTCTTGCTTCCTTTTGTTCTATTTCCGCATCTTTTTAGGCTGCTGCACGCAGCTTGGAACGCTTGCCAGTGACGGCCTGGAAACCGGTCTTGATGGCGCTGACGGAACGTGTGGAGCCGCAGGTGGAGCAGGTCATGAAATAGATTCTGTTCTCTTTGGAGAGGATCGTATTGGGCGACTTGCAGGTCTTGCATGTGACGTATTCAACTGTTCAATGTTGGCAGCAGATTGTCACGAGATGTCAGCTTTCATTTCACAATTTAGCGCTGGAAAGGACAAGAGAACGCACCAATGTACTTCCTCAGCACGTTTTCGATCTGCTTGGGCTGGAAGCGGCCCTTGATAATGAGTCGCTGGCTACCGTCGACGTTGCCAATGGTACCCAGCTCAGCAAAGAGGAACGAGTAGACATGCTCTGGCTCGCGATGCATGCGCTTGCAGATGTCCAGAGAGTTGGCAAACATGGTCTTCTTGCTGCCTTCGCGCTGCACGCTTGGCGGAACGATTGTGTACTTCTTCTTGTCCCCACTGAGCGCCGGGTTGTGTTGGCGCAGAGTCTTAAAGATGCGCCCGAGAAGCTCCGAGTAGTGGTAGTCACGCTCGGAGCCGATCCAGGCCTGTTGGTCGTCCGGCTTGTCGTTGATGCCAGCGCCGGCGCCGGCACCTCCCGCGTCGGCGCCAGCGTCATGCGCAAATGGGTTGTCGCCCAGGTCTCCCTCAGCTGTCCGATCTACGACATCTTCGCCGTTGGCGCCCTCGTCCTCGTCACCTGCGCCGCCCTCCTCCTCATCCTCTTCCTCGGCAGCAGCTGCTGCCTCGGCCTCGGCCAGCTCCTTCTCAAATTCTGCTAGCTTGGTTGACTTTCCCTTCTTTTTTTTCTTTTTCAGCTCTCCGAACTGTTTAGGTACGCCGAAGAGGGGAAAGTAGGGTAGGGGTGTCAGTAGTGAGAACAAAGCGCGATGAGAAGCGTCCACGCACGTTCAGATCGCCATCTTCCATTCCCTCGGCCGCTGCGACACCTGCCGGGCTCGCGGGCTCAGCAGTAGCTGCTGCTGACGCTGCGGCAGCCGCTGCAGCTTCCTCCTTCTTGGCCTTGTCCCCCGCAATAGTCGTCGGTGCCTGAAAGTCTCTCCGCGCGGGGAGGTTATCGAGATCGACTGCGAACTGAGTCTTCTTCGACGCCTTCTTCTTCTTCTTCATGCCGCCGAACATGGCGGCGAGCTCGTCGTCGACATGCTTGCGCTCAACTTCGCCTTCCTCATTCTCGGCATCTGCGCTTGCATTGGTGGAGGTGCTATTGCCCACAGCTGCTGCAGCAGGAGGGTCGACGTCGAGGGTAACGCTTTTGGTGGACTTTTGTCCGGGGTCTTCCACGTTGGAAGCCATAGTTGCACAAGACGTTGGATCGCTAGGATCTGGAGGGCTGCTCTGCTCTGCTCTACTCTGCTCTGCTTGGCGGCGACGAGGTGAGTAGCCAATTCTAACTTGCTTGCTCGAAGCAATAGCATGGACAGCCTGGTCACGCGAAGAACAGGCCTCTCCTTCGGGCAGCTGCGAGATTCAATCCATCGAACGATAAATTCCCTTGGGAAGCGCTCTTTGGGTTGCAAGTGAGCGAACTAAACCTCCGCTTTCGTTCATTCCCCATCGCTCCGGGTGCGCGTGGCTGCACGAGGGACTGGCCGACCGTCGGGTGCAGTAACGTCCTTGTGCATTCAATTTCTGCATTTTTTGTAAATCATGTAGGTCCTGTCTCATCCGGGCTGGACCTCCTCTTTCGTCGTCGTTGCCATTGTCGTCGTCATCGTAGGTACTCAGACCTTTAGAAATCGGGCTCCTTCATACGCACTCAAACGCGCAAGTCTAAAGCAACGCTCATATTCAGCCTAGGACATCACTGCAGCTCCCGCTGTACTCCATCCCATCGTTATACTCCGAGCCTACCATTGCCCGAAGCCCAGCAGGACAGTCGCCACGTTGACTTCCCAATATGACTTTGAGATCCAATACAACCAATCCCGTCCATTATAACAATCGCAAGGGTGCCGGCGACAGCACCGTCAGCAACGACATCATGACGGGAAGTAACAACAAGAACAACAGCGCCATCGCCAGCTCCCGCTCCGACCTCTCTGCCCTCGAGTCTGGCGCTACCCGTGGCTCCAGAAGCGGCAGCAGCACTACGCCAGATGGAGTCGTCAAGTGGTGCTTTTGACGTGACTCCCGATGAAATTCCTGGCGCCACAACAAATGCGCCAGGTCGACGTGGGCCTGTGAGAGGGGCTACGTCGTACTCACCTTCGCCGGACAAGCTTGGCCAGTTCGATAAAGTGCACACCGACGGACAGGTCAAGAAGGAGGCCTGCATGAAGAATGGCAGGCCGATGAGCGACGGAGCTCCTGCATCCGCAAGGCATGCGCCCGTCGTCATCCATGAAGCAATCGCTTCCACTCCCTCACCCGCTTCACCGCCTGCCACGCCACCATCCTCCAACCCCGCCTCTCCCTCGCTGTGCACCCGCGCGCCTTTGCCCGCGGCCACAGCAGCTGCCAGTCCAAGCACAGCGTTCGCCACAGCCGCATGGGCAGTATATGACGAGCTCGGAGGCCATGGTAGAGGCCGACAGCACCATGCGGCAAGCGAAGCAGCTCGAGACATCCTGCATCGCGATGATCGCGCCAGACGAGCGAGCAGTGCCAGCAGCCATAGCAGCAGCCGCAGTAGTAGCAGCCGCCACGACGAGCACAAACAGAAGAACCAGAACTACCTGACCGAGACGCTGCGTGGCGTCGCCATCACAGCTGCACCCGCTACACAGCAAGCAAAAACAACCACAAAGCACACGAACCTGAGCAACCGGACGGATGCCAGCGCCAGCGCTACGGCTGGGGTTGCGGGCCTCATGCCCCCTACCCCGAACGCAACGCCGTCGATCATGTCGTCGGCCGACGAGATCGTGCTAGACGTCAAGCACGACCCGGCGCGCGTGGCCCTGGCATTCATGCGCACCGTCTTCCCGCGCTTCAAGCTGGAGCGCGCCAACGAGCGGCTCGCACGGTTGCGCAAGTCCAAGTCGGCCTCTATGTCTAGCTCCACTCGCAAGACAATCGTCGTGGAGGATGCGTCGGTCGAGCTCGTCTGCAAAGATTGGCGCGGTGCCGTTCTCGCCGTCCCGCTTGTCTCCTCCGTCAGCGCTGCCGCCGGAGCTGAAGATGAAGATGAGACCGAAGTGGAGCGTGATGAAGGGGATGAAGAGGGAGAGGGAGAGATGCGCCGTACACTATACCTATCTCTGCCGCCTACTGTTACTTCATCTGCCGTCAAAAACAGCGCCGGCACTGATGCTCCCTTCGCCTATGCGCACAGCAACGATGTTAGCATGTCCTCCTCCACCTTGCCTCCCAGCATCATGTCCAGCCGCGCCAGTGCCAGCCACAGCCCCGCAAACAACGACGCGACACTGCCGCCGCACCTGCGCGAGTCGCTGCTCAGCGTGCTCGACCACGCCAGCGAGAAACTTGGTTGCGAAAAAGTCGTCATATGCGTCGAGCGCCACACGACGCGCGACTTCAAGAGCCTGCTGCATGGCCTGTGCTACGTCGGCGGGCAGGTCGTCAGCTATGGGCCTGGCACTGCTTCTGCCACTGCGACGGCGAGGGCAACGGGTGCGGGCGTATCGATATCAATGCGCTCCAAAGAGAGCCTGGTGTCGTCCACTGCCATGGCGCGCTTCGGATCGCCCACCAGCAGCATGTCGAGCAACAGCAACTTCAGCGGCTCAGTCGAGGAAGGCACGACGCTTGTCGGCTCCTCTGGTTCTTCCGAATGTGGCGACCTCGTGGGACGGGGCGACGGAGAGGGTGACGAAGACGCGGTAGGCGACGCCGTCATCGTGTCGGAAGAGTCGGAGAATGAACTGTCGACGAAGTGTCTGCCGGGCGTGGAAGGGCTCGTTCCTGCGAAAGGACTCGTGCTCGTTGCTGTTGATCTGTAAAACACTCTCAATGCTTTTCCCATTTTGTACATGTAGGATTTCAAATGTTATGCGCAGCCTCTCGGAAAACACAGGGCTTTCCATTCAGAGTGCAAATGTCAAGATTGCATATGTCACCGTCTTCCTCCTACGCCTCTCATCTTTCGCATTGAGATGCACTAAACTCATTCTATACATGCTAGTGCTACCGTTACAAAGACGGTAGACTCTTAAAAAATGTCGAAAGCACCGCTTTGCCCTTCTGCAGGTTCAGCAAGCGCATGCGCTCGTCGCTTAAGTGCGCGCTGTCCGAGGCTTGGCCCATAGGCAGATGCACGGCTGGCGCATTGAGTTCCTTCTCCAGAATGGCAACCGCTGGGATTGACTATTGCAATGCGCGTCGCAATCATAGTTGTTCGGGCAGTGCAGAATCAGTCAGTGGCTACTCATTCGAGCGATGCATGCGCTTGTTCGCGAGACCATCTAAAAGCAACTCACCCCTCCTTCACAGATCTTCACCGGCGACTGGTTCCACTCCTCCTCGATCGCCTTGGCGAGTGCCATCGCAAACGGCGAGTCCTGCTTACCGGACCACCAATCGGCCGAATGGTCGATGGAAACAGAGAGCTCATTGGACGAATGGAGCTGCTTGAACGTGCTTTCGATGTGGCTAATGAGCGACGCAGTGACCTTCTTGAGGGACTGATCGGGCACAATGCGAATGCTCACGGCCGCTTCGACTGTGTTGGGAATCACAGTGTTGTTACCCGGCCCACTGACTTCGATGCCATGAACACTAAACGTCGGAAGACGCCAACGAGCGATCAAGTCCTCGGCGTTGCGCGCTCTTGATTGGTTCATTTTTGCGATCGAGGCGTAGAATTCCCGCTCGGCTGGCGTAACTACGCGCACTGCGTCGTAGAATTGCGGGATTAATACCTTGTCGCCTGTTGAGGCTTGGCTGAGCAGATTAATCATCTGCAGTCGGGGAAATGGCCATGATCAGCCAATATGAGCAAGGGATATTTCTCTTCGCCTTTCGCCACGCATTCGCTTACATCGACCATTGGCTCGCGCACAGCACCACCTTCAACACCAGAGTGCACATCTGACATGCGTCCCGATATCCGGACAGTCGCGCGAACCACACCACGTAGGCCAACCGTCATGCACGGATTGTCCTCTCCAAGCCAGTACGAATTGGACAAGAGCACGACGTCCTGGTCGGAAAGAGATGATCAGCATTCATTGAGGACCAGCTCAAACTCCAGTTGATCCAACTCACAATAGGGCCGATCTCCTCTTTGGCCTTCATGAGTGCTTCTTTGAAGCCGACGCTGCCTCGCTCTTCCTCGCCCTCTATCAGCATAACCAAATCGTTTTCTAATTCTCGTCGACTAAGCAGCTGACTCGCAGCGTACGCGACCGCCAACGTTGGTCCCTTGTTATCGCTTACACCTCTGCCGTATAGATACCCGTCTCGCCCCACCATGGTCCAAGGATCCGATTCCCACTTCCGCCCGTCCACTCCAATGCAGTCATAATGTCCGTAGAACAGACAACGCTTTCTCTTCTTCTGCTTCGCGGCGGCAGGACCGGATAAACCAGCTTCCTGCAGGGACGATCTGCCGCGGAACGTGGCCATGACGAGCGGGTTCCGATGTGGCGCGCCGGCAATGATCTTGGCCTCTGCACCCAGCTCTGTCAGGCAGTTCTTCAGCCAAAGAGCGCACTGCCTGCATTGCTCCCGCGTGTCTTCGCTGCTGACGCTCTGGAAGCCGACAAAGTCGGAGAGAGACCGCACCAGCATCGCATCGCTTTGCTCTTTGCTCAACACTTTGAAGTCCGCGCCTGACGTTGGAGTTCCCGGCGTGCCGGAGAGGCTTTCGAACGATGTGCCAAGGATTGCGTGCGCAGCCGACGTGGGTACTTGGCTGCAAAGCGAGTTTTTGCTTGAGATATTCCAGATTTTGAGCAGTGATTCCGAACCCCCTGTAAGCAGCCGTGCCTCCGTCGCTAAGCAGTGAGATGATGAGGCTTGCTGAGAAACGGGACGCATCGCAATCACAGAACACAGTACTACACCATCATGAGCTTTCCACTCAGCTGTGCAGCGGAATCGAGCATCAAAACGCTTGACAGTGCCATCTGCGCAGGCTGTGAACATGACCGAGGACGACCCTTTTAAGCCAGAGGCTCTCAACGCGCTGAGTGATAGCACATCATCGCTACCTGCCTTGAGCGTCCTCAGCACTGTCAGAGTCTCCAGGTCCCAGACATCGACATGTCCACCTTGAAGGCCTGCAAAGAGAGTGCTCTGCCAGGTAGCGAGCGCTAGGACACCCGCCTCTGAATTGTGGAGAGTTGCGAGGTGATGCAAGCCACCGAAAGGTCGGTCGGGCGAAGGCGACTCAACCTGCCATAGCTTGATGTCTTCGTCGCCTGACCCGCTTATCAGTACCAGAGGCTTGTCCGGTGAAAGTCGCACGAGCTCCAAGGCGTAAATGTACCCGTAATGCGCGCTTGCGACAATGCATCTGCTCGAAAGTTGCACAGCTTCAGCCTCAGGCTCAGACTCCGCCGGTATTGTTGGAAGGATGGATGCATGACTGATGAGTTCCGTCTGGTGTCTTGACGGCGTAGCTCCTGCGTTGCTTGCCAAGGTTGTTCGCCGCATGGACAGTGGGGCCCCATCGAAGAATTTGTTGGGCTTGTGTATCGGCGTGTCGAAAGGCGTGCCCTTGCTCTCTCCAAGCGGTGCAGAGAAAGCAGGGTGCTGCTTGGTGCTAGTGTCCTCTTTGACACCAGCTGACCGCGATGGGTCTGCACCGGTAAAGCTGATCCACTGTATCGACGTGTTCTGACACCCGAGAAAGAGCGTTTCCAACTCCTCACACCATTTCAGCGCAAAAATATCGCCAACATTGTCGTCAGCCGGGTATACGACGTAGATGGGCTTCAGAGATTTTGTGTCCCAAATTCGCACCGTGTTGTCCCCGCTGCTACTGAAAAGCCAACTTCTTTCGGGAGCAAACTCCAGCGCTAGGACTGAAGAGGTGTGGCCTTCGAGTCGGGCTCTGGGAAAGTAAGTATGTAGGTCCCATACATAGATGCATTCGCCCTGGGATCCGCTGAAGATCAGCTCGTTTTCGGCATCAACAGCAAGAGAGAGCACTGAAGTCGAGTTGTGTGATATTGAGTGTATAAGAGATTGTGTGGTTGTCGACGATGCGATCCCTTCGCCGCGAACGTCCATCGCTGTTAGAAGGCGCCTCCGTCAGAGAATGTTTCTCAATTCTCAAAAAGGGCGTAGCTTACCTGATAGCCTCTCCCGAAGTTTCGTGAACCCATCACGGTCAAAGGAAATGGCTTGCCTCCCCAGACGTTCAGTGCGGTCGGTATCTGTGCGGCGTCCGCCCTCGCTCAAGTCCATGGCGAATTGCAAGTCCGGCGATTCGCATGCATTTTGAAATGGTGAGTTAGAACCAGTCATGCTGGAGACTGCGACTCATTCTATCGCAGCTGCTCAGCTTGAATCCTTTGAAATGGGAAGCCGGGTGACGAAAAGCTGCCAGCGAGCTGTGAGAGCGGCAGATATGCATCCAAATTCGGCGTACATTCTGACGGATTGATGGAGCACGCGAGCTCGCCACGCGCAAGGCACACGGCGCGCACAATTTCGACGCGTCCTGCGAATGCCAGCAAAACGACGCCGTAAAAGTAAACAAAGGAAAAAACTTGATTAATGGATTGCGTATTGTACAAATGCAGACATGTTAAATCTTCCGGGTTGCGTGCTTTGCTGCTTGTCAATGTTGAAACATGAAGCCCAGAAATCCTACCGGCCCTTGAGCACGCGTTCGAGTTCAGCCCGCCTGGCTTGAGATTGCTCGTTCATCTCCGCAATCCGCCGCAATCCCTCGCTCTCCATGTCTGCCAAATGATTCTTGCTGATCAGATCCAGGTAGCCCTGCACGCTGAGCTTGTACTCAACGTCAGAGATGTGCAACCCCTTGAGGCTTTGTAGCAGAGTGGCGCTTGAAGGATTGGTGAGCATGCTGGTGGCGCTCACAGTGCTTGTAGCTGCCATATCGGCATTCCCGGCTAATGACTCCGACAATGGCTTGGCGGATTCTGATTCGGCTTCGTGCTGAGCAACGGTGGCTGCGGGCGCATTGCTGTCGAGTGCAGCAGCGGCAATGCTTCGCGTAGCGTCCGTTTCCTTGGCTGACGATGTTGACTTCGCGGAAGGTGTTCGTGCTAGGGGTCGCTTGACAGGTGCCTCATCTTCTGTTTCTGGCTCTTCTTCTTTCTGCTCAGCCTTGTCTCCGACTTCGCTCCCAGCAGCTGGCCGCTTGCTAGCCTTCTGCGAGCGTGTAGTCTTAGAAGTGGACAGACTTGACGTCTTGTCAGCGCCAACAATGCTTGAGTTACTGATAATACGGCTCCTCGTGGTGCGTCTGGACGTAGAGTTGGGCTGAGCTTGTGCGTCTGGTAATTCTACGTCATTTGCTTGGCCAACTGCGGGGGCGACGGATGTTTGAGCGTTGCCCTGAGCAAGCTTCGGCCGACCCCTTGTCGTCCGCTGGGGTTTCTCATCGTTAGTGACTGAAGCGGCCTGTTGTGTCTTCATAGAAGTGGATTTGGCCGCACGAGATTTTCCGATTACAGAAGCAGCCTTGTGCTTGCCTCCTGCTACTTCCAGATCGGCGCCCTCTGTGTGAGTAGTGGCTTGAGGTTCTGCATCGTGCTCGATGACTGTGCCGTCCGCTTCCTCGTTTGCGTCCTCATCCGAGATGACAGCTCCGGTATGATTAAAGGAACCATCGCCAGCCGCGTCGCTGACTTGCAGCTTCTTTGTGTCCTTGGGCTTCGTGTTTTTCATAGAAACAGCAGATGGTGCTTCGGAGGCAGGACCTGCGGCAGGGTCAGAGCTGGCATTTGGCGTTGTTATTGGATACTTTGGACGCGTGATGGCGGCCTCTTTCTCCTCTGCGAGGCTAGCTTTGATTCCTTGGCTTGCGGCCCGGCTCGCTGCTCGAGAAGAGGCGCGTATCGGGACCGGTGCGGCTTCAATCCCGGCCTTTTTCCTTGCTCCTCCGCGTGAAGACTGAGACGAAGCCTGTTTTGCGTCGGAAGCGGTAGGTGAAGCGCTATCGCTGGTCTTCACTGGCACAGCCTCGTCCTGCTTCACGTCTTCGTCCGCATCTGCGTCCTCTTCGGCAGCGGGTTCGGCTGGTGCAGAGCTACTCGCCTGTGGCTTTGTCTTCCTCGATGCTTGGCGCCTATAGGTTCGTAAAGTCAGGCCTAGATCCACTGAGCGACAATCACTACTGTAGACTCACTTGCCCACGGCCACTGTGTTCACACACTTTGCGGGCACTGGCTCATCTTTGCGATCCGGTTCATATTTACCTCCCGGCCCGTCCGCATTCTGCTCTGCATGTACCTCCGCTTGCGCATTGCTGTACTCTTCGTGCTCTTCAGCAGCGCTATTCGCAACCACAGCCTCTCGACGCAAAGCTGTCTGAGTGGTAGTTCTACGGGAAGATGCGCTGCGCTCTTGGCCTCTACTTGATGACTCGGATGACACTGCAGCTGATATTGTCGAAGCGTCCCTCCGAGAGCGCCCGCGTCCTGTCCGCGTTGACGCTGATTCAGTCGCTGCGTCTTCCACCGCAACGTTTTCGTCGCGACCTCTAGCACCTTCTCCTTCCACTTCTTCAACTTCTTCCACGTCTTCCTTCCCCTCTTCTTGAGAGACATGGGCGCGTAGGCCATCCAGCTTGTCAGGCGGAACGTACTTGCACGAGAAGAATGGACATGGCGTATCCTTCGCACCGCGTAAATGCTCCTCTCTGTCCAGAGTGGAAGCCAAAATAGATCAGTTTGCTACCCACCACACCCTCGCGAGTCGAGTAAACTCACACTGGATCGTCGCCCTTTTCCCACCCACCCAAGGTTCGTCCGCAGTACACACATAGTGTATTGTCTTCTCCATCCTCGCATGGCTCAAAGTGCAATCCGGCAGCAGCAATCTAAGTGGTATCGCGTGTAGATGTGTCAAGCGGTATCGCACATAGACGTTTCAGTACCACCCGACACACTGATTGTCACACCTTGTAGCCTCGAACTGACCTTGGCACTGGTTGGGCCCCAACCCTTCTTCCGGTCATACGGCCACCCTGCGCCGAAAGTCAAGCGACGCGCTTCTACCATGGTATCGCTCGTTGGCAGCAATCGCGGATCAGGCCAGAACGCAGCCGGAAGCTCTGTGTCGCCTTTTCTGGCGCTGCCAAGAGCGCGTTTGCCTCGCGTTGGAACCAACGGGGTTGCTACTGCTGCCGCTGCTGCTATGCTTCGCCATTGTCCAGCATTGACTTGCTTGTCGCGACTCTCGACGAGGAGGACAGATGGACAATTGGGATTGAGCTGCCGCAAGCGCTCGAGAGGATCGTCTCCCGGTTGCCAATCCAAAACGCGTGTGCCGCATATGTAGTGCGTGCACGCGTCTTTTCCCGGCGAAGGCGCGCCTTTGGATGAGCTCGCAATTTCTTCGGGGGTAAAGAAGAGCCCGACGCGCGCCAGAGCCTCCGGCGAAGGATATGGGGGCGCTTGGGACTTTGTTTTGCTTGTGTTCACCAAATGCGGCCAGCGATGAGGTGCGCTGCGTTGGAAACTCTCTCTTCGCGCTTCCTCTGACGCCATCGCGGCCTCGTAGGTCGCAGGCACATTGAAGGTCGCGCTGCCAGACTTGACAGCCGGCATGTTTGCGCGTTCGTCTCTGGATACGCGTGTCAGCCGAGAATGAGGCAAGATCACCAAAGTTGACAATCGTAGGGACGACGCCAGGCGTATGTGTAACCTCTAGAGTGAACAGTGACGATACGGACAGAAGTGAAGGTTGTGTGCCATGTGCGCTTGTTATAGCTGTTGCCCGTCGCGTGTTGGCGTTGGACCCAGCGAAGCGTGAGTCGGCTGATGAGACGAGACCGCGCGTGGCTATGGGAGGGCTGTGTATAGTTGACAGGGTCACGTGATCGCATTTGGCCGCCCCTCCTCAGATACTGGACGATGAACCCACCCAACCCCAGGGCGGACGTAAAGGTGATGATTGATCGAGGTGCGGCAGGTGGATTGAGGTCAAGCGATTGTCGAGAGTCGAGACTTTCGTTTCGTGAAATCGTGAATTCAAGATTCCAAGCCAGGTCGACAATATGTGTACATAATATGCACAAGTTCCCACGGGCCTCGAGCAGGTAGGTCAGCAAGAGGAGGCAGCTTTATTCAGCCCTCACGACCCGAGTCGACAATAAGCTCCGCCGAGTCGAGATGCTCATCGATGGAAAGAAGTACGCGTGTGCAACCTGCATCGCTGGTCACCGCACCAGCAAGTGCCAGCACCGCGACGGCCGCGAGCTTAAAGAGGTGAAAGCACGAGGACGCCCGACAACTCAATGCGACATATGCCGGGAGAGGCGAAGGCAAGGCGGATCAGCGCATGGGAGATGCTCGTGTGGCGGTCACAAGAGCGCCAGTCCTGGATTCTCCAGGGGTTCCGATGCAAGGATTGCCGCGTCGCCGTCAAAGAAATTTCGGACGAGCGAATACAGCACCTCGGGCTTGTCACTGTCCCTGAAATCTGCAGCAAAGAGTGCCTGCAAATGCCAGGAGCCGACTGGGTCAAGCTCTCAGGAGCCTTGTACGTGCTGCGGCGACTCTTACGTCGACCCGAGCGCAGCGGCAGACTTGCAGCGCCTCCATTTCATGCCTTTTCAGGCCCTGACTAGCAAGCGGTCTCATCCTTCACGCTCATCCTCTGCATCACCACAAGAGCATTCCGCGCTGCCGCCACTTCGAAAGATCGAACAGCAACCTCCTGCGCCCCTCGTCTCGCTACCGTCATACTCAGACTTAACAGCATCCATCGAAAAAGATCTGTTCGACATGCTACTGCGCGCAGCAGAGATGCCAAGCCTTCAGTCTTTGATGGAGAAGAGCTGCAACTGCAAGGGTGGCTGTCGATGTCGCGGGTGCCTCGCGTCAGGAAGCGCAGGCAATCCTGAAGCCCCTGTCATAGCGAGCTGCTGCTCTAGCAAGAGAACGAGGGCTACCTCTCCACCGGAAGCTAGCACTCCGCTGTATGAGACCCACCTGGCCAAGACTTCGCAGCGTCTCACTGCTGTTCCTGCGCAGCCTAGATTAGCGGAGACCAACAGCCGCTCTGAAGTTCCCGCAAGTGTGGCCGACGCCCAGCAAGAAGAGGAGGAAGATCGATGTGACACATGCGTTGCATGTGACGTAGACATGCGCTTGCCAACTGGCATTCCTGTTGTCGACGACTGGGTTGAGCGGCAACAACAGCATCATGCAGGTAACGCGCGCGTCGGCCAAGAGGAGGAGCAGAACCCCCGACTGGGCCTATCGAGCACAGCCGATGAATTTGCTTCACCAGCTCATCGCGATGGCACTACCAGTGCTGTTTCTAGCATCATGTCTGACTTGCCTCGCCCTACGAGGAGCATGGGTAGCGCTGCGACACTTGCCTTGACCTCATCGCAACCATCTCCTCAACCATCAGCATCAATGGCAGACTTCCGACCAAAGATCCCCTCAGCAGAGGCAGCAGCCACTGAAGATTTCAATGACGAATGGCCACCGTCAGTACACAGGCCCAATCCAGCATTGCACAGCGCGGTCCTGCATGGCAGCATCGTCCAGGCTTTCGGACCCGATTTAGTTGGCGACGCAAATGGCAAAGAAGGCGGAGCGGGAAACCAGGGGCCCGGGAACATTCGCGAGACAGCTGTTCATCCGCTGCATGTTGCTTGCGATGCGTGCCAGAAGGTCGTGTGTGACAAAGGAGAAGGCGTCGTCGTCGCTGTCTGATTCAGGGCTTGGCAATTGCTTGGTTGGCACCCCGCATGTGTTTACCGAGTCTTGAAGCCCGAGCGTGAAACGCTTAAATACCCGAAAATAGGTGCTAGCGAGACACCCACTGGTGAATGGCGAGTGCTGACAAGCATAGACCCTCAGAGGCAATGGCACATGTTAACTACCACATATGATAGTGACAGCTTCGAGAACCGAGCATCTCACATCGTCGGTCTGCGTCTGGCATCTCCAATCATTTAGGAAATTCGGAAAGAGGTTCCGGTGGCCGTACTGTGAGGTAATGCACAGACTTTCTCCACTTCCCCAGCCCAGCAGCTCCACCCTCCACTTGGGTAGATTTGCGATATTTTGATAGCACTGTGCCTGTCTGTAGCTATGTGGCAGCCAGGAACTAACCGCTTGAATGCTGCACCGCGCCAGAGCTGCAGTGTTCAGCAAGCCAAGACAGCGGAGCAGCGCAGTGTCTGTGTCGGACGCTCCGATTTTTTCCTTCGCTTCCTGCAGCTCTCGCTCTTTTGAATACATATGGCTTTCAACCTCTTTTCTCCGAGCCATCACTTCGACAGTGGGCGCGTGGGTTTCGCATGAACTTTCTGCTTGCAAGAGGCGGCGTCTGCTGTGCATGTGAGGAGCCAGCTTGCGGGTGCTCTCGTTTGGCGAAGCGGAGCGGTGTGGGGCGCATCCCGCCTTCCAAGTTGAAATTAAACTTCCGCCACCCAGTTCCAACGAGGAGCCAGCTCAGTTGGCACGACCTGGTACATTCATAACATCGCAGACAATCAGGTTAAACCGCTTCCTGTCTCCAACATCCAATCGATATCAATCTTCTTTTTTATCCGGATTCGTGGAGTCTGTTCCAGGGCCGAAAAAAGAAACCCAAGGACGGAAATTCTCTTCTCCCCATTTCTTGTTAGTAGGAACAGCGGCACTGCGCCGTGCAACAGGGTGCAATTCCACCTGCTCAGAGGCAATGCTAGGCGCTCCGTCCGAAGCCTGGAAGATGTATACAGAAAGTAAACAGTAATGCATCGTAGCCGACAACTTTGACTGTCTCGTCTCCCGTTCCCTCCTCAGCGATTCACACTGAGAGGAAAAGGCGTGCGTCTCGAGGTTCTTCACGAGCAACCATCAGACCGTCGTTCGTCTCATCAACAAAGTTCTTCTTTGTCACTGTCCTGGCCACCAACGATATACATCCCAGCATCCTCCAGCTCAACGTTGCTAGTCGCTTTTGTCCCTTCAGTCGCCGTCTCCTTTGTTTCCGCTTGCCTAATCCATCTGTACATCTGTTTCTCCATCATCGCACTGCAGTAATCATCCTGCGACAGCTTTCGCTGTCGCCTATCTTTCCTCGACTTCTCCTTGGCATCGCCTGCCTCTCAACACTATTCGACAACTAGAATGAGCAGCAAACCCGCCATCATCCAAGCGCCGACAGCTGCAGGGAGTAGTTTGTCGGGTGTACCACTAGGAAACATCCCGCTGGGGCAGGGATTTTACGTCCCGGCTGACCCGATTGAGCAATACCACCAGATCGACATCTTCCGGTTCATCATCCTCGCTGCTTGTGGAGCCCTAATTTGTAAGCCTTCGGTACTCGTTGCTGAAGAATATTATCTTGATTGGCGCTAACCCTCGCGTCACGTTTTCAGGGGAGCACATTGTCACGATTCACGAAGAGATTTACCGGTGGAAGCAGCTCTTTAGCGGTCGCCCCACTTGGGTCGGCACGCTAGTCTTGATATCGAGGTAAGCTACCGTCACCGCATTCGCCCTGTAACCCGCGGAGCATCCACCGTGCTCACCCTTGGCGTGAATGCCGACAGGTACTCCATATGGGGAAGTGCGATTTCTACCTTCTGGTTTTTCTTTCCCCCGGAAAATGTTGTCAACTGCCAAGCTAGTATCACCATCATCTTCGCGTTCATGGCCATCACCTACGTGAGTAGATTGCAGCGATCAGATTCGTACGAAGAGGGAGCGCAAGCGTGCATTGACCCTTCACCCTTGACGTTTAGATCTGCCTAGCAAATATCTTTATTTTGCGCCTGCGAGCGCTGTGGGGCGGTAGTGGCCCGCAATACCTCGTGCCAGTGTTGTATGCAATGATGTTTGTCGTCTCTGGGTGCTGGATTGGGTCCGTTGCCGGCTTCCACGGCCAAGCCATCCCTCCGATGCTCCAGGTGCGCCACGGGCCGGTCTGCATGCCTGCGCCGGCGCCGTATTGGAGAGTGCTCGGCTGGACGGCTGCCGCTATTTTCGACGTTGTCCTCTACGTCCTGACGCTGATCAAGGTCCAGCAGCTTCGTCATTTTGCCGCATTGCAAGACAATGCATCCATCAAAACGCTCCGCCGCTTCGTCTTCAATTCGAGTACAGCCTACTTCCTCGTCTCGTTCAGCTGCAACATCAGCTGCATCTTCATCCTCTCGTTTTACCGCAACATGATCCTGCAAAATATCCCCATTCTCGTCTCGGCCATCATGAACGCTATCATCGCCTGCAGAGTCGTATTCCACTCCGACCTGTTCTCTGACGGCAAGACCGGCTTGCTCGTTATTGACCCTTTGCGCCGCTCGATGAGCTCCAGGCGGCGGGATCGCGTCGTCGGACGGATGACGACGGCAGACATGCTGCAAGCACAGCGAGGGGTTAGAGGCGTTCCAGTCGTGGTGTACACCGGCGCCGTTGCCGTGGATGACAACCCGCCTGCATTCCGCGACTACGAGGCCAAGATATCACCACCGTCAATCGTGTCTTCGCCCGATGCTGATCAGCCCGGTGGCTTCGATCACCGTGCGCAACAGTTCGGCAGCTTGTCCCGCCCATATAGCAGCCAATCCTTTTCCTCTGGCATTCGCCGCACACTCAGCGCGAGTGGCAGTCTTCACGGCGTCCATATGCCTTTGCAACAGCAATCGAGCGGATCAGCCCAGATTGCCATCAAGCGCCAGCACTCGGCTTCCAGCTGGGTCGGCGCCGCTGTCTCTTCCAACGAGCGACAGTCGTCAGCATCGTCCTTCGAGCGGTTGTTGCAGCACACACCGCGGCAGCTGAAACGTGGGCGATCGCCTAGCGTCACGCGCACCATCACTCCCACGCCGGAGATGACGCGCGAGATCATCATCGCTGTCAGCAGCGATCATATTGGATCAGCCAGCGCAAATGGACATGCAGATACTGCTTCAGGGTCTGCTGGACACGCTGCGCCTCCGGTCTCTGGCATTCGAGCGGGCACGCCAGATAGTCAGCAGCACGGTGGCAAAAAGTATATTCCCATGGGTCAGTTCCACCAGCATGGGCGATAGACGGCGTCAGTAACTCCGCGTCGTCAAGCTCCACCACTTCTGCCTCTGCTCCGGCTCTTACAAGCATGCTCGTTTCCAGTACCATTGCTACACGCGCACCCTCCAATCACTAAATCAACTGCTTGCTTAGTCGCTCAACCAATCATGATCATTATCCGCACAAGAATCATCCTCAAGTGCAAACTACACTCATTCTCTCACTGTCGCTACTCTCGTGGGCTTATAGTCACCTGTACTATCGGACTGCGTCCCTGCCCTTGGTCGTCTCTATTGTATCTTAAGTGCACCGCAGTCATACAAATCGATACTCCAGCAGCGTCGGGAGCTACATTCACTTCTTCGCGGGCCACAGCGATTTTGGCGTTTGTAGAAGTTGTTGGGGTAAAACATGGGCCCCTGCCCTCCGCATTCTAAGCTTTGCACAGATTCCCAAGAACGTGTGTGGAGGGCCGACACCAGAGATGTCGTACGCTTCTGCATGTCGATTTCATGCAACATTCTGCCAAGGGCCTATCGTTCCTACGCGAAGGGGTAGGCTGCTAGCATGCCAAGCAGCAGAGTCAGGACAACTCCTCCAGCGAAAACAAGCGCCAAAGTGAAGGGCTCATTATTGACTCTGCATGGAGCTCCTAGTCCTCCCTCCTGCCAATAGGTTCTCAAAATGACCCTAGCCTACGCAGGACACCTTAGATTGAAGAAGCCGCTCCAGACACGAGCAGCACAGAAGACTTGTCACTTCCAGACGTTGGAGCTGGCGTCTACCGACGAGCAGCATAATGCCTAGCGGACGCAAAAGTTATGCAGTTTGCCAACGCATCGGCGATGGTCAGCTTCCTCTACAGTCCCGCTGTTCTAGACACTGGTGGATCCTCTACCAATGCCTGGGGCGGAGATGTCGATGTGGAAGAGTATGGGTTCTTCAGGCCAACACGAGTGATCCAGAGGAGAGTCTAGCAAGGAGTAGATGGAGCGGAACCGAAGTCGACAACGGACACACATACACACACACGTCGTCTCTTCGTCTTCGCTGCTGCGTGTGCTGCTGCCTATACGAACGCGCAAGCCAACCCAACAATCGGAGCACACCCCACTATGCATACTTCTTGTGATGACGACGGCAGGCCATCTCGTTGACTGGCTACGTATCCATACTCGGCTTTGATCGCGAGGTCTACACAGGTCAGAACAAGCCTCAAAAAATATAGCCCTGCCAGCTCGCGCAGCCGCCATGCAGACTGTCCTAGCACCACCGTCCGCGCCAGGCGGCATGTCCTACTCTGCGTCAGCAGCTGGTCCCGTCGGCCGCCAGTTCAATCCATACACCTCCAACGGTGAGCCTTTTGTCGCCCTTCTTGTGGGGAATCAACCGGCTAGAAAGACGGCGTTCTGATCGTCCTGGATTTGCCTTTCCCTCCCCTCTCCCGTACTCAGGTGGCTCGATCATGGCTGTTGCGGGCAAAGACTTCTGCGTCATTGCCGGCGACACGAGGCAAAGCGAGGGGTACAACATTCAGACGCGGTACAAGCCCAAAGTGTTCAGGCTGTGAGCGAGAAAGGCATGGAGGATGTTTTGGGCTGCCCTGGACCAACGGCGCTGATTGGTTTTGCTTCACACCCTTGTCATCCTCCAGAAATGATCGTGCGACGCTTGCAACGAACGGCTTCTCCGCTGACGCCGAGGCGCTCGTGGCACGCATCAAGTCGCGGCTGGAGCTGTACCGACATGCGCATGGGCGGTCCATGCCTCTGCACAGCATTGCACGCATGCTTTGCACCATCCTCTACTCGAAGCGCTTCTTCCCCTACTATGTCTACAACATCCTCGGCGGTCTCGACGAGGAGGGGAAAGGCGCCGTGTACAGCTTTGACCCGGTCGGAAGCTACGAAAGAGAGTTCTGCCGAGCGGCAGGCGCCGCGCAGAGTCTTCTGCAGCCTTTCTTGGACAATCAGGTACGCCGTTCACACATCCTTTGCAAAGTATACCCCCTCGCTTGCTGGTTGTGGCGCTAACCAGGCCACGTAATACCTACGTTGCTCTCTTGCTCAGATCATGTTCCGCAACCAGGTGTCAACCGCAGATCACAAGGTGCCGACGCCAGGGACGATGGGGCTGCCGGAGGTGCTGCGCATCGTGACAGACAGCTTCACAAGCGCGACGGAGCGGCACATCGAAGTCGGTGACGGCCTCGAGATGTACGTCGTACGATTGCCACCGCAAACAGCCTCAGCGTCAGCACGCGGTGACGATTGCACGATGGAAGGCGGAGCCGTGGCAGGCGCAGCTGCGATCGACCTCAGTGCCCAGCCTTATGGGGCGGTCGAGGCGCTCGGCGGCGAGGATGAACAGCAGAGCAAGACGACGATGGTCATCAGACGGGAGCTGAAGAAGGATTGATCCCAAGTAGTTCCATTTGTAATGAGAGTAGGATGAATCGTCAAGAGCAGAAGCACCATTGATGCTGTGAATGAGTGACGCACTCTGATACATTCGAAGGGCGACCATCACGATCCTCCTTCCTTTGTGCCCTCGGCATCTGCATATCCTCGCGCAATGCCCGCCCGACCCTCCTCCAAAGCAGCGGGGGGGTCCAGACCGATGCGTCGCTCAAGACCCTTCCAGGCACGTCCTTCGAGGTGTGCAGGCGAGGCACTATCCAGCACACGCGTCAGCGTGCCGTCCGCCTGCCGCAGCGCGATCGTCCGACTGTCGATGCCGCCGCTGGCCAGTGCGTCGTCCGCTCCGATGGCTTTGGCGTTCCCTCTGTCTTGGCGCAGTGCCTGGTTTGACCGGTAGGTTTGGCGCGAGACGAAGGAGCCGGTCACGAGTGAGAAATGCGGGCGTCGTTGGTACGAATCGTCATCGTCCCCATCATCGCCCCAATCACCTGCCGCTTTCTCGGCTGGATGCCCCTGTGACGGTCCCTCGCCTGCCTCTTTCCCATTCACAGGCATCGTGTCTGGTCCGTTGACAGATTCGTTGTCTTGTTCGCTCCGCAGGCTCAATCTGCCCAGATCGAGCTCGTACCCATCCGTCCAGCCTCCGCTCGAACTGTCCCCCTCCTCGAGACTCCTGAGCGCGACGACCATCTCAAAAGGCGTGATGACCGGCTTGAAGTAGTCCTTTCCCGCATGGCTGCCACCACCGGTGCCGTGCAGCGCGAGCGAGTTCTCGGGGCACGCGACGAGCACGAAGATGTCAATCTCCTGGAAGTTCGCCAGTTTGGCCGGGTTCAGTTTGCCCACAGAGATTGTGTACACTTTGCGCCTGCTCCCTTTGCCTGTGAGCAGCTTACGCAGGCTCTTGAGCAAGGGAAGGTAAGATACCACACCGAGCGTACCGACGAGCAAGCCGACGACAGATGCGTCTTTTGCTTTTTGCACCAGCGCGTAGCGCCGCATGAGCAGCCGATTCGTGGCGCGCCCATCCTCTATCCGCGCCGTCGCCGAATGAGCCCGTGGGTCGTATGTGATGAACAGGCGCGGGAAGCGAGTGGAGGGTGGGTGAGAGAGCAGCAGATTGATGAGGGAAAGAGATTCAGCGCTACCGATGTAGATGATGTCGCATTCGGCAACCGTCAGCTCCGATGGTAGCGACAGATATCGCGCGCTTCCTGGCGAGGCATTGCATGTTGACAAGTTCGGCGCATACCCAGTGGAGCCGCAACCACAAGTGGTCGGAACCTCTGAGGAAGAGGAAGTCCATCCCTCTTCTTTGGGAGTACATGCACACGGACCGCTAGGCGCAAGCTTGCCTCCCTCCCCGGGAAGTCGCTCAGTGGTGACTTGCCCCTCCTGGTCCTTATCTCTCGACAGCTTGGCCTCGAAGTTGTCCCGAGTATCGATTGTCTCCACGTATACTCGCACTTCCTCGTACTTCTCACCACCCATCCTTAATCGGCTCTTGAATTCACTTCGAAGGGCGGCCGCGATATGTCCGGCTTTGTGCGCGTAGCCGACTTCGTAGAGCAGGGCAACGTTTCGCGCTTTGCCTTTGCCCTTCCTTGTTGCACTCGACTGCTCCGCCTCGGCCTCTACTTCATCGTCCCAAGCAGACTGAAGCTTTTCGGACAAGCTTAACGCAGCTTGATCGACGTTGATTGAGAGCTTGCTGAAGACGTACAGAGTTGGTAGCCGCGCAGTCAGGGACAGACATGCATGCCCGTAATGTACGACCAAGTCTGCAGAGACGTGGGCAGATGCCACTTCGTCGACACAGCAGCTACCGGCAACATTGAGGCAAAACGTTAGCGTGTATCGACATTGCCAGGGTCAACACAAAGGTACCACCAACACTCACTTGCCGTAGCTTGTATCGGCGAGAATGTAGAGCTCGGGCTCCTCTGCTGGTTCATTTCCACCGCTTCCATCTATAGCTTGACCTTGCAGCAACTCCCGCAGTGCCTTTTTCAAGGCCCAGTATATCGGAACGGAGTCACAGAGCAGCTCGTCTGGGAATTGCAGTGCGATGCTCTTGAAGCGCCGAAGATGGACCCTCCGCTTCGCGTCGCCCTGAGGATCAAAGCCGAGGATTTTGAGCGCGGTGGAACGAATGTCGTACAGCTCCTCGATGCTCATGCCGGAATTTTGAGACGTGGAAGCGAGCAAGCTTTCGTCCAGCTCGACCTCATGGGTTATGATGTCCGAATCGGCGTGCGAGAAGGCTGATACTACCGGAGCGGTCGTAGCGCCATTTACGCCACGTGACGATGAGCTCGCAGCTGCAGCAGTCTCCGCCGCGGCGGCTGCCGAAAGCGAATCACTCATTGTCCCGCGAAGATTTGATTCTTGGGCTCCAAGCTGCTTTCTTCAATGTTTGTCCTTTGCGCGATGGGCTCGTCAAGACCTGGGTCCTGGATCTGCAGCGTCCGTCGCCAAGGTTCAACTGATACTTCGTTGCAGAGGCACCAAAATGTCGCTCAAACACCCCACATCTTCCCACATGGATCCCGAATCCCGAGTCCCGACCCGCCATTCGCTCACGTGTTGGTTAGAGCCAATCCCTCCCCACGTGCTCCGTATTGCAACGCAAGCAACGCGCTGACTGATTGACGCTTAACTGGGGCCAGCCACCCTTAACCAACTCCCAGAGAGAGCAGCACTTTGGCTTTTGCGCATGGCCAGCTGTGCATGGCAAGACGCAGTCCGTCCTGAACTGAATTCTGGACTGCTTCCAACCCTCCGAGAGAAATAGAGAGAGCAGCGGGAGGAAGACACAACCAAGTCTTTCGCTGCTTACTGGACGTGGGGCTCGGCGCAGCATGGCTTCGAGCGACGCAGGGCTATCGCGGCAGCATCGAGACAGCCCGACAGCAGCAGCTGCTGCCGCCGGTGAGCGTGTTGTGCCGGGTCAATCCAACAGTAGCACCTCGTCAACAGGACTGCGTGCCGTTCAGCCTCAGCCGCAGCGACGTCCACGTCCTCGCATCGCAGGTCAAGGAGGTGGTTCGACCATCTTGGTTAACTCGCGGCAGCGTGGCAATCCCGTGTTGAAAGGGATCAAGAATGTCGGATGGGAATTTGCCGACATTGTGCCAGACTACCAGGTCGGAGTCACGAGCGGTGTCCTGTTCCTTAGTCTACGCTATCATCGCTTGCATCCCGAATACATCCATCAACGCATCTCCACACTCGGAACCATGTTCTCCTTGCGCATTCTGCTTGTGCAGTGTGACGTGAATGACCATCAGCCGGCCATCAAGGAGCTCACCAAGATTGCGCTGATCAACAATCTCACCATGATGTTGGCTTGGACACCTGAGGATGTTGGGCGGTACATCGAGACGTATAAGGCGTTTGAGCACAAGCCTCCAGACATCATCAAAGAGCGCGTGGGCGACGATTATCTCTCCCAACTCAATAGCGTCCTCACCAGCGTGCGTGGTGTCAACAAGACGGATGTCATGACCCTCACGAGCAACGTTGGATCCTTGAAGCGCATTGCGCAGACGGACACCGACGAGCTGAACAACCTCCCGGGATTTGGCGATATTAAGGTCAAACGGCTACGAGAGGCATTCAGCCAGCCCTTCCGCGTCGGAGAGGGACGCACGATGAGGCAACGAAAAGCGCAGGAGGCGCTCGAGGCAGCTGAAAGAGGCGAGGAGCTGCCCGGTATGAGCTATCGCTCGCTGAGTCGTGCGCCTGCTCGCATGAGCGCCTTGCCGCGCGAAGAAGAAGAAGATACCCTAGAACTATTCCACGCTGCAGCAGACGATGTTTTGCAGCCCACAGCAGCGGCTTCTAAGGTCGCTCTAACGAGCACAGTGCGTGTTGGCTCGTCGTCAGGGGCCGTAACAGCCGCTAAAGGGGCTGTGGGGTCAATCGCGAATGACACGAGTTCGAGTACAGGAGCGAGCAACGCTGCTTTACGCGCAGCTGCTGCATTCCGTGATGTCGACTTTAGCCCATCCAAAGGCAAAGGAAAGGCAGCGTTTGCATGGGAAGATTCGCAGCGGGGCACGGTGCGAGCTGGTGGCCCAGAATTTCTCGCTGCGTCAGCTACGGCTGTCACAGCGGGTAATCAGCAGTGCGAGATCTCCACCCGCCGACAAACGGCGCACGCCATGCTCGCGCATCAAGTAGCGAGCCGTACAGCAGCAGGCGGAGGTGGTACAGGTACGGACACCATGGCTCTGTCAGACGACGCGACACTGTGGAGCGAGATGCAGCTCGACGATGGTGACGGTGATGAAGACGCTGCTCGCGAGCTGGCGCTGGAGGACTTTGAGAACCTCACAGAGGAAGATCAGCTGAAGATGGCGTTGGCTATGAGTACCGGCTCATAGCGCGCATGGTCTGGTGGAGCACTTGCTATGTATGCTGCCGATTGAAGAGCTAGGCTCATGGTATGCACGTCATCTTAGCAATGCAAGGAAGTTGCCTGCTGGCGGAGCGGACCCAATAGCAACAGCGTAAGTGCAAGGCGTTAGTACGGAACCTCTGGTGTTGCAACATATAATACAGATGCGGGAGCGTTTGGATGGGATATGCTGAATATGGACGAGGTTAAGGGAGGGCTCAATGCGCAGGATACGGGGCGGAAGGCGAACAAGTAGAGCATGCGGGCCCTGCTCATTTGGAAAGCAAAAGCACGCCATTCACACAGCCGTCGTTCTCCGGGTTATTAGTGATCTGTGCATATTTCTGAGGAAAAGGAGTATGGCTGTCAGCTCTGGATGCATGACCCATGGCATTGGTCGGATGCAGCGCTTTCACTCACACCCCAGACGACTTTCCCGCCGGTCGTGACCATCCCAAGCTCCGAGACGTTGACCTCGATGATGGTCCCTTTCGTCAGGACGCCAAGCTGCGTGTACATGGGCGATTGCGGATTCTTCTTAACGCCGATGATGGGCAACTGGAACGTCGCTTTCAGATCGGGATGTGTGACGTGCGCCTTTTTGAATCGCAGACCCATTGGGCGGACGAAACGCTCGAGCTTCGGAGGCTTGCGTGTGAACCCTTCCCCAACGAAAGTAGCTTTGGTCACCATGCGCTTCCACGCCTTGCCTTTGCGCTTGCCAGTCTTCATCACCTTGAAGGCCTCGTCCTCGGCAATACCGCGCACTTGTGGAAGCGGCACTGCGAATCTCGCTGCCTTGTCCTTTCGTCGCTCCTTAACGGCGCTGGACAGCGCCTTGGCGTCCTTCTGATTCTCGCGGTCCAGCAGGTATGTAGGCAGAGCGGTGTTGGGATCCTCAGGGGCGGTGGATTGCTTGACATCGCGCTCCTCGTGCGCCTTGAGCGTCTTCTTCATCTGAATCTTCTCCGCTCTCCGCTTCTTATTCAGCATCTTGGCCTTCAGGCCGATTGTCTTCTTAGCAACCGCAGAGGCTTTGTGCACCGAGCGCGCCTCGCGTTTGCGCCTAAACACGAATGATTCAATATGTATTAGAGGTCCATCATCGAAACGATGCATGAATGCTCGCACAGGACTGGCCAGATTGGGGCGTAACCCCCGATTGGCGCCGCCGAGCCTGCAGGGGCGCAGGCCAAGTGGAAGACTCACATCCGCTCCTCATGGTCCATCCGCCGACCATGGCGCCTAATGTGCTCTTCAATGTATTCGTTCTAGGAAAAGTCAAGAAGATGCAGGGGGGAGAGGATTGGTGTCAGTTCATCAGATCTGGGCTCTGGTACCACTCATAGCCACAGCTCGACGGGAGCAGCAATTGTCAGGCCCTGAGATGGAGGCGAACAGAACTCACCTGCGGCATGGTGTATCAACGTTGATGCGTCAGTCTATGTGTTTTTATCCGAGCTGTAAGATGCAGTAGTCACGAAAAGGTCTGACCCATGGACCAGATGTTGGATGTAAAGGACAAGCATCTTCAGTGGGATGAACATCATCCTGCACAGATAAATCAACCTTGCACCTCCGCCTTGTGGATGCCGAGCAAAAATTTGGGTCTGTGAGCTGAGGGCAGGTTCTACCACACACTCATCTGGTGCCTTCCCGCTCCCCCAGCACTCGACGTCAGGCATTGTTTCGGTGCAACACGCACGTTGCGGGAGAATCCAGCAAAAGAGAGGTCCGACACGAGGGAGGATGTCGAAGACCAGCTTGATGGCGTTCACTACTTCGGCTATTGGCAGCATCCTCAGGTAGCCAGTGAGTGCTGCACACACTCAAAGGCAGTCGTAAGAACTACAAAGTGAATCGCACAACGAAAAAGTGCAGGCTTATTAAAGTCTCGCGATACGTTTGCCTTTTCCTCTGTTTGCCAAGGACACCCGCCCGCCATGCCATCCATTCGGACAACGCGGACCAAACCACCGCCAGAGGGCTTCGAGGACATAGAGGACATCCTCGAGGACTATGCTCGCAAGATGCGAGACGCAGAGAACGAGACGCATGAAGGAAAACGGAAAGCTGAGTCGGTTTGGCCGATCATGCGAATCTCGCATGCTCGATCGAGGTACATCTACGACCTTTACTACAAGCGAGAAGCGATCAGCAGGGAGCTGTACGATTGGTTGCTGAAGGAGAAATATGCGGATGCAAAGTGAGTAAAACGTTCGGTATGTCGCAAATTTCTCGCAAGTTCCGTCGCCTGTGGTTCTGACAATTATTTGTTTCTGTTCAGCTTGATCGCCAAATGGAAGCGACCCGGTTACGAGAAGTTGTGCTGTGTACGATGCATCCAGTCTCGAGATATGAATTATCAGGGGTCAACATGTATCTGTCGTGTGCCGAAAGCAGCGCTCAAAAAGGGAACGGTCGTAGAGTGTCAACACTGTGGTAAGTGAACATGGTCTTCGTGCTCTGAGTGCCGATCAAGCCTGGTCTGACGCCAATGGCCCTTGCCCTTGCGAAATGTAAAGGTTGCAGAGGTTGCGCAGCACAAGATTGAGACCCCGCAAGCTCGAGTCCAAGACGAAACTTGTATATCAGCACCAGCATGTGTATTTGTACGAGGCAAGTAACTTGCACGACTATTTACAACTACGACATGTCACACATCAGTGCTATAGACGTCCAAGCACTCAGGACGAGACGCCTTTGTGGAGGGCTCCATCCATTTTGAGGTTCGCGCAAGGCTACGCGTCGAAAAAGCAGCAGCATCAGCCGAGTCCCGAAACTTGGAAAACCTGTCTGACATGGTCCTGCTTGCTCACAGTAAATGCGCTGACCGAGCCAACGAGAAAGACGATGACATTGGCCACCTCCCGCTTTCCCGTGCGACCGGTTGGATTCAAATTCAGAAATTTCTTGTAAAACTCTGGCTGGGTTTGCTCTAGTTTATCCCATACTCTACCCCGTAACATGGGGTTACCTGGACTGACGGTGTTGTTGCACGCAAGCAACGCGGCCTCGGCTACGCACAACAGTATATCGAAAGAAGATCAGTCAGAACGCGCACACTCCAGCGTATACGGGACCCTTCCGATACACGTAGAGAGACTGGGAATAAAATACTCTCCTTCGCCTTGTTTATGGCCATTCCTTGAAAATTGTGTGTCAATGCGGTTTCATCGCACCGTACTGGCCAAAAGTGAACGCATCACCCTCGTGTTCGCTGATCCTGTTAACGGTGACGACTCTACCGCCACCTGGTACATTGGACTGCTTGAGGTGCGGTACGTAAAGCTCGTTTAGGCCTACGCTGGAATGGAAGTCTGCAGGGCCAGAAGGCGAATTAGTGGAAGCGGAAGGGATGTGGGTAGTCCAACGAAACCAGACGAGCTCACCGACTGCGTAGGTTAGGGCATCGTCGGTCACCGCAAGTGCAGTTATTTGAATTCAGAGCAAAGGAAAGAGATGGGGTTCTCAAGACACATCGCTGACGTTCTCGCGGGCAATGAGCAAATTGCATATCATTGGGGATGGCCACATCAAGACCATCGAAGCTCTTCACAGCCGCCTCGACCCGCTCCTTAAGTTGCGTGGCGTTGCCTCCGTCGACCGCTGTACCAACGGTGCGGCTTCCATCCGAGCAAAGCGATTCATACTGCTTCGGATCAGGAATGGTGCGGATGCAGTAGGCGACATTGGTGGCTTCACGCCAGAAGACATGCACGAATGCGCTGCCAATGCCTGTCATGCCGCCTGCGTTCCTCGGATAAGGTGTGACGGACGAGCCCAGTGCCAGACAAGAATGAGCGTCCTGACTCGCTATGCAAGGACCATTGGGGGTTTCAAGGGAAGGCTCGCCGGTCACCAGGGCAGGCAGGCCTTGGAAATGGAGTTGCGTTGCTGCATACTTAAGCTTGTTGAGTGTTTGGAGAGAGAGGCAAGGGGCGACAAGCAAGTCTCTCGAATCTGTCTTCTGTAGCATCAGTGAGCGCCAGCCGTAGCAGGAAGAGAGCGGTCATTGGAATTCAAAGACCTGGCGCCATAGTACACGAAAATGCCAATGAGCTATGTAAGACAAGTACCAGACCTTAGAAGGAGAGCAGGCGATCGCAGTGTGCGATCGCATATTGGGGTAACAGTCTGATATGTGCTGTGCATTCCAGTCCTTCTGGATTCATCAACTCTGCAACAACGGCCCATGGCCGTGCGTTCTCGTGTGTCATGGGTCGTCCTACACTTCTTAAGAAACTGGTCCACAAGGCAATGAGGGATTGCGGATGAGCTTTCCCTCACACGTTATATGCGTACGAGCCTTACGAGGCAATCAACATTTGCGGTTGGGTGTCTGTCGGCATGTCGAGTGACGAGAAGCCACGCGGGCTGCTGCGGCGGCACTCGGGTCTCGGCATGAGGAGAGGGCGTGCCAGTGCTGCATAGTGCATGGGTGCTACCGCTGGCAACGCGCTGACCGTCGCCGGCGATGGCGATGGCGACCGCGGCGTCGGCGTCAGCGACGGCACAGTAGAACAGCTCTTGAATGTATTTGATTGTCCTTACAACATTGCTGTATGCAGTATGTCACACGAAAACTTTCGACCAGCAACTCTCTTCAAGTCGAGGTACTTCCAAAGTGATTCTTGCTTCGATCACACATCACTTAAAGCAACTTTTTGGGGCTCCCCGTGCCGCGGAAGAGCCGGTCCATACAGTGAGAAAAGGGTGGGCACTTCCCGGGTGTCACGTTGTCTTCGCCTGGCAAGCTGGCTTTGTCGCGTTCATGTTCTTCAACACTTCGCAAACCAGCACAGAATAAAGCTGGGACTTTCCACAGTCACACAGCCACTATGGAGGTGCCAGCATCAGTATCTGACCTGCCACTGACTGGTGGAGAGACAGCTGCAGAAAATGCAATAGAGGCAGCAGCGGCGCCAGCGTCGATGACCTCACTCGATACCGCACGATCGCAGCCGACGACATTCCATGTACAGCTGGGTGAGCAAGGTATTGCAATTGAACACGCCATGAAAGGATCTTTAACAACTGGCATTGTGTCGTCTCTGCTTATCTAGCTGCTGCACAGCAAGCATCAAAGCCAGGGTTTTGCGCAGAGGAAGCACTGCTCGGCTCTGCGTCGCCCGCGCACGCGGCTAGCCATGAGTTTACCGCACCTATCCCTACTTCCACAACATTAGCATTTGCAACAGAAAATGGTGTAGGAACAATGAAAGACATGTCAGACGATGAAACGGAGGACGAAGGCCCACGAGCACCTGGACACCACGCTCGCAAAGCCTCTGCACTCGCGACGGAGGAATCGGCGACAGCCTCGCGAGACATCTCTCGCGAAGGGAGTTACATGGATGGCGACTCGAGTGCGGGAGGAGGCAGGAGTGCGATGAAGAAGCCCGTGTCCAAATCAAAGCTGGTCAGAGAGGAGTTCAACCTTGCTGAAGCTGATCCGGACTTGTACGGCCTGAGAAGATCGGTGAGTGGCACGCACAAATTTTACCATGAGCACGCCTTCACGCTCGAAAGCGACCCCCAAGCCGCTGTCCACAGTTTGACCTGACTGACACGCTTTTTAAATCCCTGAACTGCTTTTCCGCACCGCAAATTCGCTTCCCCACCTCCCCAATATCTCTGTTGATAGGGTCGCGCTCCGAAGAAGGTCGTGAGTATCACACCTTGTGGGTCGGTGTCATCGCTTTCTATACAAGCCGCTTACACGGAACTTCTTCCTCCCCTATGCAGTACGTGGACAGCAGCGATGATGGTGGCCACGCGGACGATGGCAGCAGGGCCGGCTCCAGTCGCTCTCGCCCCGTGCCAAAGTTGTCAAAAGGCAAAGGTGTGTCCATGCTCGTCAAATGCTCATGACTGTCGAATCTTTCTGAGCCATGGGGCCTTCAGGCAAAGCAAGCACTTCTACATCTGCGCGTCAGTCTCCCGCTGATGACGACAGCTCTACGCTGAGCGATGATGACGAGAACAGTTCAGACGACGACGGAGACGATCTTGACTTCGGCAGGCCCAAGAAGAAGAAGAAGCCTCCTGGCGCGGGTAGCCGACGCAAGTCGAAAAAAGCCGCCTACCGCCCTTCTTCCCCTGACTGGGCAGCAGCCAGAATCTCCAGCAGGAATGGCAAGCCGCTGCCCAATTACAACGAGGACTACGCTAACGTTAGCGGAGAAGATTCTGACCCTTTCGAGGATCGTTTGACGCGCGAGGCAGCAGAATGGGAAGCTGCACAAGGTGACAGCTGGGACACGGTGGATCTTGTGCTCAGTCACGAGCGTGCAGACGATCGAAGTGAGTATCATCCCCCAAGCGAAGATTGCTGCATGCGAGGTCGTTTTCTCACCGTGAAACCCCTTCCCTTGGCAGAGGGTGACCAGGAAGACTTGCCAAAAGAGAACCTTAAGTACACGATCAAGTGGAAGGGGTTTTCTCATCTTCACAACACACAAGAGCTGTACTCATTCCTTCGCGATAGCTGCAAAGGTATCAAGAAGGTCGACAACTACATCAAGCAAGTCTGGGAGCCCGAGAATGCTCTGCTTACCAGCGACCAAGCTTCGCGCGAGGACATAGAAGCGCTGCAGATCGAGCGCGAGCGCCAGAAGGAGCTGGCGGAGAGCTATGAACAGGTCGAGAGGATTATCGCAGAACGTGTCGAGAGCCCGACAAAGGAGAAGAATTATGAGGATCTGCAGTACTTCTGCAAGTGGAAAGAGTTACCCTACTCTGAGGCCACTTGGGAGGTGCGTTGCTCTATGAGACACTGCTCATTAGCCACGTTAAGCTGACTTTCCACCTCATCGATTCTGCGTCGATAGTCCTCGGAAACCCTTCCAGAGAGCGCTCGGCCGGCGATTGACGCATACCTGGCACGCTCCACATCATCTATTGTCCCATACCGCAGTGAATCGTACCCCAAGGGCCGACCAAAGTACACTCGTATGACAGAACAGCCAGCGTACATCACTCCAGGAGGTACCCTCAAGGAATTCCAGATGACTGGACTCAACTGGCTTGCTTACCTGTGGTCCAAGAACGAGAATGGTATTCTCGCTGATGAGGTGCGTCTCTGCCGAGTCAATCGGCCAAACATCAATACGCGTGCTGATGAGACGACTATGAGGTTCTCAGATGGGTCTTGGAAAAACAGTGCAAACAGTCGCTTTCTTCTCTTATCTGGTGCACTCAGTTCATCAATACGGCCCTTTCCTGGTTGTAGTGCCATTGTCAACACTGCCGGCGTGGATGATGCAATTTGAGCAATGGGCACCCGACCTCAACGTCATCGCGTACATGGGCAATACGCAAAGCCGCGAGACGATCAGGGAGTACGAATTTGGCTCTCCCAAGAAACTCAAGCTGAATGTGCTCGTTACCACGTACGAGTTTATCCTCAAAGATCGGGCAGAGTTGCAGCACATCCGTTGGCAGTACCTTGCCGTGGATGAGGCGCATCGCCTCAAGAATTCGGACTCACAACTCTACGAGGCCCTTTCCAGCTTCCATTGCGGCGGGAAATTGCTCATCACGGGTACCCCATTGCAGAACAATGTCAAGGGTGAGACACTTTGCGAAGGGGAAGATGCCTTGTCAGGGGTTATTGGCTGAGACCAGGCGCATCCTACTTGCAGAACTCCTCGCCCTACTTCATTTCCTGCGCCCAGAAGAGTTCGAACTAGAAGGTGATTTTGATATTGACGACGTTGATCAAGCGCGCGTGGCAGAGCTGCACGAGAAGCTTCACAATGTCATGCTTCGGCGCCTCAAGAAGGATGTCATCAAAGAGTTGCCGTCCAAGTCGGAGAAGATCTTGCGAGTGGAGATGTCCGCCATGCAACAGCGAATGTACAAGGCGATCCTGTCCCGCAATTTCTCCGTGCTCAGTCAAGAAGGCAGCGCGCAGATCAGCCTTCTGAATATCGCCATGGAGCTCAAGAAGGCGGCAAACCATCCTTTCTTGTTTGATGGCACTGAAGTTATGGCAGAAGGTCGCGCGGAACAGCTCAAAGGGCTTGTAATGAACAGCGGCAAGATGGTCCTGCTCGACAAACTTCTGACCCGCCTCAAGAGCGATGGTCACAGGGTGCTGATCTTCAGTCAAATGGTCCGCATGCTAGACATCATTGCGGATTACATGAACCTGCGTGGGTACATTTTCCAGCGACTTGATGGCACAATCTCGTCAGACGTGCGCAAGCGGTCCATCGAGCATTTCAATGCCGAGGGTTCACCTGACTTCGCCTTCCTGCTATCGACGCGGGCCGGAGGCCTGGGAATCAACCTTGCCACTGCCGACACCGTCATTATCTTCGACAGCGACTGGAACCCGCAGAACGATTTGCAGGCGATGGCTCGAGCACACCGCCTCAACTCCAAATTTCACGTTTCCGTCTTCCGTTTCCTGACCAAGGACACAGTCGAAGAGGACGTCATCGAGAGGGCGAAGCGCAAGATGGTGCTAGAATATGCCATCATCCATCAGATGGACACCTCTGGCTCAAATTTTGCGTCCAAGGCAACTGCTCCAAAAGCTCAGAATCCGTCCAAGGAAGAGCTTGGGGAGATCCTCAAGTTTGGTGCACAATCACTCTTCAAGAACGACAACGATGACGGCCAGCAGAAGAAGCTTGACGACATGGATCTAGACGAGATCCTGACTCACGCTGAGGCTCATGACACGGAAGCAGCTCCTGGAGGGGCATCCTCTGGAGGCGAAGGCTTCCTGCAGCAGTTCGCTCAGGTACAAGACTTCAAGACGGATGTCAATTGGGAGGACATCATCCCCCTCGAGGCGCGCCTCAAGGCTGAGGAGGAAGAGCGCCAGCGAGCAGTAGCGCAAGCTGCCGCCCAGAGCTCGGCCCGCCGGAAGGCCGCAGAAAAGGCAGCCAGCAAAGCTAACCAAGCAGATCAGAGCTTGTCTGGTGATGAAGCAGAGAGCAGCACAAAGAAGGGTCAGAGTAAAGGATCAGCTCATCAGCGAAAAACAGCCGCAGAGAAGTCTCTGGAGTTGAAAGAGAGAGATATCCGAACATTAATTCGAGGGCTGCAGAAGTGGGGGGATCCTCGCTATCGCTACGACCTCATGGTGGGAGAAGCGCGCCTGCAGCACAAAAATCGAGCCGTCGTCCTTCAAGCCACAAAAGAACTCGTTGATCTCAGTAACGCCGCAGTTCAGGAGAACGAGGATATGCTGAAAGGAATGATGTCTCGCGGCGAGGACATTGGCAAGCTTCGCCAGAAAGCAGTCCTCGTCAGCTATCGCAATGTCGACAAGATCAATGCAGAGACGGTGGTGATTCGTCACAATGAGCTCAGACTGCTGGCAGAGACCTTAGACAAACAAAAGGACGTCAGCCAGTGGAAGGTTCCGGCCAGATATCTCAAAACCACGATGAACTGGAACGTTCCGTGGAACGACGAAGACGACGCACACCTTCTTATCGGTATTTGGCGTCACGGCTTTGGTTCGTGGGAAACGATTGAGGCCGATCCTGACTTGAACCTTTCAGGCAAATTTTTCTTGGACGATAAGAAGCCAGGGGACGGAAAAGACGACGCAAAGAAGCACAAGGAGGATGACGATACAGCCAAGCATGCAGCGGAGGCCGCGGAGGGGGGTGACGAGAAGAAGGGCGAGGCAAGCAAGGGGAAGCCGATTCCGAATGCGGTGCACTTGGTTCGTAGGGGCGATTATCTACTTAAGGTCCTCCGCGAGCATGAAGATCACGTCAACGCGCTCGAAGCTCCTGCGGAAGAAATCGCGGTCAAGGCCAAGTCGAAGTCGAAGCGTCACATTAGTCCGGACAAGGGTGGCAAAGACGAAGGTAGTAGTTCAAAGCAAGCACGCCACTCGAAGAAGCGACGCACCACTCCTGATTATACAGACTCCGATGATGAGGGAAGTATGGACGAAGCTGAGTGCAAGGACCTCATGCGCCCTTGCAAGAATCAACTTAAGAAGCTGCGCGAGGGCACGGATCATCTCGAACGTGATCAGAAAGTGGCAACGTTGAAGTATTGCCTCTCGGCGATTGGCAAGCGCATTGATGCCTTGCTCAAGCACGAGTTTGTGAAAGAGTCAACATCTCAGAAGCAGCGACGCGAACGCCACCTGTGGGCCTTTGCCGCACTCTTCTGGCCAACAAAGGTTGAAGGCACAAAGATGCGAGACATTTTCAACAAACTTGTCAGCAACGATTCGCCCGCAGTCGCGGAGAACGCGCCGTTGCCGCCGCAGCTCAGCAAGTCAAGCAAGTCTAACGGATCTTCCCATAAGAGCGAGGCACCGCAAAAGCGAAAAGCGTCTAGTTCTGGCGCTGCCGCTGGGAATTCGGATCACCAAGACCTTCCGAAGCGGCCCAAGATGAACAGTGAGAGCACAGCGCCGCGTCCTTCTCTACGTGCGCCCGATGTCACACAATCGCCGCGTCCACTAGCCGGCAGCCCTCCAGGGCCAGCACCAAGACGGCCTCCTTCTCTGTCAGCCGCCCCACCGCCATCCTCGGCTGTTTTCTCGAGCGGCGGGCCTCCTCCACCGCTCGGTCCCGCCCGCAGTCGTGAGGATCTGCATCATCACCGGAGTTATGATGACCGTGACCGCCCCCGGGATGGATGGGATGGCCGGGACTGGCGCACCGACCGTGAGCGTGACGCGCACCGTGAGCGTGACCTCCATCGCGACCGAGACCGCGAATATCGACGCTCAGACTATTACGACAGTATTTCCAATGGGGGAGGCTACAGCCGTCCCGGGCCATACTATGACGGCTACCGACACTGACGCATTATGGCCCCATTCCAATCTATTGCACAAAGAGCATGATCTCATCTGCAACTCATTTTGTGTCTGTACCATTGCCATCCCGTGCAGGTTTCATTTGAGTCTTTATCCTGTTCTTTGGCACTCTTAGAGTACATTAAAGTTCCTCCTCCGACTCGTCCCCTGCATTGAAGTCCACCATTGCATGAGCGGGCTGTTTGGGCAGTTGGGTTATCACCTTTGCTGCTTCGTCCTGCTTTCCGGTGGGATCAGCCAAGAAATCCACATCCTCGTCAACATCCTGTGCAATGAACGCATCATCGTCTGCATCTTCGACAAGATCCATTGCTGTCTCCATGATGTCCGTGAGGCCGCCAGCCGAGCCCTTCTCGGCCCTCCGCTTTTGCTTCTTCGCTTTCTTGCGAGCCGATCCTCGAGATACCGCCATGTTCTCGAGCTCTGACGGTGAGAAGACAGTGGAGAGTAGGGCGAGCTTCCCAGTTTGCTTCGCTTCCGCTTGCGGCCCTGTGTCTTTCTTGCTCTTGCGCTCGCTTGAGGCTTTGCTTCGTTGTCGCTCCAGCCAGGAGGGCAGATCTTCTGCTTCAGCAGGTTCCGTGTTCGCTACTGCTGCATGCTGCAATGTTGCCGTTGGATCGATACGAACTTGCTTTCGAGGTGGGATCAATTCGGCACGGAATGGTCCGCCTGAAGGACCGTCATCGTCACTGTCCGAGTCCGACTCGGTCCGCGGATCACCTGCATCATCTGAGTCGGCAAGGATGTTCGCATCGTCATCGGGACGCCTGCGTCTCTTTCCCAAGCTCTTGATAGTCTGGTTGCTTGTGTCCGCAAGGAGCATCGCTTGCTCCTTCGTCGCAATGTCGGGTTGCTCTGCGCCAACAAACTTTGGCTCCCTGGCTTGGAGTAATGCCTTGCCATCGGAGTCAGCGAGACTACCTCTTCCAGAAAGTACTGTCTGTGGTGTCTCGAATGTGCCCATCTCTGATGCCACGGCATTGACCTCGCTTCCAGCGCCCATCAATGCCTCGGCATCTGCTTCGCCGAGTAAGCCGGCAAGGTCAAATTCCGCATCAAAGGATGTCTTGATAGACGTTGTCGCTGCGATCGCGGCTGTAGCTGCTTCCGACTCTAGCTGCTCTTTCGTCTTTGTTATCTCTGCGTTTACGCTGTCCTTCATGTTCAGGCCAGCCTTGTTGATCGTGTTGGCTTTTGTTGAGGAGAGAACTGCCGAGCGGTGGACAGCAGGTGGCTGAGTAGCATACTTTATCTTACCCGTGTTCCAGTCGTGCAGCACAGTCCGCGCAGTACCTTCGATGTCGGGCGCACCGCCTTTAGCCAGGAGTCTGCCTTTGCGCAGGGCGAGACGTAGGAGGAGAGACTGCACATCGTCCATGCTAGGTGCAGGCATGGGCTCGTGCGGGGGAGGCTGGTGGTCCGACGATGTGGATGGAAGCGAATAAAGTGTCTCCAATTGGCTGAGAGGCACGCGCGAGAGAACGACAGCAACTATGATAAGGAGAAAGGAGGCATGTGGATCAATAGGCCTGCTGCGATGAGACGGGCAAAGGACTCACTGGGTGAAACCGGATCCTGGAGGAGCTCGACCTTGACGACATTCCTCAAAGCGGCAGCCATCCCATCCATCTGTTGACCTCCAGCGGCAGTACGACTTCCTCCTGCACCATCTCTCTCCTGAAACACGATGCCAGGACAATCGATTAATTTGATCTTCTTGTCGAGTGCAACACTCTGAAGGACCTTCGTGTGCCCTGGGGTACTGGCTACTGCACAGACCCTGGCGCGCTTCAGAGAGTTAATAATGCTGGACTTTCCCACGTTAGGTGCTCCAAAGACACCGACGGTCAGTGAGCTTTTGAGAGAGTGATTCCGCGAGTAGTTCTTGAGGAGTTGAAGGAGCGCTTGTGCACCCAGTGCCTCTGAGCCAGAAGTGAGCGCTGCGGTTGAGCCATTCGATAGCGGCACAGAGCCAGCGCCTTGGGCAAGGTTTTTACGTTGCATCTGCGTTGATGCCTTAAACGCCAGAGTCGGAAAGTCGTGCCGCAAGTATTTGAGCCATTTTTCGACGTTCTCACGCGGCACGAGATCGATCTTGTTGAGGATGAGGATGATCCTCTTCCCTTGTCCCAATGCAAGAGTTTCTGTCGAGTAGGAGCGACAAGAGAGAGGGTCACGAGCGTCGAGGACCTCAAGGAGGATATCGCTTGTGGTAAGGAGCTTGCGAAGCTGAGATGCATACGCTCTCAACGAAGAGTCTCGTTGACCAGTTAATGCTGGATCGGCTGCTGCGCTGCTAAAGGGGTTGGACGCGGAAGCAGCAGAGAACGTGAAGCTCAAATCTTCCCCAGTACCTGCCTCCTCTTGAGTCTTGGCCACTCCTTCAGACAGTGTGTGAGTGGCAGCACCGTCGGTCTCCATTGCATCTCCTTCGATGCCCTCCGCTGTGGCCTTCTCTTTCTCCTTCCCCTTGCCATTGGTCTGTTGCCCTCCTTGCTGAGCCACCGTGGCAAGAGCCTGCTTTCGATGCTTGAAGAAAGAAGGGAGGCCCGTGTCTTTGCGGCTACCATTGTTGCTGCCTGGAACCAAGCTCTTACCCTGCAACTTGTTTACACGGCCTTGCTGCTTACGCTTCGAGGCTGCGTCGCGTTGGCCACTCATGATGCGAATTTGCTGCGGGTTTGCGGCTGAGATAGAATCGAGGAATATACCTATATTTCTTGCTGCTACGCAACCAACTTGTAGCCTTTATGCTGGTAGTACTTGTTTCATGAACATCCCGAGACGTCAGCTGATCAACGTTCGCAACCAGCACAATCGCAGATGGGCCCTCAACATCGACCATTGTGCTGTTGCTTTGCTTTGCGAATGCAATTGCTTTTGCCTTGTGGTCTCGGAACTCGGAACATGAGGGCAAATTTATGCTCATTCATGTTCTATGGTTCTCTCATAGCGGCGGTGGGAGTCGAAAAAATGAATCTAGCCAACCACGTTCGTTTGGAAAACAACAGCATACGATCCTATTCGATCATTGCTGCTATGACAACACTGCTTCGGAGCAAGGGAAGGTCCCAGATACGACCGAAGTCTTCTGCAGCCTAAGTAACCATCCGCTCGAAATGTGCTCATATACACCCAGCTTTGTTGGTGCCGGCTCAGCTGGAAGACTTATTGGAGAAGGGCGATCCGCCCGCCGAAAGATTCAACTGCCGAAGGGCAAAGGAAAGGCGAAGAGCAAAGAATTGCCTTTGCCCCAAGCTGTCGCAGATCAAGAGGAAGCAATATCCTACGGTATTCAGTCCGAAGAACGCGGGGAGAGATATATCACTTCAGGTGGCCCAACCGCCCAGCGCGCCTATCAAACCGCATTGATGTGGTATCGCAGGGCTTTCGAGCTCGCACACGCGCAAGTTGCGAGCATCAATGTTACGTCGCCCACAGAACAAGAGCTGCAGCAAGATCATGCGTATAATATGTTGATTCAATGTGCAGACGCGGCGTACAATGCTGCCCGCACTCACTACATTTTTGCGACCCATTTCGCTTTCCCGCCGACATCTCTGCAACATCTGGAAGAGTCTATTGGCTTATATCAGCAAGCAGCAAGCGCAGAAGAGCGTGCTCGAGGGCTCCACGTGCATTCAGCCAGCGTATCTTCGGTCTCACGATTCCGTCTGGACATCGAGTACAACCTTGCGTCGTCACAATTGGCCGCTGCCGAACTGGTCTTCCAGCTCGAAGATTCTTTCAGTGAAGCGGCTCGCAAGACTGAAGGGGCCCTACACGATACCGCTCAAAGATTCTCGCAAGTGGCGCAACGACAGGCGCAGGAGCTCGCAAGTCGATACGATTCGCTGCACACAGATGATGCAGATGTTATTGAGGCCAGTGAAGACGACGATGGCGCCGCTGAAGTTGATGCAGACAAGTCAAGTACATCTGAGGAGCCACTGATGGTCTATGCTTCGTCCACGATTGAGCTCCCCAGCCTTGCAGACACTGTCGAAAACTGCATATCTTGCATCCGAATCTTTCTCACTGAAGTGCCCAACGTTGGCGCTGACGACACGCGAGTATATTTCGCGTCGGAAATTGCTGCAGCCGCTCTCAATGCCACGCAGATGATCGTACCGGAGAGAATATCCGAATCTGAGAAGCTGCAATTCGCATTTATCCAGAGAAAGGCCTTGATGTTGAGTCTGGAGGTGGAAATGGCTCTTGCAGATAGCAGGCTGGAAGTGGCAGAGGCAAAGGCGCAAGAAAACGTCGCCTCAAGCTACCAACAGAATTTTGAAGCTCTGCTGGCTGCACAGGCACGCTCACGCTCAATATCCCTTTCAAATTTTTCTGCAGGTGATGTAGAAGACCCTCTGGAAGGCCTCTGCCAGCTGGCGGATCTGCAACAGGATTTGGCGTGGCTAGGTGTTCGCGGCATGACGCTGCTCGCGGCTTCAGGCAGCTCGGTGCCGTCGACATTATTGGACTCAACATGGGAACTTGCAACCGGCTCTTCAAAATTGTTTTTGCGCGCATTGTCAACTCTATCGAAACAACCTTTGGCGCAAGGCGTGAATGCCTCAATAGTTTTGGGCGGGTCATTAAACCAGGCGCCAAGCCCAGCGGCACGAGCCCGCCTGGGCATCAATGCAAACCTAAGCGAGCTCAGTCTGCTACGCGCTTTGCCCTGTTTCAGGCAGAAGCATATTCAGAAACAAGCAGGAACACTGGAACTCAATGAAGGTGCAACATCTGCATGGACGACAGTCAAATCTCTGCTCGACAATGCCCGCATCTACGCCCGGCGTGCATGCAGCGAGGCAGGCTTGACCTGGGCACTCTCCATCCAAGCACCGTCTCCTTTACCGCCAACAGCAGCCAGACTCAGCAGCGGCGACCATTATCGCAGCGCAGTGAGCGGTGGTGCGGCGACAACTTGTTGGGAAGCGCTGCTTGATGATGCAGATGCGCTTCTGCAGTGCGCCCGAGCCATCTGGCAGCGCAAACAAGTGCTTGTTGCTGCTCTCAACAGAGATGCGATCGTCTTTTCGAGCGAGCAAAGAGCCGATTCCACGATAGAGATACAGAAGTCGCAGCATGAACTCAACAGCCTTAATTATGCTGCTTGGCTCATTGTCCGACTTCCACACCCATCTGTAGGCGATGCCACTGGGCCGCAGCAAGCCTGGCGCCTGGCTTTGACACATTCTCGCTCGCAGACAACAACCCCTGGAGGGCGTTTCGTAGAAGAATTGCTCAAACAGCAAGGGGGACTCGACAAGGCTTCTTGGCAGCCCGAATTGAAGTTCTGGGATACTTGGAGCCAGTCTCTGGAGCGAGAACCTTGGGCGCCACTGCAGTTCTGAGTGGTATGTATGTACAAAGGAAGGTCCATGTATCTATCTACTCCGTACATTCATGGGCCCATTTTCCGTTTAAATCGCTTCAGTCGATTCGGATCGAGCCGTAGATTCGTCGAATGTAGCTGTAGCAGGCAAAGTACCCGATAGCGCCGAACAGCAGGAAGTCGACCAGCGACAAGAGGAAGAGGTATCCGACGAACAGTACCTTGTTCGCCAGCCCTGGCAGCTCCATGCGTGCGCTCCAGAAGAAGATCTATGGAGAGAAAAATGTTCAGTCGATGAGGTATGCACGCAACATCACCGCCTGCTGTCACTCATTCAACGACTCACTCCATATGCAAAGAGCCAGAAGGCAGATCCTCCGCCGACTGTGAACGAGCGCCAGTGCCATCTGTAGTCCTCTGACGAAAGGGTAAAGTAGCAGAAGAGCACGGAGACTGTCGCAGTGGTCTGGGGGTTCCAAAAACCGAATGAGTGTCAGTCTTTTATCGCAATGGGGACTTGCGCTCTCTAAGGTACCTACCAGAGAGGTGATCACAAAAGTGAGGGCGAGGAATCCGAAAGCATAGTAGATTTTGGTACCGAAGAGCGAGTTGAGCATGAAAAATGACTCAAGGAACGCGGTCGCGAAAGGAAGCAAGCCGCCTATGATGGCGGACGGCCACGGACGGAGATACCAGACAACCGGTGGGATCTGTCTGGGGATCGAGTTGACGCGCACGGGGTGCCGCCAGCCGCCAACGCGGATTCCAATGTAAGAGCCAATCAGGGTGAGTGGAATGTTGATGATGAACCACAGCGCCACCAAAGCTAAAAGCGTGCCGAAAGGCACAGCACCTGAGGAGCGCGATGCGATGAGGAAGAAGTTGAGCAGGCTACGAGGCAAGGATTAGTACCACAAATTTATCCAAGCACAGCCTGACGAACTCACTTGACTGTAGCGAATACAAGGGTCGGGAAGAGTGTGGCTGTCAAGAAGACGTTTCGCTTCCATTTGGCGCCGTCCAAGCTGGCGTACACCCTGCTGGACAAGTACCCCGCCAACGCGCCGAACAGTGTCCAAGTGACAATCATGACGACCGCCAAGGACCCGCGATAACTGGGACTCAAGAATCCCAAGGCAGCGAACAGCAAAGTCGTCGCGGCCATGGCAATGAGCTGGGAGCCTGATCCGACCATGACGGACAGTAAGAGTGGTGATTGAGGAGGTCGGAATACTTCACCATGCACGAGCTTCCAACCGAACTCTTCTTGTACGTCTTCAGTCAAATCAATTGCTTCGTATCGACTGATATCGCGGTTTGTAGATCGCATTAGAACGACGGAAACCTTTGTAATGAAATACTCAGTATGACTTCGGCTTAGGTGATTTGAGACGAGCTTACCATCAGACATAAGAAGCCTGCGATGACGATCGCATTGATAAGCGAGAGCCAGTGGATGTTTGGATTCACCACTTTGAGGTAGTGGTCCCATCGCGTTGCCCATGGCGTCTTGCTCTCCTTCCAATGGGTCGAGTAGGTGTACGCGAGCTTGGTACTTGCCGTGCTGTTCTCATCCAAATGGACAGGTTCGAGGGCATTGCAATTTGGTGTGCCTTCTCCCTGCGTCAATGAAGATCGCGAAGCCGGCCAAACGGACGCGCCGACGATACGGTATTCGTCAGTTCCGCGCATGTGATAGTTTAGGTAGATTTCAAAGTGATTGTAAATGGCGGGCATTCGGTAGGCCTTGCCATTTTCATTTTCATTTCTCATGGTGCCCATGAAAAATCCGATGGAGTAGACTGCTCGGATATTGTGAGGAGGCTCAGAACACCTTTTCAGAGAGAATCTCAGGTGTCTTTACTCACAAAATTCCTCTGTGTCTTCCAGCCTTTGCATTTGCGCGACTGGCAAGCCGTCGACTTCCCAATTGATCGCATACCCCTCTTTGATGCGGTCACTAATGAACTTTGTGTCCTGTTGCGGTATGACTGATGTGCAGATATGAACGCACGATTCATCCGTGAGCATTTTTGCCTTCATATCGACCCGGATGCAATGAGAGAAATAGCGTACAAGCAGGAAAGTGAGCCAGGAGTCGAGTGGCACACATGTAGGCATAGTGCATTTGCTCACCGTTATCGGACTGGAATAAATTCGATCTCCAAACAGAGCACTGCCAAGACCTTCTGACACTGGTTTGGGACCATCTTTGTCCTTTGGTGAACAGAAATGGAAACGTTCGTCGTAGTAGTCATAGGAGACCAGACTTCGCATCCCACCCTTGTCGATTTGCGCTTTCGGTTGGACGACATTAACGAGGAAAGGCACGGTCGACCCGAGCTTATACGTCTTGGGAGCTGAGCCTGGCAGATAGAAGCCCTGAACGGCTGGAAATATAGCTCCTAGCGCCAGCAGGCCGAGGGGGAACACCTTTGTCAGACCCATGGTGGTGATGTTGTTGCTTGGTAAACTATATCGTGAGCGTCAGCAAGTGCTGCAACGTGCTCATGCAGACGATTGTTGAGGTTCGCTTCAGACGTTCGGCCTGTCGTGGCGGATCTTTGAGCCACTTTAATGTTCAGCGCGCCACAGGCATCAAACTAGAGCCTAGAATGGTTGCATGATGGAGTCAGTCAGAGCGCACAACCATCATTGTATCATCCCGAGGTGGCTAGAAGCGTTAAAGGTGGCCCATATCGTTGTGCGACATTCGTCGCGCAGTCAGGTTTGAATCTCTCTCCCACATTTGATTCCGCAGAGAGCGCATTTCCGCGGGCGTGCTTCAAACTACACATCTCTTACTCAACGCTCACCTGGCGCTCCATTTAATTTATATTTGGCTGGCTGAGTACAAGCATTATGGCCTCGGGCCATACAAATCATCCGTTTCGGGGTCGTATCAGGCAGCTGGATAGAGCAATTTGGCTCGCGCCGCCGCTCCAGTTGTCACCTTAAGGTCTCTGTAAGTGATTAGCTGCAGCTGGGCATCCTCTTGGCATCGGACCCATCCTGGCCGACATCGTCACCATGCAAGCCAACCGCGCACCAAGAATCAAGAACAGGGCGCCAGCGCCGATCCAAATTACCGCTGAGCAGCTGCTGCGAGAGGCGCAGGAGAGACAGGAAGCTCCCTTCCAAGCAGCAAAGGCTCGTGTGGAGGACTACGAAGAACTCGAAGAGTACAGAGGACGGAAGCGATCAGAGTTTGAGAGCCGGATCCGGACAACACGGACAAATGTGAGTATATTCAGTATGCGCAGATAATGAAAGCAATGGAGCCCTGACTCTCTTGCTTCTTTCGCACAGGCCACAGCATGGATCAAGTATGCACAATGGGAGGCGTCGCAAGGAGAGATGCTCCGTGCGCGGTCCGTCTTCGAGCGAGCCTTAGACGTAGACCCATACAGCATCCCAATATGGACGCGGTATATCGAGACTGAGCTCAAGAATCGCAATGTCAATCATGCGCGCAACCTCCTCGACCGCGCGGTCAGCATTCTGCCGCGGATGAATCAGATGTGGTACAAGTATGTTCATCTGGAAGAGCTGCTAGGGAATGTCCAAGGAGTACGGCAAATTTTTGAGCGATGGATGGTGTGGGAACCGGATGAGAAGGCTTGGTCCGCCTTTGTCGCCTTCGAGCTGCGGTATGGCGAAAAGGAACTGGCAAGCAAAGTCTGGGAGCGGGCTGTGACTTGCCATCCTGACCCGCGGGAGTGGATCAAGTGGGCCAAGTTTGAAGAGGAAGAGCGACAAGATCTGGACAAGGCGCGGGAAGTGTTCACGATGGCGCTCGATTTTTTCGGAGAGGATGAAGACAAGCTAGAAAAGGCGCAAACGGTCTACACGGCTTTTGCAAAGATGGAAGCCCGAGCAAAGGAGTACGAGCGCGCACGAGCGATTTACAAGTATGCTCTTGAGCGGCTACCACGAAGCAAGAGCCAGGGCATCTACTCTAGCTATACGCGCTTCGAAAAGCAGTTTGGCGATCGGCAAGGCGTGGAAGATACCGTGCTCGGCAAGCGAAGAATCCAGTACGAAGAGGAGCTCTCAGCCGAAGGTGGCGGTTCTAATTACGACACCTGGTTCGATTACGTCAAGCTCGAAGAGGAGGCATTCCGCTGGCTACTTCAATCTGGGCTATCACTCAAAGCTTCCGAGGTACTCAAAGCTCGGAATCGCGTGCGCGAGCTATACGAGCGCGCGGTGGGCAACGTGCCGCCATCGTGCGAGGAAAAGCGGCACTGGCGGCGGTACATCTTCCTCTGGCTGAACTACGCTCTGTTCGAGGAGGTCGATGCGAAGGACACCGAACGAGCGAGAGAGGTGTACAAGGCTGCGATCGCGTTGGTACCGCACAAAGCCTTTACCTTCGCGAAGCTCTGGTTGCAGTATGCGCACTTCGAGATCCGCCAGCTTGACCTTGGCGCCGCGCGCAAGATCCTTGGCGCTGCGATCGGCATGTGTCCTAAGGAACGTCTGTTCCGCGGGTACGTGGACTTGGAGCTGAGCCTAAAGGAGTTCGATCGCGCGCGCAAGATTTACGAGAAGGCGCTTGAGTGGGATCCGAGCAATTCGCGCACGTGGGTGCGCTTTGCGGAGCTGGAGAAGAATCTGTTCGACGATGACCGCGCGAGAGGAATCTTCCGCCTGGCGATCGAGCAGCAAGGAGGGATGGACATGCCCGAGGTGGTATGGAAGGCTTACATTGACTACGAGTTCGAGATGCGCGAGTGGAACAACGTCAATCGTCTGTATGAGTCGTTGGTCGAGCGAAGCGGGCACGTCAAGGTCTGGATCTCGTACGCGCTCGCGCAGATCGGGAGCGCTATCGCGGAGGAGGAGGATGAGGATGCGCCTGATGAGGATGAAGATGAGGCAGAGCAGGCGCAGGAGCGCCGGCCGCCCAAGGAGCATAGCGAGGAGGCGCTTGAGGCCAGACGACAAAGGAGGGAGGAGAGGAAAGAGCAGACACGACGGATCTTCGATAGGGCATATAAGGATCTTAAGATGCGTGGCTTGAAAGAAGAGGTGCGTTCGACAGGGATATATCATGGACCTTGCACTTTGATGCTGACTGGCCCATCTGCTTTGCTCATCTCTTTGCAGCGCGTCGTATTGCTTGAAGCATGGAAGTCATTCGAGGCGCAGCACGGAGCCGATGCGGACGGCTTGAACGCGAAGCTCAAGGAGGTGGAGGCTCGGATGCCGCGCGTGGTCAAGAAGCGGCGCGAGGCGATGGGAGGGGAAGGCATGGAGGAGGTGAGTCCCATATTTCTAAAAAGACGCGAGCGGTCCTGTTTGAAGTAGAAGGAGAAAATGGCAGAAAGGCTGATCCAGACCAACTATTTTATTCCTGGATGACAGTACTACGACATGCTATTCCCGGATGACGAGGATGGAAAGGGCAAGCCATCGTTCAAGCTCCTACAGATGGCACATGCGTGGCGTGCCCAGCAGCAGGCACAGGCGCAGGAACAGGCACAAGCACAGGCGGAGGAGCCAGAGCAAGCGCAGGAGCGAGAAGAAGTTGAAGGCGAAGCGTGATCGTGGGCCATGCTGTACCTATAAATTCAACTGCGTGCCGCATGTCAGATGAATGTGCACTTCGCACCAAAGCACAATGCGAAACCGGTGTGGTCGTTTGCGTTTGAACTAGGGTTGGTGCACACGCACGTTCCAACGGCGGGGCGCTGTCAGACATCCGCGGCGTTGACACGATTCGGCTCATCTGTGGAGAAGTCTCATCTCACTATGTATCCGTCTTTCATATTTGATCAATTGGGCCACGCTTTCATGCCCCATCACTGCACCCCACCGGATCCCCTCTTCGTGATCGGCGCCGAAATTGACGTATTAGCAGATCAGCTGTCAGTGGACAGCTGGTGCCTGCGGAGGAAACGCGGGCAACGGGCCCCAGCTTAGGTTTCAACCAAGGACGGAAATCAGTTGCACTGTTGATCGGTGCATCGCCGCTAAGGCGCCGGCCTCTTGCCTGGTCAGCCCTTCACTATGAGCAGGCTGCAGGAGGAACCAGCTTTTCCAGGCTTTCCCCCCTCTTCTTCCACAGCCACTCCAGCTCCAGTATCGCCCAGCCCTGCACTCTCCGCATACTCATACTCCAGCGGCGGTTCGTCCGTCTCAGACTTGGACGACGTCGGGTCCTATTGGAGCTTAGATGATTGGGGGCTTCCAACGGGGTCGAGAGCGCAGGGAAAGCAACAGCAAGAAGAGAGAGACGCTCACGCGCTCCCAAGGGCCCAAAATGGCGTCGAGACGTGCGCCGGCGCATACACGGCACACTCTGAATGGTTGGGGTCAACTGCAGCAGTTTCAGAGACAGTTTCTGGGCCTAGCACGGGATCAGGGTCAGGATCTGCAACACCTGTCAATCTAGGGAGCGGGTTCAGGACCAAGCTCAGCTCGCCCAGTACAACACCTATCAATTCGCGCTTCGCGTCCGGTTCTTTGACTGCACTGCTTGCCGCGGATGAAGCGCAAGCAAAGCACGAGGAGCGAAGGGACTATGCATCAGAGGACGGGCAGCATCAGGAGAAGCAGTATGAGCATGAGCTCCAGATGGAGCAAGACCCGAATGCTGATGAGGTAGAAGGCGATGCAGGAGATGAGTTCGACTTGCACGATGAGGATGAAGAGGACATGCACGCTAGCGGCGTGCCCGCTGCTCGAGGCTGGAACTTAGACGCCAGGTGAGCGCATGCATGCTTTCTGTTGCCAAAGCACGCGAATCGTGAATTCATGCTCATTCTTTTCCACCTTTCAACACACGCAGATTGTCGGATACTCCAAAGTTCAAGCGTCAGGTGCTAGATATGTTTTCGAATGAGCTGTCACTCGCCGGCTGGACTCAGAAGGATGTTCACCCGACTTTGTGGCCGCTGTCCGAGCAGCACTTGCATCTTCGACGGATAAGTGGGGCACTCACCAATGCTGTCTTCTTCGTCAACTACAAGCCGCCAACTCCGTCTAGTATGGAGCACACCCGCAATGACATTGACGGGAAACCGGGCGGCGCTTCATCGTCGAACGCACCCACGCCTCCACCCACAGTTTTGCTCCGCGTCTATGGCGTCGGTACCGAGGTGCTCCTCAGTCGTCGCGGCGAGCTGCTGATATTGCATACACTGTCCTCGCTCTACGAGATTGGCCCGCATATCCTCGGCACGTTCGCTAACGGCCGCGTGGAGGAGTATTTCCCGTGCGATCCGATCGGCAAAGAGGGCATTCGCGACCTGGGCACACGCGAGGAGTATATCACCAAGCGCGGCGAGCTGCACATCAAAGGTGTCGAGGGCACGGCGCAGTGGGTCGCCAGGCGTATGCGGGAGCTGCACGAAGTACCGCTGGAGGTGATGAGGACCGTGCTGGAGCAGGGCGATCTGCATGCGCCTTCGGAGAAGGGGTTTGGGAGAGGCATCCAAAACCACATTATGGCTAGCAGCCATCGACCTAGGCCTCGACGGCCGTCCTCCAAGCCGAGGGGAGCCACTGGTTCCGTCAATGCAGTGACTGCATGGGGAGCGGCGGTAGCGGGGCCAAAACCGGGTGCAGCAGCATCGGTGCTGCCTGGTGGAACGGGCTTGATGCGCGAGAGCCCTGGCGCACTGCCGACGCGGGACTCCATGCCTTCTCCCGCAGCGGCCGGTACGTCTTTGCGCGCATTTGCTGCTGCAGGTGCAAAAGAGGCGCATGAGCAATCGTCCGAGGGGCAACTGCAGCAGCAGCAGCAGCAACAACCCTCCCATGCACTGACGCAGGCGCAAGTACAGCAGGCAGAGCTCGCAGATTGGAACGCGCGTTTTGACCTGCATCGTAATGGTTCAGCCGCCTCCGTCGGGTCGTACGGCTCAGCCGCATCGTTCGACTCGCTCGCAACAAGCTTTGATTCTCGTATCAGCTTCTCTTCTTCCGCTTCGTCGTCTTCCGCTGCGAGCGATCGCGAAGGCGGTAGTGGGAGGCGAGTGCGCTCACCGATTGGTACGCCCATGTCGATCGCAATGCCAACGCCGATCAATCCCTATTTCCCACACAGCTCACGCGAGCGACCGGGGCGCTCACGCAGCAGCAACAGCGCAACTGGTGGTGGTTCTCAGTTAGCAGGGACGAGCAACCGGCCGTACCCTGGTGTGTGGCGGCGTATGAAGCGTTGGTCGCGCGAAGCGGCCAAAGTCCTGCAGCTGTTCGAGGACGTCGCGCAGAGCCCCGCAGGAAAGCTGGCTTGCACGCTCGCGTTACGCTCCGCTCCGCATGGCCTCCTTGCAGCTGGCGGCAGTGGAGACGATAGTGGCAGTGAAGGGATCGATCTGCGTTCACTGGCGCAACAGCAGACCATCACGTCTGATATGCTTTCTTCCACGTGCGGAAATCTCTGCAACACGCTACTGTGCATTGTCGCAATGGATTTCCCACGCCTGATGCGCGAGCTCGACACATTCAAGCGTTTCATCCGCGAGTGGGAGAGGGCCGAAGGACAGAGCAAGCGCGTCTTTGCGCACAATGACTCGCAGTATGGCAACTTGCTTGTCGTCAAGACGCAGCCGCCGCCCTCTGCCGCCGCAGCTGGGAGGGACAACCCTTGGAAGAGTGGTCCGGGTGGTGTGCTCACGAGCACGCCGGCGCCTGCTTCGGGTATGCCACGTGTCAATGGCGGCACTGCGGTGCTTGTGCATGCCAGACGAGACTCCTCTGTCTCGGTCGCGTCGGCATCCGGCAATGCGGAGGGCTCCACGTCATCCGCAACGCCGTCACCATCGCAAGTCCAGACGCAGCCACAGCCGCAGTCGCAGGACTTTTCACAGCAACCAATGCGAGCGCAAACCAGCGCTTTCTATCGCTCTTGCACATCTCAGGCACGTCCCGTCAAGCGCTGGCAGCCGCACCAACAAGTCGTCGTTATCGACTTTGAGTACGCCTCTCCCAACCCCCGAGCGTACGATATTGCCAATCATTTCCACGAGTGGCGCACAGACTACCACCACCCGAGCCTGTCGTGGAGCCTAACTCACCACGGAGCATACCCTGACAAGCAACAGCGACAGAAGTGGCTCCGAGCGTACGTTCAACAGGGGCGCTTGTTACGCATGAAGAATGGTGGTTCGAAAAATGCACTGCTCGATGCTGCATCCATGCCAGCGCCGGCACCGCCAACTCCGCAAGCGCAAGCGCAGCCGCCGTCGGACTTCTCCATCGGTCCCCCTGCTATTCCGACCGCGAAACCTGCTTCCACTAAACCTGCTCAGCCCGCCGCAGCGTCTAAGCGACAACAGAGCGCTGCATTACCTGCTACCAGTAGCCCCAGCTTGACCCCTTTCTTGCGCGGCGTCTCGTCTCCTCGCTCACCTTGGCTTGGCGCAAGTCACAGCACCGTTGCGCCTCCCCCTACCGCTGCCCATGCTCCCAACCCTTCCACCACCGCTATAGCAAACACTTCGCTTGCGCGTCTCGATGCCAGCATCGAACGCGAAGTCGACCGCTTGGAGCGTGAAGTGAACGTGTGGAGCCCAGCTTCACATGCCGTTTGGGGTCTCTGGGGCATCGTTTTTGGGCGCGCAGAGATTGAGGCGGTCCTCGAGAGAGCCCTGGCAACGGTCAGAGATGCAAGCATGGGTACAGATGCAGCGGGAGCCAAAGATGACAATGAGAACGATGATGTGCTGCTGCTGCAAGCGGAGGAGAAAGACAAGGAGGCAGGTGCAGAGGAGGCAGGTGCGGAGGAGGCGTTCGATTACCTGCGTTACGCGCTTGGTCGCATCGAGCTGTTCCGCTACGAAATCAAGGAGCTGGGTATCGTCTGATCGCCACGTGGCAACTTGTATCTTAAAAGGGTTGATGGTGCGCGCTCCAAGTGGCGCAAGGAAGATGGCGCTTTAGAATGTGTGCATGTGCTGCTAGCTGGTCAAAGTTGTGTACTAGTCGAGCATCATGCATTGAATTGAATCCTCTTCTATTAAAGATTAGAATGTGACACTTCCCGCTGACCCTTTCCCTCTGTAAGCGGTCTGCTGTTCAACTCAACACAAACGCCCCTCATTCCTTCTTGGTCCTCATCAAGCGAATCGGCTCTCCCTGTTCATCAAGCAGCCCCGTCATGCCGTTGTCTCTCTTGACAGCGCGACGTGAATCTGTGCCACCATTGACATGCTCGATCACACGCGGTCCATCGCCGACCTGCGTGTGCAACAGTCGCCCGACAGCGCCGGGTTCATGAACGGGGATAATGGCGCCGTTGAATGCCTTGGGGAGCGACGCGGGCAGCGCGACGGGACCTTGCGGACCGCGATGCGATGCGCTGATTCCGGCGCCGAGGATGTTAAACTGGGTAGGGCAGGGATGTCAGCCGGGCTGTGTGTAAGGCAAGAGATTCGCCTGTGCAACTCACTGTGTCGTCAAAGTCAGCATTCGGGAAGTAGTGTCGGATGGTCTGGATAATTAGCTCGCTGTGCTGCTTGTCGTGGTACAGAACCGCGTTGGGCCCAGCGTCGTAGGTGTATGCGATGATCCTTTTGCCACCAGCCTCGAGGCTGGCGCGGTTTATCTCCTCGACGAGCTGGATGATGTTGCGACTGGTGTCGTTCATGTAAAAGATAGGTGGCTGGGTATCAAGGCAGGTAGCGTGGAAGTTGTTGCTGTCCGCCATGGTGATCTCTGCGAACTTGTCAAAGTCACGCGCTTGGATTGCTGCGGAGATGTCCTCCATGCGCTTCGGCACGACAGAGCGGATGCGTTCTTGCAGCAAAGGCGATGTCGCAACGGTTCGTTGCATGCCGGCTGTAGACGGAGTGCCTTTCTTGGCGTCGCTGACGACGCAGATCAGCGCTTGCAGCTCGGGCCAGTGCTCGCGCGGGGCCACCTCTAAGGCCAAGCTGTCCGAGCCGTCTTCGGCCGAGCCAGACTGCCAGGCGACAAAGCCTCCCATGAGTGAGCGGCAAGCAGAGCCGGAACCTTGTCGTGCGATGCGTGTCAGCTGGGAGCGCGTGAACGCCGGCTCCAGGGCGAAGAGTGTGGACAGGCTGAATGTCAGGGCTGCAAAACCCGAGGCACTCGAGGCGAGTCCCGCCGCCGTTGGGAAATTGTTCTCCGAGCAGATGCGAAGACCCCATGTTGAGAGCTGAACATGTGGAAAAGTCAGCTTTCCCGAATGTTCCGCCGACCCTGCCTGGCGCTCAATGGGCTCTTGGTACTGACATTGGGTAGAGAGCTGTCCTGGTCCTCCAATTGCTTCCGCATGGCGCGAATCTCGGTGATGCACCGCTCCAGCCTGCCACCCTTCTTGATAAGCTCCTCCTCTCCATTGAGCCAAAGCCGGTCACCTTGGAATGACGGGTCCGCGCGGCTCGTCGTCTTGGACATGAGATGGTCCTGATCGAGCGTGACGGAGAGCGAGTCATTTGTGGGCAGAATCAGCTCCGTGTTGCGCTTTCCCCAGTACTTGATGACGGCGATGTTGACCGGCGCCGAGACGGTCGCCTGGTAGACGGAGGCTGCCATAGTGGACCACGGGAGGGAAGCAGAAGAGGAACCTGGAAGCGGTAGCGGGGGAACCAACAGTTCCTTCTGAACAGTCAAAGCGCTGTTCGAACAGCGGTGCAGTCCGTTGCTACTTGCTTGGGTTGCGTTGAGCGTGGCAGACGAATGAGCAGACTTTGCAATGAGTTATGACCGTTCTATGAATACTTCGCTACCATGTCTGGAGCTTGGAGCCACTCTCAAGAACGTTTGCCCACTCTGCCGACCATCATCTTGTCTTGCAAGCGTGGGGAAGTTGGATGGATGGAGGGAAGTTAGGGTTTTGTACTTTGCCTAACCCTAGTCACAGTAACCCTAGTGCAGAAGCAGCACCACACACGGACATCGCAGATCCAAACTCCACCAAGTTGAACTCGAACTCTCCTCATCTCCCTCGAAGCAGTTCAGCAAGGGTGAGAGGGTGATTGCGATGGGGCTCTTTAATATGGCTGGAGGCCTGCATTGCCTTGTAAGCTTACGCTGTTCGACCCTATTTGGCTGCTCATCGATGCTGGACATTCTGCCCGACAAGCTGCTTGCCGACGTCGAAGAGGTAGGCAAGCTGAGGGCCAGAACCATGTTTGTCGCATCTGTAACCATGGTCCATTCCACTATAGTGCCTTGACGTGCCGCTGCGCCGCATCTACACATGCTCGAAACGAACAACGTCGCCACGCCCGCGCGGATCCTATCTGGACCTTCGGTGGCGATTGGTACGCTCGATAGCTGGTCATACCAAGGCATCAGACATCAAGATGGAGCCCTACTCGTTGCAGCCGCCGTCGTGGCGCCCTCTCTTACACTCCGCCTCTGCCGCCCTCGGCGTACCGGACTTCTTTCCACCACAAGCTGGGGCACCAGAGCTCGACATTTCCGATGTCTCGGCCGTGCGCAACGGTATCGCCGCTCGATCCGTGGTCGGCAATGAGACGTTTAGCGCACACGAGATGATCTACGATCGGCTCAAGAGCCCCAACATTCTCGCTCAATTGAACGGGTTCATGGGCGAAATCCTGAAGCGCCGCGAGGAGCTTGCACGGCTCGGTCCATCGAATAATGGCGATGGAGGGATAGACAAGCCCACGCACAAGCTGCCGTCGAGGGTTACGCCCAACGACAGCAAACTCGCAGCGTACGTGCGCGAACTGGCAGACTCCCAAGTCTCACTTTCAAAGCTGGCCAAAACTGTACCGCATGGCTTCAAAGGCGAAAAAATGCTTGACATGCTGTACAATGGTAGCGTCGGATCCTCTACGAAGCTTTCATCTACGCCAGCAAGCGCGACCTCCAACACGGGCGCATCAGCAACAGCAAGTGTGACGACAAATGCCAGTGGACGGCAGGAAGACCAGGTTTCGCTTCCCAAGAGTGTTCCGGTCGACCGTGCTCTTTGGTTCATTCAAGTCGTCGGTGCAACAGAGATGGCGTCCCACTCGCAATCCCAGGCGCATTACCATGCTCATGGAGCCGGCGGAGGGCTATCGACGCCGGGCGGGAGCGGCATTGCCGGGCCGACTGGAGGGTTAGGAGCGACACACGGTGCAGCAAGGGTGGACAGAGCGGCACAGGTGCAGCTTGACTTCACAAATGCAGTCTGCTCATGGCTTCGACGCATGCTTGCCGATCTAGATGTCCCAGCCAGCGCAGATGCTGCGATAGCCGAGTCTGCTGCGGTGCTAGGAGGGACAGAAGCTGCCAGTGCTGGCCTCAGCGGAAGTTTGTTACGCCGCACATTCGCCGGAACGCAAGCACCACCGCCTCTCAGCATCCGTAATAATCTTGGTTCTGCGTCAGCTCCATATCCATCGCCCTTGCTGCCCGCGTCAGCATCTACCATAAATTTGAGCAGACAGGCAAACTTGAGTCTCTCATTCACGTCTACGACAGGGGTACCCAAGGCTCCCTTCAGCGCCATCGCTCCCTCTCCCTCATTGAGTCCAAACTTGGACGCGGTGCGCATACCAATGACTCCCAGCCGCTCTGCGGGTGGTAATTCTAACTTCAGCTTTCCTGGAAACCCTGTGCCATTCTCGTCTCCGTCCACATCCAACGGTCCACCCCCTTTCACTCTCCATCATCAGCATACGCCTCCTACCTCCGCGTCTGCGTCCACGCGCTGGGCGCACAAGTGGTCCTATGCACTTTCCCTTCTACGTGGCCTCGTCACGCTCCCGTCCGACGCCACGCCTGATGCACCGGGAAGCCTGTTGCAACTCCCCTCGTGGCTCCGCTTCCTGGCGGAGCTCCTCGGAAGCGCAAACGTTGCCCAAATACCATTCGTGCTGGCTATTGTGCTTGAATTCGGTATCGGATGGCCACCGGCGGAAGGAGGGAACGCCAGCGGCGGCATGACAAAAGGCACCTTGATCGCGAGAATCGGCATCGAGGGTGCTCTCAAAGCAAGGCGTGAGGTTCTCGCTCTTCGCCATGCACTCCTTGCGTCCCTTGTGGCGGATCCCATCGCAGAGACCGACGGCGCTGAAAAGGGAGATGGAGTAGTGGACGCTGACATTGGCATACAAGGCGATGGAGACGTGTCGGCCACAGTCGGTGCTTCGGAGCCTGGCACAAAGACCGCGGCGCAAGATGAGATGGACGTCAGTGTTCGGCGATGCGATGACTTGCTGATTGCACTCATCTCTCTTGCTCGTCACTTAGCGAGGGGATGCGATCAGGCGCTCATCAGCCCGCGATTATGGAGCACATATAGCTCGGATCTTCGCGCTGTGCTCGGAGAGGCAACCTTCTATGCAGATCTTCAACAAAGGAACAGCGTACTGATGCTTCGCCATCTGAGTGCTGATGGCCCGAGGGAAAATTGGTTCGATCAGCAAGCCGCTGATATCGAGGTGAGCTATCCAAACCAAACGGTGACACTCGCGCAGAGAAGCTTGACATATTCAGCCCCAATGAACCTTCGCAGATTCTCGATTCAATTGACTTGTCAACGCATTGGCAAACGACATGGGTGCAGTATTTTACACGCACTTCCTCTCAACCTGCTTCGCGAGCCGATGGCCGGCGAACCGTTCGCACGCTTAGGGACAAAGTCGAGCTTCTCTTTCTATGGGCCTGTACCTCTCATCGCTCCTCTGTCGGCCCATCCCGGCCATACATTGTGGGGGTTTTCTTGAGCGGCCTGCTCGGCTGCAATTTTCGCCCAACGAAGCATCTGATTGATTCTGCCCGCAAAAGGTGGGACGGTGATGGGGACGTGACCTCATTGCTGAAAGAGAGAGCAGAGTTTGCAAAGCTTAAGGCACATGCGACGCAGCTGGAGGAGTCAAAGGCCATCGACTTCCACAGCTTCTGCATACAATTCATTGCGGATGTCGAATCGTACTGCAATACGGGAACAACGGGCGTTGAGGCGTCAGATGCAACCGAGACACTGCGCCGAGAAAACTTTGCAAGTGTCTCGTTCGATGCACTTATCGCGTTGATTGAGGAGTTGAGCAATCTCGGCTACTTCTCGATGCGCAAGTTGCTACGAAAGATGACCAATGTCTCGACTGCCGCCGGCTCGTTACCTGCCAACACGTCTGGACAACCGACGCTGCCGAATAATTCATTTCAAACGCGACTCCTCCGTTCGCTCCCATTCCCCACCGGAACGCAGAATTTGACAAACCTGCTAGTAACACGGAGGGCTCTCATCTACGGGAATCGTGCCGGAGAGACCTGGGAGGAAGCAACAGAACGGCGAGCGACTCGTGAGGTGCGAGCTCTTTTTAGTGGACTCTTCCAGACTGACCATGCACCGTTCGACATGCATGGTCGCCAAACGTCGTCGATCTCAGACTTTGCTGATGAGGGGATCGACCAACAACTCATCACAACTTTACCGCACCTTTGGTCGAGCCCGCCTTTCGTCCAGCGCAGGATCACACGCTCGGTGCTCCTCCCTGCGATCGAAGCCGCGGAGGCGAGCGCTTCAATTTCCTTTACGGATACCTGCCTTCTCCTGGCGCTGCTCCGCAAATCCGAAGATTTTCGTCTATTGAATCAGGTGAGCTTTGCTATGCATTCCAGCTGGTGGCTTGGCCTTCGATCTGATATCAGGCTCCTTCACAACCAGGTCATCATGACGTTACTACGACCAGGTCGTCTCACTGGCGAAGAGCATGGCCCTATTGCGGACAAAGTAAGCGATGCCATTATATGTCACGCTGAAGTCTGGAAGGCTCTCGACAGTCTCCATGTCATGGTGGAGCAAGTCAGTCACCTCGTCATGTTGCATGAAGCAGCGACTGAACACGTCTGGCGCCGATTGCTTCTTCGCTTGTCAAGGAATGGAAGCCGTGAGGCAACCGGAGCATTAGCACAAATCCGAGCCCCTGATGCAGAGCTGCAAGACCAATTGCGATTAGAGGTCCTCGCGACGTTGCGCACAAGCTTCCACCGCCCCGAAGAGCTTGTGTTGAATCTTAAAGGCTGCATTCAACAGTATGGGTCTAGCGAGGCTGTAGCTCGCGCTGGGACGCAAGCGGCTTTCGAAGTGCTCTCTCGGTCTGACCACCACGAACACTTGAACCTAAGCGGCTTCATTGACATGCTAGTCGACCTCACTTCTTCAGTGCCTTGCAACTTAGATGCTGCGTTGCATGAGATCTCCTCTACTGCGACCATCGGTTTAATGGACAATAATGCGAGAACAACGCAGCTTTTGGTGCGCTTGACAGTGGCCGAAGCCGTTTCGCTTGATGGGTTGGTCACTAGTCTGCTGGTCCCATTCCTGGTGGAGGCGACCGCACAATCAAACGAAAGCCTTACAGAGGTACTGGGTGCCCGCATCAATGCGTGCCAGGCGTTGCTAATCGCGTGCAAGTCGGAGACCTTCAGGCCTGCTCTGAATTACCATGTCGCTGCGGATGCAGCAGTGACGATATGTCAGCTTTTCGCCACACAACCCATACAACGGGCGCTTTCGGCATGGGTGGTCAGTCTGCACGACCTTTGCGCTGACGCCGATCAATATCACTTCCTAAATTTTCTCCAGAAGTTAGACATTGACCTCTGGCAGGCTCTTATTGTACTCCGCCCTCCGGTCCCGACCCAGACTTGGGCGAGTATTATCACCCAAGTGAATCCTTGGCAAATCAGTCAAGTCGTCACTCATTGGTCCACAATGGAATCCAGCAGCGTGACATCAGACGATGCTCAGGCGCTAGCCAGCCGCGTGGCCACGCAGCTCCTCTCCACAACATGCTCCGTCACCGGTGCGCGCTTGCTTGAGCATCTGGCTCACCAAGCGCCTTCATCGCGCATGTGGTCGATCTTACTCAACAGGCTAGCGGCCAGCAGTGCCTCTTGTCTCGCCTCGCCAAATGCATATCCTACCCAGTGCAATACCAGCTTGCTGTGCCTTGCTGCTTTCCGCGAATATCAGCCAGTCCCTCCCTTCCAGCCGGGGGACTCTGGAGCTTGGTCCAGTATCTTATTATCCGTGCAACGCTTTTTACAAGTCGCACATCAACACCCCCCTACTTTGTCAGCCATCACTGTCAGTCTGGATATTCTCTCCCTCGCCGCTGCGACTCCGAACATCTGGATGTCTCCGATCCGCATGGTAGCTCTGAGCATCCTTTCAGCGCTGCTGCATCAACTCCTCCGCATGGCGAAGGAATCCAAATTTTCGATGCTGACGAGACTGCTTGACGTGGTGAGCCAACTACTAGAGGAAATGCCAGCGGATGTCTTGACGGCGTGTCAAGCTGTGATGGATGCTAGCCGACACCTCGCTCACGACTTGCCTGAGCTACCTGCGATTTATCGGGAGCGGATTCTTCGCACACTTTCGCCTGACTTTCAGCAGTCGCCAGCCGCGCAAATGATCCTTGCACCATCTGTCTCCGCGGCTGTTCATGGTGGTCGCTTCCGTCCGGTATTGGAGAAGTCATGGGAGCTGCTCCCGACCTTGGAACCTGTAGCGGAACCAGATTTTCTCACTTCGTATATTCCAGCGTCGCACAAGCTGCCTAACACCGGCTCTCTCTCGCTCATCGCGTTCGGTGCCATGAAGCTGCCTGATACTGTATCGCTGCCACCGCTCGACGCGACATCCATCCGTCGTGCGGCGCATGATGACAGCCAGGTCGCCCGGTTGGCGCTCGAGAGCGAACGCTCGTATGGAGCTTTCAGAGCGGACACGCCAGCCGCCATGGCTACGAGGCGCGGGCTAGTGTTTGTGGGAGACATGCAGATGAAGCAGCAGCAGCAGCCGAAAGAGGTGGGCTCGTCCACTGCTGCGCCAGCATCTACGTCAACGAGCTCGAGCAAATCTGGTCGTGGCGGGAAGGGCTCGTCTGGTGCCGATTTCTCCCTGAAGGCAGCGAGTGCAAGCTTCATTCCAAGCAAGCAGCAGTCACAGCAAGCGCGAGAAATCATCACGATTTCGGACGACAGCAGTGACAGCAGCGATGTGGCCACGCTTGCCCCGGTGGCAAAGCAGCGCGGAAAGCGGAAGGGCAGCGACGGCAATGCAGAAGCTGCTACGGCCTCGAAACGGAAAAAATCACACGTGAACCTCGCAAACCAGCAATAGAGCAGCCGTCGTCCTTCATGATGTGTTGCTGCTGAGCACGACGCTGAATGGTTGAATATCTTACACGCGAGGTTTCGCATGCATGTAGCAAAGTCCTTTCTCGCATAATCGTAATCGCATCCTCATCATGCATGAGACACGTCATGTACATCAGCGTAATGTACCTTCATACTAAGCATCTCAATGTGCAAACTTTTCAGGAAATGGAAAGGACAAGCGAGGCTCAGTCAGCATGGAGAAGGGTCTCTCGCAATGGGAGAGGCACCGCCGATCTACTGCACACATGACCGAACTCGGTCACTCACAGTCCCTAAATAAGACTCTGCTACGATACGAGCTCGAGCGTTAAGGCTGAGCTTCATTTCGCTGATTTCCTTGTCTACTTCTTCCATGAATCTGCGTTCCGATGGACAGATGAGCGGGCGCCATGTGAGTAGAGGAATCGATGTAAGGACAAGATGAGGGGTAAGGGCGAAAGCAAAAGGAAATGGGGACTGTGACTGACTGGATGATGAAGTCTACAAGCTTGTGCTTGAGCATCGTCTCTGAGTGTGCGTTGGTGATGAGGAAAGAGATATCGTAGCCCTAGAAAAATGTGAGCGTTAACATGATCGTTATCGCGAGCTTATACATGCAAAAACTGCGATTGCCGATGCCCCTACGGCACTCACTGGTATCGGCTTTCTCCTGAGCACGACAAAGCCTTCCGCGCGCTGCATCATGAATCTAGTGAACTTGTGGCAGAGGATGCGTTCGATTTCGTCTGCCTGTTTGATGCGGATGGAGAGGCGGATGGAATTGATGGATGGCTCGATGAAGACTCTTTCATTCTCATTGCGTGAGATCATGAGGGGCTTCAGCAGGACTTCTTTCGACGTCGCTGCTTCTACCTCGGGCTCTGATATCATGGATCAGAAGAGTCAATAATCATATCAATGGAACACGATGGGTTGCTACTGGTATCAAAGAGGGTCACGAAGACCAGGCCCATGCTGTTATGCTAGGGTGCAGCCCGCGTTGAAGAAGGAAGCAGAAGTTGACACGCACTGTTATGCCGCTCGACGGTCTGCGATCCAAAGTTCTCGAGAAGCATGGCTGCCGTCAGGGTGGACCTGACACAGCTGAGGTATGGCCGCAGTGTGTTGGACTACGTCGGCGCAAACCAGATTATCGTGAGGCATCAGTCCGTATGGTTTGCGAAGCGCAAAGGAAGGAGATAACGTAGATTGACCCATTCGGTGTCAGCTTCTAGTTCGGCGCTTCCACTGTTTTCGAAGTCATTGCTTTCTATCGTATGCCTATTAAAGTGCAACAGAAGAAGAGGGAACGCACCATCTTGGCCGCTGCTTTGGCGATTGTCTGCGGTGATCGAGCCGATGCGACCGACTAGCGCAGATGCGGAGCGATGGTATCCAGAATCAGATGAAACCGAGGATGAAAGACTACAGCTGGCCTATTGTAGCAGACACGTCGGGCATACGCAACAACGGCTGTGTCTTGCGCCAGCTAGAATCAGGAACCCGGCAAGGTGTAATGAAGGCAACTGGCAAGAGCCGGAGAGCGACTTAGCGAGAGCAGCTTACACTCAGGATGGCGGTGTTGGCGATGACGATGGCAACGACGCTCATCTCTGGTCTCTTGGTGACTGAGAGGTGCTCGCGCGCCGTTGCAGGTTGCACCGAAACTCCCCACCCGCGATCAACAATTGCCGCTGTGTGATCCGTGCCGACGACTTACGCACACGCCGCGTAGAATGCTCCACACTTGTCTCCTGATCACCTCTCATGCACCGGCAGAGTATCTATATGGTCGAGCTGCATTCGCGACGTTGCGCAGGTCGTCATGTCCCTTCTAGCTCGACCCAAAGGGCCTGAGTAACTGGGACGGAATATTATCACTTTGCTGCATGGCGTTACCATGGCCTCTGCTCTTTGAAAGAACGACCGTGCCCTGAAGGACCCCGGGGCCAACGGCAACATCCACGGCAGGTGGTGTACCGTATTTGACAAGGACAGCATGGTGTATAATCAGATGGTCGGCTTGAGAACGGCTAAATTACCGGGTAATTCCTTCGGATTACTGGCCTACACCCTGAAGCAGCCGAAGTGTGGCTGTGGATAAAAGATCGGTCATCTGGGTGGCTTTATGTAGCAAAGTGCGCTTTGGCATCCCTCGCTGTTGAATCAGCCAAGCGCGGCTGAATTCTTAGACATTCTCTTCATATCGCCGCGCAATGCAGTTCACAATCTCACTGCTGGTATTGCACCTGATCGAAAAGGAGCAAGCGGACGGTCGCTCAAGGACCACGGCAATGCTGACAAGCTCAGGAAGACTTTTCCCGGGTTTAAAATTGGCAGTGGACACTTGGCAACCAAATTTACACCGGCTAGAAAGATGAGAACGATGTAGATGGAAAGTATGTGATGATGCTGCGCAAGCGAAAGGTGCCGATCATGCCCCGACGCTTGCCCACTCGTAAGCTCGCGCTGCACCATTGCACACGCTCAAAGCTTCAGATCGATAATGAAGGTCGCGTGCCTGCCGTACACATATACCAATCGCACGGCGTACTTTTGGAGTGTGAACGAGGCATTATTACAGGCGTTCAATCCAACCGAAGGATCAGGCTACGCTCCGTACTCCAACTCGAGCAGTGCCACCGGAGCTATCAGCGGCTTTGATGTGCCTTCCATTCGAGAAGCATGTGAAGCGTTCATGTGAGTGGCACATGGAAGCTATCAAGTCTGTGAAAGTGGATCATGGGCACGGATGCTGAGACTGCGCCCTCCACGTAGCCATGGGTACAACAAAGACGAGTTTGCCAGTGGATTGTGCGCATCGCCAGCAAGAACCTGCAAAAAGTGAACATGGAGCACATCTTTGCCCATCTAGGCATTAAAGCTGACCAGCTGAAAATCAACACGCTGGGCAAGCTCAAAGACAGCATTGTCCGCGTCCACGGCCAAAAATTTGACGGGTCCGGCTTTGTCAATATCTTCATATCGGTCGTCGAATTCGAGGGCACCTTTCCGGATGGCTTTGTACTCTTTGCTAGTGCGGGCACCCAGGTACTCGTGCAAACGGACCGCAAGCGCATAGCAAGGGACACTCGTCGGAACGTCGTCAAAGCCTTCTTGTCTATGGTAATGGACGATCATTCTTTTGGAGAACAGCAAATTGTGGACTAGGGGTGTACGCACGCCGCCTTTCCATTGGCGCACAGAGGCGCCCCACCAAACCGCCTGACAAACTTGTACAAGGCTGTGCGATCCATCATCGACACTGACGCAGTCACACCATGGTCACCACACTGTCACTCAGCACCGACTTCCAAGCAGCCTTGTTTCCACGATTCATCGACGCAGCAGGTGGGGTAATCTCAACACCACCCACTGCGGTGGCCGCCTCTCCACTACGAGCTTCGACCACGTCACACGCACATGCGCGGCAATGTCCTACGCGAATGTCTTGGTTGTACTAGCCCTGTTCGAGAATCTCATCTCGACACGCTCAGTCCTCAATAGCGGAGGCGAAGCGACATTTGTTGCTGCTTTCATTACCTTCCAGGTCGCAAAGTAAAACAAGATGCGCGTTGCCATGGATGGGGACGGAAACCGTCAACACACCTCATCACAGAGCATGGTACCTCCCTAGCGTCCCTACAGCTGTACTCCTTGGATACGATGGAGTCTTCCCCACTGGCATTCATGTCATTTGCTGTCGGTGGTTCGGAGCTGCACACCTCGCTGCTCTACGGCATCAGCGTCTAGGCAACTCATCTCCTCAAACGCTCACTAAGACGGCCGCTGCCACCCAGAAGCATGACATCCCGAAGAGCGTCCAATCGCTCCTGGCACCCCTTCCTTTGACGTTTGCCTCACTACCAAGGCGCAGGATTTCCTAGCCAGGGGGGGCGCTCAGCAACCGCATATCTGGGCAGTATCAGCACTGATTTGATTGCTCTGCTCCACGGCAGTGACACTTTCCTTCGTAGAATCAATGACGGACGGGGCCATGAGGAAAGCCTCTTGAAAATGTTGAGTGCAGGTATGGCAAGCGAAACTGATGTTCAAAGAGAAAGCTGAGGTTCGTTGCAGAGGCGGAAGCGCAATGCTGAAAAGCTGGCTTCCCTGCAACAGAAATGATTTCATTGAATGGGTTATCCCTGCGTGAGCCGTTTACGTCTTTATATCTCGTGTCATGAGAGAGCGGGCACGCATCGCGTGAGGACTCATGAGCATGAGTGCGTGTCTGACTTGGCAAACCTTTTTGCGTGGGAATGCCGTTGCGCATGCAGGCAGGTTGGTGTGCGGGGGTTGCAAAAGCAATCAGATTGTACATGCGGTGTAAAGGGTTTGATTGATACCATGTTATTGGGTTGTGGCTGCGGAGGTCAGACGAAGGAGGGCAAGGGCTTGAATTAATTGCACCGAATGGCAATCGAAGTCTTGGGCACTTTTATGTCTCGTGTGCTACGGAGAGAGAAAGAGGGGGTTAGCCCAGATGCAAAGGGTTACACTGTTGGCATTCACTTTTATGCACCTCTCCTACACGCTTCGATCGGTTTCGACGGCTTGCCCGGGGCGTTTTAGGACTGGCAGCACATACCTCTGCGGCAATCAGCATCACACTTGTTGCTAGTCAGAATGGGTGGCCATCAGCCACGCAAGCGAGCGCGCCTTGCTGCTGCCGGTACATTGGCAACTGCATCCTCGTCCTCCCTTCAGGAGTCAGATGACGCTGTAGCAGCGCCGAAGCCGAGCATTGCGATGCTCTCCAAGCAGATTCGCACTTTGGTGATACGTACGCTTCTCCCATGCTTGCAAACGCTCGATTCTGAGCTCTTCCTCCTCCACCGCATCCATTACAAGCATGGCGTACAATTTAACAGCGCAAAGTGGTACAGCGGCGTGGAAGCCGTGCGCAGATGCTCTGGCAGGGTTGTGCCGCAGCATGACCTAGGCAAGCGTCCAGGCAAGAGAAGAGGACAGAAGCAAACAGAAGCTTACAAGAGCTACGAGTATGGCACGGGTGGAAGTAGCATTTTGAGCCTAAAAGAGGCGTCAGCTGAAAAGGATTCCCAACGCCAATTCGTGCTGCACAAATGTACAGCAAGGGTTGTCTTGCGCGATGTACTCGCTGCATACAACTCCATGTGGGCATCAGATAATGCAGGTTCTGGCGCTGGCCCAATGCCATCAACAAATGCAGCTGCTGTAACGAAGCCAAACGAGCATGGAAGGGAAAGTGCCGTGGGGTGCTCCTCAAGAACAGGGACAAAACGCAAGAAACCATCGCGTGGGGGTAAGGCAGGCGAATCTGTCAGCGCTGCGACGATGCACTTGATGTAAGTTTTCTATCTTCAACACAAAGGAGCCGTCCGCTAATGCATGTTCGTGTCACCCCCCAAAAACGACAGACCTACAAAGCAAAGTACAGCACCAAGATCTCACCCAAGCTCCCCTCGAGCAGCGGCAGCCTGCGAAAGCCTGCTGAAGCTCTCACTACTACTCACCAAGCTTCTTCATACTTGCCAAGCGGCTTTCAAGTGCGTAATTTCCAGAGGCATTAGTACATCCGAACCCCAGGCATGCTAATTCTGACGCGATGTCTGCATTGACAACTGATCAGGACACTATCGACGCATCTCAATACACCACCGGCCCCGACATTTGCGCCGCTTGTGCTTACACTCATAGCTGTCGTCGCAAGCATCCACGATGCTGCCAGTGTGGCTTTGTGCGGCTCGAATGTCACTCACGCGGGCCGTGCGTCTGACAAAGGCGCGAGAGCGAGTCAACCGTTGGAGTCAGCCGACAGTGGCGGCTTGATCCGAGTGTATGCTGACCTCCGCTTGATCTGCGTGCCACCTGCTCCGATACCGGGAGCCGTCGGTGGCCGTACCAGCGCAAGGGCCCACGAGGTCGAGTTGAACTTGTCCGATTTCGTAAGTACGCGTCGATCATGGCCACCATGGACTCGCTCTGTAGCTGCAGACAAATTGGAGACCCACCTCTCGGCCAACCTACCGATGCGCATCACACTCAGCTCGAACATTTTGGACATTACGAGCGGCAAAGGTTGGTCTGGGCCTCGCTCGACGTCGAGCAAGCAAGCTCTACCGCTTGAGCCTCACCTCCTGGGGCACAGCGAAGGCCACACCATAGGTCTTTTGGGCTTGGCTGCCGCAGACGAGGGCATGGATACGAGTTGTAGGGACGTCGACGTCGGCGTACCCCTCACAAGGGCAGTGATCAAGGGGGATGGTGCTGGCGCGGATCTCGATATTGGCGTCCCAATCTCTGTTGAAGATTTCGGCGAGCTTGTATGAATGCCTCCTCAATCTAGCTTGCACTAGGGCACTACCTTACGTTGCACTTCATGAAGAGGCTGACGTTTTGGCTGGCCAGGCTGGAGGGTCGACAGCAAAACTCGGCACCTGCGCATCATCCGCTTCCGCATGCGATTTGGTGAAAGCAGATCCATCACGCGTGTAAACTGAAATTGATTGAACGGTCAAGAATGAAGTGAAAGGGGTATAACGAATAGAACCGTGGCCAAATAGAAGGAATGACGTTGAACAAAATACGAATGTACTTTTCGTACTTTTCATCTTTATGCCGCCTTTTGGCCCTCGCAAGAGAGAGCAGCCTCTAGTTGCGCCTGGAGGTCCTTGATCTCGATACGAAGCGTGTCCGCGTCTCCAGCATCTTCTGTAGCGAATCTCAGTCTGCCAAAGTGGGTGCAAGTCCAATGATCAGTGAAATGCTGCGCGAGGATCTACTGTAGCCGGCCGACCAGAGGTTTGCGTATGCCGTCCTCTCATGGCGGCGATGCAAGCCATTCATCGTGCCACTTACTCGAGGTCCCGCTTGGCCAGATCCGCCTCTAGCTTCTGCGTCCTGTTTGTCAGCTCCTCCAGCTGCGATTGTAGCTCCTTCGTGCGTTCCTCGTGCTCGCGCGTCAGCGTCTCCATTTTGGTTGTGTGCGTGGCGTGCAGCTTCACGAGCTCCGACTGAGCGCAGAAAGCAAACAAAGACGCATTGCAACATGCGGTCAGCTTCACGCTCTTCCGCCAAATGGAGAAAGCAGCATCCTCAGCTCACCGGATCAGAAGTACCATTAGCGCTACCATTCGTGCTGCCGTTAGACTCGGGACCAGCGTCCTTGGCGGCGGTGGCGGCATTGGCCTTGCTAAGCTGGGTCTGAACATCATCCTTGGCGCGTACAGTGTCGGCCAGCTGTTCCTTGAGCGACTGTATCTCCTTGGCGTCTGCCTGCCTCTTGGCGTCGAGCTCCTCGAGATGGGCCGCATGTGCATCCTCGCGTTTCTGCAGCTCCTTGGCGTGCTTCTCGGCGCTCTCGACGCCGCTCTGCGACTGGGTCTTGCTGAGTGCGTCAAACTGGTCAGCAAAGGCGTCCTGCGCCTGCTGGAAGGCCTGCTGCGACTCGGCAAGATCGCGCTCGGTCTGCGCCAACTGCGCGCGCAGTTTCTCCACTTCGTCGTTCGGCGTAGATGCGGCGGCGACACGCTCCATGCTCGCCTTGGTGCTCTGCAGCGACTCCTCGAGGACAACCGCGCGCTCAGCGGCCTGCCTGCGCTCGTCCTCGGCCTGTGCGAGCTTGGCGCGTGTGCGCTCGAGGTCGGCGCGCGTTGCTTCGACATCCAGCTGGCTCGTCTTCTTGTGCGCTTCGATGGCCGTCTTAAGCTCGGTGAGATCCTTCTCTTTCTCCTGCTGAAGGCGCTGAATCTGCGCCTCGTGGCTTGCGCGCATCTCCTGGATTGTCTTTTCAAAGCTGGCTTTGAGCTCGTTGAGATCAGTCGAGTGCGCGGCGCCGGCAGCTGCCTGTGCGCGGTCGTAATGCTCTTGCAGCTTAAGCTCCTGCGCGTCAACGTCGGCCTGCAATGCAGCAATTTTGTCCGCGTGCTTCTGGCTCTCGGCGTTGACAGCGTCCGCAAGCTCCCTGTCGTGCTCCGCGCGGAGCGCAGCGAGCGCCTCCTCATGTGCAGCACTCGTCTCGGACAGCTTGGTGGCGTGTTCAGAGGCCGCGGCGGCCAGCTGATCCGCGTGGGCCTGCTGCGCGGCCGCGAGCGCATTTGTGTGCTCTTCGTGCAGTGCGGCGTCAAGGGCATCAGCCTGCGCGCGCTGGAGGCCCTCGAGCTCTTTTGCATGCTCAGCCTTGAGTGCATCGAGTGTGCCCGCATACTCGCTCGCTGCCGCCGCGACGGCCTGCGCGACGTTGCCATTGTGTGCGTCGACGAGCGCCTGCAGCTGCGCGATGTGCGCTTCCTTGTCGCTGCGCCCGCTGGCTGCGTCTGCAAGCTGTGCCTGCAGCGCATCGCGCTCGGCCGCGTGCGCGTCGACAAGCGCCTGCAGCTGCGCGATGCGCACATCCTTGTCGCCGTGCGCGCTGGCGGCGTCTGCAAGCTGCGCCTGCAACTGTTCAATGTGCGCGTCCTTGTCGCCGCGCCCGCTGGCTGCGTCTGCAAGCTGTGCCTGCAGCGCATCGCGCTCGGCCGCGTGCGCGTCGACGAGCGCCTGCAGCTGCGCGATGTGCGCTTCCTTGTCGCTGCGCCCGCTGGCGGCGTCTGCAAGCTGCGCCTGCAGCGCATCGCGCTCAGCCGCATGCGCACCAACGAGCGCCTGCACCTGCTGAAAGTGTGCGTCCTTTTCATCGCGCTCGGCTGCATTGGTGTCGTTTGCGGCGGCCAGTGCGGCCTCGTGCGCCGCCGCAGCGCTCGCAAGCGCATCAGCATGATCGTGCTGCTGTTTGCTCAGGGCGGCGGCCACGTCTTGCGCCTTAACCTCAAGCGCCGCGAGC